TGCATAACATGGGTGCACTTACAGGCAATACATTCATACACATAAAATAAAAATAAAATATTTTTTAAAAAAGTATACATGGCTGAGTATGGTGGCACATGCCTTTTTAATCACAGCACTCAGGAGGCAGAGGCAGGTAGACCTCTGTAAGTTCCAGGTCAGCCAGATCTACAAAATGAGTTCCAGGCCAAAGGGCTAAAGGGAAACCCTATCTAAAAAAAAGAAATTTAAGCCAGGCGTGGTGGTGCACGCCTGTAGTCCCAGCACTTGGGAGGCAGAGGCAGGCAGATCTCTGTGAGTTAAAGGCCAGCCTGGTCTACATAGTGAGTTCCAGGACAGCTGGGGCTACAGAGAGACCCTGCTTCAAAAAGACAAAAAAAAAATTTTTTTAAGGCTAAATTAAGGCCTGAAAATCACTTATTGTATTAGACTATCAGTAATGACTTTGGTATGAATTAAAATATGCCTAACTAAAATTGTGTCCCCACTTAACTAAACTTGTGATACCAGAGTTGTTTCAACAACAACATATATAAGAATGCATAGCCAAGGGGGCTGGAGAGATACCTCGGCAGTTAAGAGCACCGGCTGCTCTTGCAGAGGACCTGGGTTTGATTCCCAGCATCCACATGGTGGCTAACAACCATCTGTAACTCAAGTTCCAGGGAATCTGACACCCTCTTCTGATCTCTGTGGGCACTGCACAACATGGGTGCACTTACATACATGAGGCAATACACTGACACACATAAAAAAAATAGTAATTTCTTCAAAAAGAATGTATAATCAAGTCAGACAAAACAGTGACCAGGTGAAAGCTAGACTCATTTGTTTTAGAAACAAAGCTTTTTAGCCTGCCCTATTCTTAAAATCTGACCAGCTTACAACTGCTCCAAGTTATCTACGGCTGTTCCTATCTACGGCCTTGGATAGCCAAATACTATACTTTCCTCACTGCAAAATCACTGAAAATATATCAGTATCCTTGGGTAGCTATTGTAAAGCCTTAATAAACCAAATCTGGACCCTGGGTACAGGTCAAGGAGGAGTTCACAGTCAATGTGTCAAACAGGAAGCCAGGCAAGGCCAACTATTACAGTAAAGTCTAAGGATACAGAAATATGTGGGGTTTATTCAAATTTGTCTATTCTGTTTTCCAGGGTGAAACTTCCCAAAGTGCCTCTAATGCATTACAGGTCATCTGGAGATACTGACCCCAAAGCTAATAGCTAGCTAGGTAGGACTTCAGGTGACTAGAGTCCTTGGGCCAGTTATCTCAGGTTTCTAGCAGCTGTCTAACTACTATCATGTTCTGTGTATGCCGTAAGAGGAAAACAGGCTAGGAAGTCCTGCACTAGATTATGTGTCCTTTACCTGCAGGACAATGCCTTCTGCTTCATGTCTCCAGCTTTATAAAGCACTGTGACTGACCTGTAGCTAGTGACTGACATGCTTTCTGAGAATGGTTTCACTGAGGATGGCAAAATATCTAGGGAATCAAGGTAGACAGTAATCCCTCAGTCCTTTTCCTGTATTTGACAAACTGGAGAAGTTGTTTATGTGTTCTTGAAGCCCTAGGATTCCCCACATGGGACTGAGAGGTTGCAAAGACAGTAAGCATGATACTGCATACCTGTAATCACAGCACATGGGAGGCAGAAGAATCACCCATGAAGCCAGTCAAGAGTAAGACTCTCTCTTTTAAAAACCAAAGAAGCTAAAGAGATAACTCAGTGGTAAGAGCACTGGCTGCTCTTGCAAGACAACCCAGGATCAAATCCCAACACCCACACGGTAGCTAACAACCATCCATAACTCCAGTTCCAGGAAATCCGATGCCCTATTCTTGCTTCTACGGGCATTGTACAACATGGGTGCACTTACATACATGCAGACAATATATTCATACACATAAAATAAAAATAAAAAGTTTAAGGCCAGGTGTGGTGGTGCACGCCTTTAATCCCAGCACTCGGGAGGCAGAGGCAAGCGGATCTGAGTTCAAGGCCAGCCTGGTCCACATAGTGAGTTCCAGGACAGCTGGAGCTACAGGGAGACCATCTCAAAAAGACCAATAAATAAAATAAATAAATAAAAATTTAAACACATATATAAATAAAATATAAAAGGCCAGGTGTGGTGGTGATCGCCTTTAGTCCCAGAACTCAGAAGGTAGGAAAGTAAATCTCTGTGAGTTCCAGGCCAGCTGGGACTACAGGGAGATTCTGTCTCAAAAAAGACCAAAAAAACAAGGATTGGAAAGATGGCTCAGCAGTTAAGAACACTGACTATTCTTGCAGAAAACCCAAATTCGTTCGAATCCCAGCACCCACATAGCAGCTAACAACTGTCTGTAGCTCCAGTTCCAAAGATCTGACAGTCTCTTCCATCCTCTGCAGGCATCACATGACACGGGTGCACTTACCTACACGCAGGCAATACATGCATACACATAAAATAAAAATAATAAATTTTTTTTTAAAGACCAAGAAAATGGGGGGGGTAGGCAGAGAGATAGGCAGTAAGATGGCTTAGGAGGTAAAGACACCTGCCACCAACCCGAAAGACCGAAGTTCAATCCCCTGGACCCACATGGTAGAAAGAGAAAACCAATTCCTCCAAAATGTCCTCTGACCTCCACATACTTGCTGTGGCACATGTACAATTCCATACCTAAGGACCCACGTAAACACATGCCACACAGAATAAGCAAACATAAAGAAAAAGAACTGCTGGCCACAGTGGTGCACACCTTTAATCTCAACACTTTTAAGACAGAGGCAGACAGGTACCTGTTGAGTAAGAGGTCAGCCAGAGATACACGGTGAGATGTTAGCTCAAAAAAAGTCTCCTATGGAGCTGGAGAGATGGCCCGGCGGTTAAGAGCACTGACTGCTCTTGCAGAAGACCCGGGTTCAATTTCCAGCACCCACATGGCAGCTAACAATTGTCCGTTACTCTAGTTCCAGGGGATCCGACAGCCTCTTCTGATCTCCTCGGGCATTGCACGACACAGGTGCACTTACCTACATGCAGGCAATATACGCATACACATAAAATAAAAATAATAAAAAAAATTGTTTTAAAGATTTAAAAAACTTTCTTTTCTTAAAAAAATATCTTATTTTATGTGTATGCGTGTATTGCCTGCATGTAGGTAAGTGCACCTGTGTCGTGCAATGCCCGAGGAGGACAGAAGAGGCTGTCGGATCCCAGTCGCAGTTACAGTTGTTAGCTGCCATGTGGGTGCTGGGATTCGAACCCGGGTCTTCTGCAAAAACAGTCAGTGTTCTTATCCACTGAGCCATCTCTCCAGCCCCACTTTTTATCTTTTATAAAAAAAAATTTTTTTTTGTTCTTTTTGAGACAGGGTCTCCCTGTAGCCCCAGCTATCCTAGAACTCACTATGTAGACCAGGCTGGCCTTGAACTCACAGAGATCCACCTGCCTCTACCTCCCAAGTGCTGGGATTAAAGGCGTGTGCCACCACTCCTGGCAATAAAATTTATTTTATTTTTAATTACATGTACATGTGTGTATCTGTATGTGCACATGAGTGCAGGTGCCCAAGTAGTCCAGAAGAGAGCACTGGATCTCCTAGAGCTGAGAGCTGAGCACAGGTCCTCTTCAGGAGCATCAGGAACTTTCAGTCACTGAGCATCTCTCCAGCCCTAAAAAATATAAACATACTTTACAGTGTGTGTGTGTGTGTGTGTGTGTGTGTGTGTGTGTGTGTGTGTGTGTCATGTGTATGGGCAGGCGTGTGCCATGCACATACGTGGAGTCAAAGGACAACTTGCAGGTCAGTTCTCTTTCAACCATGTGGGTTCCAGAAATCAAGATCAGGTCTTCAGGTTTGGCTGCAAGTGCCATTACCTGCTGAGCCATCTCACTGGACCCCTGAAGTCTTCATTTTATTTTTATTTTTCTTTATTTATTTTAATTTTTTTTGAGACAGAGTCTCACTATATAGCCTGGCTGGCCTGAAACGATGTAGATCAGGCTATCCTCAAACTCACAGAGAACTCTGCCTGGCCAGTGCTGGAAAAAAGGTGTGTACCATCACACATAGCAAAGCATTCACCTTTTTGGAATTCTGTTCCCATGTCCTTTTAGTACCAAAATGTTTCATTAGCTCTCTATCTATTCATCACAGGTCTTGAAATGGAGAAGGCACAGTAGAGAATTACTGAAACATCATAATCTCTGAATCTTAACACAGCATCCTGTAAAATGCAGAGACAGACATTTTTAAAAAGATAGGACATGGGGCTGGAGAGATGGCTCAGCAGTTAAGAGCACTAGTTGCTCTTGCAGAGGCCCTGGATTCAATTCTCAGCACCCACATGGTGGTGGCAATGGTCTGTAACTCCAGTCCAGGGGCTCTGATGCCCTCTTCTGACCTCCATGGGCTTCATATGACATGGTGCACTTACATACATGCAGGCAATACACTCAAATAATAAATAAGACTATATAAAAAGATAGAACTAAATGAAAAGTTGTCCAGCAAATGGAGATCCTGAAATACGATTGAGACGTAAATTAAGGGCACCAGGAAACTGAACTAGGTCAATCAGGATGTTCAATCATACCTCAGAGTTAGTAACCTTTACTTTTTGGGTTTTTGTTTTTTTAAACAGTCTCCTTTATCCCAGGCTGGCCTCAAACTCAACATGTAGCTGAGAAAGACCTTGAACTTCTGATCTTCCTGCCTCTACCTTCCACAGGTGTGTGGCACTATGCCCAGTTTCATGCAATACTAGAGATGAAACCCAAGACTCTGTGCATGCTAAGCAAGCACTCTACCAAAGTAAGCTACATTCCCATCCCTAATTTTTTTGGGGGGAGAAAGGGTCTCATGTAGCACCCACTAACCTCAAACTCCTAATCCTCTTGCCTCTCCCTCCTAAGTGCTATTATTACAGGCATGCTTCATCACACTCAGCTCTACAGCAGCTTTTCTAACAAACACTATTCTGGATGGCCCATGTCCTTACCCTACATCCAAGATGATGGTTCCAGACCCCTGCCTTGCTCCAGCTTCACCTCCCACTCAGGCAGCAGGAGCTGACTCTATGAGGCTGATACTGGAAAAAAAAAGATTTCACTGCTTATAAGCCTACAGCCAGCACAGAAAGTCACTGTAACAATCATCCCTCTGCACAGGCACCTAGTTGCTCTTTTGTGAACTTTCTCTCCTTTAAAACAGCCCTGGGTATTCTTATTATTACTATTATGATGGTGGATTATTAAACAGCAGTTAACATTTATTTGGTGCTATATGTTCTATACAATACTAAGTACATTTATTTTTGCATTTAATTCTCATGACAACAGTATTTGGTAGCTACTATCATTACCTTTTTTAAAGATAAGGAAAATTAAACTAAGCCAAGACAATTTTTTCCAAAAAATGCAACTAATAAAATAGCATGCACAGAAGATGAACACAATGTTGTCTCAATCTATAGCCTACACTTAATTACTATATAACTCTGCATCTAAAAGTTCCCTCAACCAAAATGGTGAAGAAAGCCAAACATTGGTATGTTTTGACTTGGCCTCTTGGCACCTATTTCCAGTTATATGAGGAAGAACAGTCCACAACTTCCCCCAGTTACAATCTCAGTAATTTTAATGGAAGTTCCTCCTCCTCACCAAACACTACTACCCTCTGTCCCCGAACTCCACTTCCTCTGTATCTGCTGGAAGAGACAGGCAGGCAGGTGAACACACTGCAGTAGCTCCCTGGAGGCTGGACTCCGCTCTTTCCAGCCTGCTGTCTGCTGTCCCATTTTTTCTTGCTTTCAGCACAACACCAGCTATCATGCACTGGAACCAACTGTGTCCAAGCACCACATACATGTATTAGCTCCTTCTCCACAAGCGCTAGGATCCCTAGTCACAGACAACACTTTGAAGGGCTTAGTCTGATGGAGGACCCCCTTACTCACAATGGAAAACAGGAAATCTGGAATCCAAGATAAAACTTTTGAGTTCTAGTAATACTTTCCTTTTGAGGGTCTTAGTCTTCATTATCTGTGTCTCTTTATGCGTCTTAGGAAACTGGAGAAAACAAGACTTCTCAGCTGCTCAGCTATCTCCAGGTGTTTCAGCCTTTTTTTGTTTTTGTTCTGTTTTGTTTGAGACAGTCTTGCTATGTCACCCAAACTGACCTCCTGCTTCCTATCTTCCTAGAAGTGGGATTACAGGCCTACCTTACCCCACCTCACTAACCCTCCTCCTTTAAACTGTAACTGGAAACTTTACTGAGTTCTATACACTCACATCTGCAAGATTCTTGAGTTCAAAGTCAGACAGGGCTACACAGGAAGATCCAAAAAGGGAAGGGAGGCAAAAAGAGAAGGAGGGTGGGGAAAAAAAGGGGAGGGGGAAGCAAAGAAGGAAAGGCAGCAAAGCTTTGACTGCAAGATGACAGGAGAAATGACCTGGCTGAATCCAAGGTCAATGATTCATCTGGTGGAAAGCTGAACCTAAGTGAATCAAGCCTCTTTCTTAGAACGAACTTAGGTTATTCAACTCGGGTCTAATATGCAAACACCAATGCACTGGCCACTGCCACTTGTAACAAGGAGAGACACTGCCTCCAAAGACAAAATGGCAGCAAGGACCATTTCCAGCTACCTGACTGGGGACAGAGGTGGAGGAGTATGTGGAGACTAGATTCTATCCTGTTGCACTGACTCAAGCAATCAGACTCCTGCAGCAGATAAAACTTTCATGCCATGGACCAGGGATGACCCAATCCAACAGCAGAGGCTGGTTTTACGTTACAGATCCCCCTCACCCCATCACCTCACTGTATCTTCTCACTCCTGACCACATACCACACCACATACGGCTTCACTTGCACCAATTCTTCCTGGCCAAGACAGATGGAAACCGATAGTACTACAACCCATAAAAGAACAACTCCCCCCAAAGCCAGTTACCACTTAACAAATGGCCCATTTTAACAGGCAACTTCCCCATCTCCCCGCCTCCCCTCCTCCCCACCTCCCGCTCCTTCCTTCAAAAGATTGGCGTAAGCAAGGGCTCCATTTTCTGTTCCGGGAATCCTGGCACTTCCTAAAGAAAGAAAGCGGATTGGAAGACACAAACTCAGGGCCAGTGACAAGCTGCTCCCTCCTCCTGTGAGACCGCCCCCGCTACGCCTGGGGGAGGAAGGCCCCACCTCTCTTCTCCAAGCGGGCTCAGGTCCCCCTCCCCCCTTCTCCAGCCCCCTCTCCACCCTCTCCCCACCTGCTGCCCTCTTCCCAACCTGCCCTTCCCAACGCCGGAAAGCCAAGCGCGACCTACACAACCGCGCACAGGGCACCAGCCGGCCCCAATGCCAAACCCCAGTCCCCCTGAGCACCCTGCCCCAGGATAGGGGGGAGGGAGTGTAACCACAGCGAGGCTCTTTCCAGTCCTCCACGCTCAGGCGGGGGAGGGAGAGGGAGAAGGCGACATTCCCTAGCCTTAAATATGAGGAGGTCCAAACATCCACGCCGCCCCCGCAGCACCTCTCGCTGGACAACTGGCCTTCCCCAACGCCAGCCCTCCAAAGCGCCCCTCCCGCAGCGCAGGTCGCCCCCGCGAGCGAGGCGAAGACACGCTGCGCCCCCGCCCCCGCCCCCGCTCCGCGTCCTCCCGACGCGGGGCCCGTAGGACCCTGACCCCCAGCTCCGGGAAGGCAAACACCACACCGCGTCAGGCCGGCCGGCTCGCGGACCAGGGGGTCTGGACCTCCGCGGTCCCCACCCCCCCGAGCCTCCTCCCGACGCGGGGCCCGTAGGACCCTGACCCCCAGCTCCGGGAAGGCAAACACCACACCGCGTCAGGCCGGCCGGCTCGCGGACCAGGGGTTCTGGACCTCCGCGGGCCCCACCCCGCCGAGCCTCTTCCCTCCCCGGACCCGCCTTCCCGCCCCAGCCCTGACCTGTGCCTGTTCCCGGCTTCGGCTCCGACCGCCGCGTCCGCCCCCGCAGGTTCCGCCCGGCTCCCGCGCCGCTCCCTCTGGCGAGTCAGGCCGACGACGGTGAGGCCGCTCCGCTGGCCCGCTCCCCGGCTCCCTCCTTCCTTCCCTCCACCTAGTACCGGAAGCCGTGACGGCGACGGGAGCAGTGCGGCGAACCCCCACCCCAAGCCTGGGATACTTCCCACCTCCACGATCGCGCGAGAACTGCGCGGTAGCGAGTGGCGGTTATCGCGAGACCCATCACCATGGCAGCCGCTGCAGCAGAAGCGACTGAGCGCTGGTGCTGAATCTAGGCGGGGGCCAGTGTGGGGGCTGGAGGCTGCGGGAGGCAAAGGCGGGACCCGGGACCCGGAGCCGGGGATGAGGCTGTGGGGACTGAGGTGAGAATCTCAAACCCAGGGCCTTCCCTGGCATTGAGGGCCGAGGCCACTGACTGTACTGGTTACGCCGCTGAGCTAAATGGTCGCAGGGTCGTCTTAGGGCAAAGCCAGCACCGGTACGGATCGTTGCCGTCACCTGCCTTCTTGGGCCATCTTCGTTAATCTGGCCCAGCAGTATCCACCTCCCGCGCCCCCCACCGTCTGCACCGCTATCGCTGCTTGCTAATTCCTAATAGCCTGAGGTCTGAATCAAATTCTTATCAAACAAGAAGGGAGAGAATAATGCGTTTAAGAGTCTTAGAGGCAATAGACTCCAAGCCACTTAGGAAGCTGGAACTTGAAAGACAAAGGGCAGAACCCTAATATTCAGAGGCGCATATGTCCCTTAGATGAATATGGATTTTAGCGTCTCAAGGAAAATGCACCCATGTTTCTCACTTTCTTCCCATCCGAACTTCCCTTAGACGTAGGTTTTCACCTGGGGAGAAACTCTTGCAATAAATAGTCACAGCTATGTTAGAAACTGCACTGGAAGGATGCTTGTAACGCTAAAAACACAAAGTTCTTTAAATGCATGTAGTAGAAGAGAGCATGTGGCTCTTCCCTAAAGTTTGACCCAAAATTGTCACTTGTGAATGTTTTGCATGATTTATCTCCTTTCAAGAAGGAGACTAGAAAGTGACCATTCTCTGTCCCTTGTCCCATCCATCCCTGGTTTGTGCACTTAGCAGATCCTTTCCTCTTAAGATTGTCTTCTCTTTTATGTTAACCACAAGAATAACATGGCCCTGGGGGCTGGAAAGATGGTTCAGCAATTAAGAGCACTGGCTGCTCTTGCAGAGGACCCAGGTTTAGTTCCCAGCACACACACGAAGGCCAACAACGTCAGTAACTCCAGTTGCAGGATATTCGATGCCCCCTTCTGACCCCCATGAACATTGCAGAACATGAGTGCACTTACACACATGCAGGCAAAACTGCACTCAAAACACATAAAAGTAATTTTTAAATAAGGAATTTTTAAAAAGAATAACGTGACCCAAGAATATGAAACCCAGAGGACCTTAATTTGAGATGATGGTAAGAGATGAGATGGTTAACAATGAACTTGTTTATAACAAAGCGAATTCTCTCTCTCCTGACTCACTGCTATTAAGGGCCTTTCCCCTGTGAAGTTCTGGTTTTGTCTTATTTACTTTTTTTTTTTTTTTGGTCTTTTTGAGACAGGTCTCCCTGTAACCCTGGCTGATCTGGAACTCACTATGTAGAACAGGTTGGCCTCCAACTCAGATCTGCCTGCCTCTGCCTCCCAAGTGCTGGGACTATGGGTATGCACCACCATGCCCGCCCAGCAGTCTTTTATTTACTTTTTAATATCTATTTACTTCATGGGGGGGGCATGTGCACTATAGTACATGTGTGGAAGTCAGAGGACTGCTTTGAGGAGTTGGGTCTCACCTTGTACCTTGTTGAAGCACAGTCTCTGTTTGATCCCTAGAAGTCCTGTAAAAAGCTAGAGAGATAGCTCAATAGTTAAGAGCACATACTGCTCATCTGGTGTGCGTGTGCCACACTTAGGGCTAGCCCTATGCTCCACCTCCATCTCACCATAGGAATGCTGGGAATATGGTTGCATCATTAGCATTCCAACTTAAAAAAATACTTATTTACTACTTTATTTTTTTGAGACAGGGTCTCACTCTACAGTCCTGGATGGCCTAGAACTCCTTCGGTAAACCAGACAGGCTTCGAAGAAGTTACTTTTAATTATGTGTATGTGGGGGGAGGGAATAATGTACATGTGAGCAGCCTTGCTTACAGTTCATCTGCAGGTGCCCGTAGAAGGGAGAAGAGGGTGCTGGATCCCCTAGAGCTGGAGTTGCAAGCAGTTGTGAGCTGTTGGATGTGAGTGCTGGAAACTGGGTCCTCTGCAAGAGCAGTATGTGCTCTTAACTACTGAGCCATCTCTCTAGCTTTTTATACAACTTCTAGGGGTCAAACTCAGGTCATCAGACTTGCATGGCTAGCACTTTAAGGGTTAAGCCATCTCCCTGGCCCAAGGTTTTCAAGGCAGAAGACTCCCCCAGTGTAATTATACATTCCTACAGTGAGCACTGTGATACCTTTATGTGATTACACCTTGCACTTCTTTCCAAAAACTTTCTAGTAATGCCCTACCAGGTTATATACCCCAATACTCATCACCAGAATTATACTTTCCAACCACCTACCTACCCAACCTCCCTAGTGCACCAGCCATACCAGAACATCTTGTGGGATTCCAACAAAGAGACAGAACCTGTGGAACAACGCAGACTTCAGATGTTCTCACTGTCGTATCCCCGGAGTGAAAGAAAGCTGAAAATGATGACAACCTACTATGATTAGCAGGCAGCATCATGGTATATGACTCAAGGATGGTGGATGGGACTGAAGAATCCCCCAGCTTCTTTGTCCTTAGGACTTCTGGAGTATGGAGAAGAAAATGTCCATTGTAACATCACAGGGGTTTGGCCACGGCACCAGCAGGAGTAGAGATAAGAGGAATGCCCCTTGCTGACAACTCACTAGTCACTGCCACTCTCCAGTGTCCCAGCCACTTGGTGAGAGTGGAGGAAGAAAAGTTCATCCAGACCTAAAGGAAGCCCAGGAGCCTGACTTCCAGTTCATCTGTCTTTTCCCCTCCTTCTAGCTGCCACTGGAGCCCAGTAAAAGCTGAAATTGTAGCCATCATCTCTGTGGGTTGCATAATCCCACCCTGTCACTGACCCGCAGACCTAGGCCTGAGCCTAGTGCGTGTGCCTGGAGGGGGTGTTGGCCTTGCTGACAAAATCCATTTGGAATTTGTCAAGGTTGTGGTCTGGGGCTTAAATTTGCCACAGAGTATGTTGGAAGAAGGAAAGCTAGAAAAGAAAGGAAGCCAGAGAGACTACAGGAAGCAAACAGGAGAAAGTTAAAATACTCCTGCCACAACTCCACTGGAGAGCATCCTTCGTCATCCTTACTGTAAAAAGCCCCATTTTGGACAGTTTCTATCTGTGTCGTACCCTATGCCCATTGTAAGTGCATTCCACTCTTATCCATCTCCCCATATACACAATAGGTTCAGCAAGTATCTCATAACTCCTGGTACCACCAAATTACCAAACCCAGAATACTCAGTGCTCAAGTGGAAATCCAGGACATAAAATGTTGCCATGGGGCTGGAAGAAGGTTCAGCACTTAAGAACACTTGCTTGGTTCCAAGTACCCATATTAGGCAACTCAAAACCACCTAAGACACAAACTCCAGGGCATCCAACATCCATCTTCTGGACTCCATGGGCACCTGTACTCACACATGCACATACCCACACACATATATACACAAAATGAAAAAAAAATTGAATGTAGGCCAGGCATAGTGGCATACTCTTTTAATCCCAATAGTTGGGAGGCAGAGGTAGGCAGATCTCTGTGAGATTAAGGCCAGCCTGGTCTATATAGTGAGTGTCTCAAAAAAAAAAGTTGCCATGAACTATTGCCCTGACCCAATATTCCACAAAATTTCCTGGCACCCTTGGTACTTGATTTGAGGGAAATTTGGGCAGCAGATACATTATTACCCAGAGAGGTGAGAGCACTACTTCTACATTCTGTGGAAGCATCTTGTAGCCCCCTAACTATGCAGAAGTTCTGAATGTGGGGAAGATCCTTTTTCCACATTGCATCTTGGAAAAATAAATTTATTTCTAAGGATACTGTACTATGAATAGAGGTTAGAGAAGAAATTCTCTCTGATGATCTCTTAAAAGATAATAGAGGGGCACAGCAAGATGGCTCAGCAGGTAAGGGCACTTATCACTAAGCCTGAAGACCTGTGTTTGATCCCTGGAACCCATGTGGTAGAAGGAGAGAACCAACCTCTGCAGGTTATCCTCTAACCTCCACATCTGTGGCACAGTATGCATGCACCCGCACATATACACACACAAATAAGTTTTTTTTAATTTAAAGAGAAAAATTATTTTACTCAGATTAAGTACAAAAGAACAATGAATAAAGGACAAAATACATGTGCAAATAATTCAGTGGCAGAGAATGCTAGTTCTGCTAGAAATCTCTCATTTTGCCTGGGCATGGTAGGGCCCATTTGGTTTTATTGTTGTTTTATAATTTTTTTATTGAATTTTTGTGTATTTCATACAGAAAATCATCTTTATATCTCCCTTCCCTTTTGGCACCCTTCCATAGCCCTGGAGTTCATACATTCTGTCATTTGTGTTAAGGCCTATCATATAAAATTTGTGTCCCCAGATGTCCCTCAGTGCAAGTTCATCCACTCAGATCTAGTCAGCCTATCTAGAGTCCCTCCCTTTAAGAAGATCAGCTCTTCCTCACCCAGCAGTAATCAGCTGGCAATAATTCTTTGACTAAGATTATGGCCTGCTGTCCATTTCCACAGTTCTGTGCTAGGTATTTGTCTGCTTAAATTTGCATGGGTCTTGTGTATGCTGACACCACTGCTGTAAATTCTTATGAGAAGAGTCCCAGGAGCCTGTAGGACTATTTCCATATGTTGACGCACCTCCTCCCTGGCTCTTACAATCTTTCCCAGTGGGGCCCACTTGTAATGTCAGTACTCAGGAGACTGAAACAGAATAGAGAGTTTGAGGCCAACCTGGGATATATAGTAACTTCCTGGCCGTCCTAGGGTACATTCCTCAACAAACCATAAAAACAAAAGAACTGCCTGGTGGGGCACACCTTTAATCCCATTCCAGCATTAGGGAGGCAGAGGGAGGTGGATCTCTGTGAGTTCAGGCCAGCCTGGTCTACATAGCAAATTCTAGGTCAGCTAAGGCTACAGGGAAACCCTGTCTCAAAAAGGTCAAAAAAAAAAACTTGAAAACCCTAGCAAATGTGTGCCTTCATAGTATGTGGGAGGAGGACTAAATCTGGTCTGTACCCTAGTTTTGTGAATTGTTTTGCATGTAACCATACCCATTCATTTATGTATGGTGTATGTCTTCTTTGCTCTATCCCCTGCTGACACAGCAGATAGAGTAATTATGGTAGAGGTGAGTAGTTGACACAAAGACCACAATATAGATCATCTAGTATATTTACCATCTAGCCCTTTACAGAAAAAAATATTGCCAACCTTTGTTCTAGGTAATTACCAAGGTGAGACCTGGAGTTGAGGTGCTTTAGAATGAACAGGGCCTACATTTGGATCTGTAAGCCCTCCCACCCAGAAGTCCCCCTTGGTTTTACAAATTAAAAATTTCCAACTATGTCACTGAGCATCAAAACGTTTGTGGAAGTCAGTAAGATATACATAAAGTCATTGAGTACAGGAGCATAGGAGTCTTCACCTGGAAAAGAAACCATAGGCTGGTGCCCTAAACTTGGCTAGATATATCACCGTCTGCATTCACTAGACAGGTTACTTAATTTATTTTAGTTTCAAACAGGAACCAAGAACATATTTCAGTACAATAAATTATCCATTCCCACCCTTCCTGCTGGGGAAGGGAAAGAGGCTCCAAGAGTCATAGATCAAACATTTCCTTTGGAGGGGCTCCTTTAACATCTGAATGGAAGGAGACATTTCCCTAAGGGCCTGGATGGACAGCTCTTTGGAGACTCAGAGTTCCCTCTCCTACCCCCAGTGTTATGTCCTTTCCCAATCAAAAACCTCTCTACCATTACTGTCACCCATGGTCCCTAAAAGGGGGTCCAGATTGTAGTGGAGGAATTTGAGAACTGTAACTGGGAAGAGATGGTGTCTTTGTATATACAGGTCTTAGTTAATATGATTCCATACAATGCCAGATGTTATCCTTCAAGGAAGAGGAGTGGCTAAATTATAGAAACTCCCCAGCCAAATAAATCTGGGCCAAAGCGATCCAAGGGTTGAGAAGAAGGGAACAGTATCGTGTATTTCATCTTAGTCCATTCAGATGTTTTAATGAACAGAAGACCCTGGCCACTTCCCCTGAAAGGCTGCATATCACAGGCTCCACCTGACCCACATGACCCCTAAAGCTGTTTCCAGGTAGATACTTGAGCGTCCACTGGCCAAGATTAACCCTGAACAGAAATCAAAGCAAAGGGCTGAGAAAGCCCATCCCACACAGTCCTCTTCCTTAACCCAAGGTGAGGCTGACCTTCACTTACACACATTGACCCATTCTGTGACTTTGCACTCATCACACAGCACATAGCAGCACCAGTGGAAACGGCAATGGCAGCGCTCAACTCGTGTCTGTCGGAGCACGTTGTGCCCTCGGCCACAGCACAGGCTGCCACAGCCATCCAACAGGCGGCTGGTCTTGTTGCAGACCCGGCCTCTTGTGCCTGGGGAGCCCACCGTGGGGTCCCTCTCACAGAAGTCTGGGGACTTCTCAAAGTAGACCAGCTCTCCTGAGAGGCGACGGGGTCGCAGGCGGGGCTGGAAAGCTCCAGAATTGCGGTTATGGGTATCGATGAAGATGGCTCTGCTCAACCGCTCTCTCAGTGCTGCCCCTACAGCTCGGAACTCAGGGGCTGCCCTCCAGCATGTCTTGAACTGGCAGCTGCCTGATGTGCCATGACACTTGCACTTCCGCTTCAGGTTTTCGGTTACCACCTAGAACATCGGAGGGGCAAGAAGTGAGGAGGTAGGCAGTAAATGAATAGAGTTCAGGGACATGGGAGAAGAGAATAGGGAGGGACAAATAGAATGCCAGAAAAGTTAGCCCCTAGCCAGAGCAGCCTGAGTTGCCTGTCTTTGATCACTAGCCCATGACAGACACAGGAATCAACTTCAGTTGTTCTGACTTCCAGTCCAGCGCTCTTTCCAGAGTAAGCACTGAAAAAATGGGGTGTGTAGCACAGAGTGCCCCTAAAGTCCATAGGGAAGGCAGTTGTTATAACATCTCTTTGCAATGCACCAAGCACTAGGCACAATAAGGAACATAGTATTTGCTAGCTCAGCCTTGACATTCAACATCAGGCTCTTCTATAGATGCAGAGTGTGGGCTGGGTGACTTGCTAATGACCAGTGGTAAGCACTCATCATACCTCATCCTATTCTGCAACTGCTCAGAAGAAGGGCTGGGGGCGGGGTGCTGGGCCTAGTGGCACACATCTATAATCACAGAACTCAAGACTGTGGACTCAAATTTTGAGGCTAGCCTAAACTACTAGCAAAACCTTGTCTCAAAATATATATATGACCCAGGACAAGATGAACACACATACCTGGCGCCCCACCCTGTTGTTGTGGATTCGCATTCGTGCCTGGATGTCCCTGGGAGCTTCCCTGGAATCCAAGAAATCCCGAGAGAACTTCTCTCCAAAGTCCATGTCATGGTTACAGCCAGCCCATTCCCATGTGTCCTGGGGGCCAGGATTGGGGCCAGAACCAGGGACAGGGCTGGGCACTGAGTGGGGAAAACTCTTGCCCCGGGACAGTGCCTCCAGCTGCAGCAGTTTGGCTCGAAGCCGGTCCTGCTCACCACTGCCCTTCCAGCCGCAGCCACAGCTCACCAGCTTGCCCAGGCTGCAGGCTGTGGCAACAGCATGCATGACCCCAGCAGCCAGCATGGAGAAGGAGAAAGCACTCTCACGGAAACCTGGGGAGGAAAAGGGTTGTGTTGGTGGAGCTAAGGTTGACAGGCAGCTGAGGATGGAAGGCAGGAAGAAATTAACAGCCACCCTTCAATTATTTTTTTTTTAAGACAGGGTCTTGCTACCTAGCCCAAGTTGGCCTTGAACTTTTGGCAATCCTCCTGCCTCAGCCTTCTGAATCCTGAGATTACAGGTGTGAGAGCCACTACGCCCCACCAATGCCAGAAATTTCTAACTGAATACTGGCTCTGTCATTTACCAGTTGAGTGATTTGGGACAAAGTCCTGGGACAAGAACTAGCATTAGGTCTCAATTTCCTCATCTGTAAAGGGAAACCCATAGGTCAAGATCTCGCTGGAGCCAATTCTCTGTAAATTTGTGATTTTCAGGTGTAAATGTAAGAGCCAGCCCAGGAGAGACCTCTGAAAGTGAAAGATGCCTAAGAGGGAGTCCCTGAGGACTCTGAAGATGTGTTGAAGGAATTCTACATCTGAAAGCCTTAGAAATTCCCCCAGCCCTGCAGGGGAGCCTAGGGTGCTGGGAGCAGAAGCCTTCGGGGTTCTCTCCCTTTTACTAAACTACCACCACCTTAACAACCCTAACACACTGGAGCTGTGGGACTGCCCTTCCCCTTCCCAGGTTCTAGTTTTATATTTGCCCTTCAAGATTGCCCTTTATGTTTATTCTAACCTGCTATTACCCTATAAAACACTGGGAGGAGGAGCAAGGCGGGGGTGATTCTCCCTAAGGCCCTTTTAAAAGGCTGGCCTCTTGGTTATGTTTTGGGGGTCACTGAGGAGGCTCGGGATGTCAAACCTTTCCCAGATTTGGGTGTCAAAGCCTTCAACTACACAAGGCCCTGTGGAGAATGAGGGGTCTCTCACTCCATTTTTAAGCAAGGGCTCTCAGGAACCCTGAGAAGATGAAAGTCAGTACCTCCTGGGAGGCCAGGCAGATCTCAAGCAGGGAATCCAAGACTCCTGGGCCAGCCTCAAGATCCCCCTCCAACCCTCCAAGGGTGAAGCTGTTTCCACACGTCTTGGGAATTCCCCTGCAGATGGCAGCTGCCTATTAACCCCTTAGTCCCCAAAGCACTACCCTACCCCTAGGCTGAGCCCCAACGAATCTCTGCTCCTCAGGGAGTAAACTTGGGCTGAGCATGGGGAGAGGCAGTGGAGCCTCTCAGACCATTCCTTCTAGACCGGACCAGCAGTGACCTGTTCTCTGCCCCTCCAGCCATTCCTCACCTGCTCAGGTGAGGGACACCTGGGGCCCCCACAGCACAGAGGAGGGGGCTGCTCCCCAGCTTCAAAGCCATCAGGGTCTTTGTTCCCAGCTTTTGGCTCCTGGGAACCCCAGCAATTAGGGGAGCAGGTTTAACCCTTAAACGGTTGGGGGCGTCACCCCACCCCCGCTGAGACTCTGGGGACACCAGCCTGGGCTTGTTTCAGTGGAGAGGGAGGGGAGAGGAAAATGGGGGGGGTCGTTTGAAGCTTCTAGGGTTGGGGCATCTCTTGCTCACAGGTGCAACCCACCTCCAGCTGGGTGGAGGCAAAAAAGGGCGGGAGGGGTGTCTAGGCTAGGGGAGCAGGGACCCAGCTGCCTTGCCAGCAGCGCAGGTGGAAGACAGGCGGACAGAGGCCCAGACGGGTGACCAGACCCAGCTCAGTGCGGCTCCCTGGGAAATTCCCCGAGAGGCCCCTCCCACCCCCGCGCGCCCCTGCCTGCCCCGCACCCCTAGCCTGGGCCGCAGCTTAGACACCCGCCCCTCCAGGCTCACCGCGCTTGAGGATGGCGCTGTGGTGCGGCAGGCGGCCACCGCCCTCCAGGGCAGAGCAGTTCCAGCGCTGGTCCCGAAGCTGGTGCTGACACTCGTGAACCGCGATGTGCAGACCCTGAAGCGCCGACGCCGTCACGTCGGGGCTGCGTAGACACAGGCCTAGCTGTCGCTTACTCAAACCCGACAGGGTCAAGCACACGGTGTTGGCAGTCAGCGGCGGCTCACCAGGAACTTTCAGGCCCAGAATCTCATTGCTTAGAGCCCTGGGAACAACGGACAAGGCGTCTCGGGATCTGTGGTCCAAGTCACTTGCCCTCCCTCCGACTCCCCAACCCATGCCAGGTCGGTGCTTTTCCCGTTGGCTGGAAGACAGGAGAAACTGCTCACCGACTGCACAAGGCCAAGAACAGGAGACCCGCGAGGCCCGAGGGCGGAGGTCGAGACCGGGGCTCCTCCAGCATGTCGAAGCCCGGAGGCTCCGGGAGGCGGATCGGTCAGCGCCTGCAGGACAGGGGATTTGATGGGCAACAGAGCGGCTCCCGGGAATCCGAGGATGCGTTACCTTCGGCCTCTTAAGCCACCGGAGCCGCCCCACTGACCTTTCTCACCTCTCCCCAAACTAAACAATAAGTCACCCCTTGATTCCCAGAGTCTCTCCTCAGGAGCTCTTTAAAGAAGGGTCCAAGCCTCAGAGCTCACGGGAGTCTCTGGAGCTCTACCCTGTCAGAAACAATGCCCCTGTCCTGAGATACACTCACATGCAAACTCAAGACAGTTGCTCTCAAACCCTCGCCCCCACCTCACCAACCCACTGCTCCCTCTTTGAGGGCCCCACGACTGACTTCCCCCGCCTTTACAGGGATAGAGGGAGGGATCGGAAGGGGGTTCCCCACCACCTGGAGGGGGTGTCGCCTGCCGGTGCTGGCAATAGCAGGCAAGCTAGGTTAGAAGGGTCCAAGACCAGGCTCTCCACCCCACTCTACACCCTCCGGGGGCCCAACAGGAAAAAACAAACAAACAAACAAAAAAACCGAGAGGCTCTAGGCGAGGGGGGAAACCAGGTGCCCTCCTGCAAGTGCCACAATCCGAGTCTCTTTCCCATCTAACTCCACTTTCCTAACTACGTGCTCGGTGCCACCCGACTGGTCCCCGCGGGGCCCCCCCCCCCCCCCCCCCCCCCCCCCCCCCCCCCCCGTCCCCACCTCTTTCCTTTCGCCTTCATTGCCCTCTAATCCGGAGGCGACCCTTTAGTCTGTCTGCATCTCTAGCAATAGCTCTGACTCTCTCTTCGTGTCTGTGCTCTTGTGGGTGGATGTCTGTCTGTCTGTCTGCCCGCATGCCTGTCTGGTCTGGGTGCGCGCGTCTCTGCCCTCCCTGTTTTCCCGCCTCGCATTTACCTCCAGCGGTTCAGGTGCACGGTCCACGGCCCACGCGGCTGGGTCGCCTGGGCTCGGCTCGGTGCTTCTTAAACCGTGGGGAGACAGTGTCGGGCTCTGCCTCCTCGACACACCAGCATTCTTCCAGCTGGGCCACTCCTCTTTGCCGCTTCCCCAGCGCCGGCCGCGGAGAGGAAGGGAGGGTAGAAGGAGAAAGAGATCCAGAGAGCTAGGGAGCGAACCCGCAAGCGGAGCACTGGGGGCTTTGGCTCTGCTCCGCCTAGCTCACGGGTGGTTCTTCTGGAGCTGACGAAGCTGCGGCCCCTCCCAGAGCCCGGGGCATCCCAACCCCACCCGCACCCCACCCCTTGCCTTGACCAGGGGAACGCAGCTGCCCCCCTCTCGGCGTACACACACACACCCTCTCCCCCGACGCCCGGGTTCAGGATCAGGTCCACTCAAGGGTGAAGTGGCCAGAGTTTTTCTCACCTGCTCTGGGGTCTCCAAGGCTGTAGAGTGGGTGCAGTGACCCAGCTAAGGAGCCAGGACCCGGCCCTAATGGCAATATCTTTCATCATTTCTCTTTGCCTCAGTTTCCCCAGCGAATGGGATGACTGGAGAGCTCCTTTGACAAGATGAGGACGGAGCTGAACTACCTTCGCGTTTCAGACTTTGGGCAGTCGCTGGTAGAGCCCACAGCCTGAGCGCACCACAGGGCACTCTGAGCCTGCAAGAAGAGAGTTCTGCTCTGCGGCTTGGCTCCGGCCCACCTCCTAGCCATACGCCTGCCCTTTGGGAGGGGTCAGCTTCGGCCTCAGAATTTGTCCCCATTTAAAGGCTCCGGTAGCCCCCAAAGATGTCCTGCCTATCCCTGCGCCTCCCGTTTGTAGGCATCCTTCCCAGAGGTCTCCTGTCCAGAATTCCTGGGTTTGCTCTTGAGATGGCCCAGATTCCTGCGCCAGACTTGCACACTTGCTTCCCACGGACGGAGGAAGGCCTTGAGATTCCAAAATTGAGCCCAGCACCATGACAGCAGGTAAAAACCTGGTCTTGGGGTGCACGGGCGGAAGGAAAACGCCTTAGGGAGCTCTCGCGGCAGCGAAGGGGTTAGACGTCACCGCACTCCCGCCTGACTCACCCTCCTAGCTCTAACCACTGCGGACTATTTTTGCCAGAGAGGGGCCCCAGGCTTCCCAACCGCCCGAAGCCCCTGCCAGACCGCACACCAAAGCACGGCTGGCCCTGAGCACCCAAGGCTCACTGACTCAGGGACCACCCCCAGGAAACAGAAGCACAGGGCTGCTACTCACAGCCACAATCACCTCTTCCCTGGTGGTGACCCGCAGCCCTGCTGGGCATCCAACCCCTGGTCTGCATTGTTGCAAGTCTTGTCTTGGGCTGAAGGGGGCGCCATGACAGTGTTCCCGAAAAGGTTAGGGATTTCCGTTGGTGGCGGTATTTACTGAATGCTGGGGCGGTGAGAGTGCCTTCATCCCTACAATGCACAGCCTAGACCACAGGGGTTACTTTTATGATTCCTCACCTCTGAGGTAGGGAAAGGCAACCCAAGAGCTGAACCATCTTCCTATTTAGAGGGCAAGGGTCAAACCATGTATGACTTTTGAGGTCACAAGCCCTATCTCTCACAGAAGTTTCCACCCTTACACCTGGACTCAGGATCCCCACCAGTGCCCCATCTTTTCTCCTGCTTGTCAGCCTGGGACTCACCCAGATCCCTGGAGGAGGGGAGTGGTGTTTCCTATTCCCCATTTTTCCATAAGCTTCTCATGGACATTCATGTTTCTTCATATGGCTGTGATCTCTCTCATGTTTTGGATTTTATTTTTGTTTTGTTCCCTTTTGTTCCTTCTCTGATACTAGACTTGTCTGGCTCAGCATACAGTCAGGTGTCAAGAAGGGACTGGGGTCAGAAGCACGGCCTTAGGTTCAACTTCTCAGTGACCTGGGGGCTCCCCAAGTTGGACTGTTTCAAACCTAAGGACTCATACTGGTGCTCCTCCCTGATGAAGCCTAGCTCTGAGATAAGAAGCCACAGGCAGGGAGGCTTGGGTGGCCTGAGTAGGCCCACAGTGCCCTCCAGCCCACCGGCTGGCCTGAGCAGTGACCCACAGGCAGCTTGAGGGCGGTGGGACAGGCGGGGCCTGGAGAGGGCTGTGGGTGCACACCCATTGCCTAATACCCCAAGCACGCAGCCAGCTCCAGGAAAGGGGAGGGGCAGGAATCAGAGAGACCTTAACAAGGGTTGGGACAGTGACAGGAGGGGGAAGGAAGGGGACTGCCATCACTGCAGGGAGGAAATAAGAGTAACCTGGTCCACCTTCCTCTTGAAAAAAGTAGAAGGCTGCTCTGCCCATCGCGGGAATAGAGGGTATAGCAAAAGCATTGTGGGAAGAACGTTGAGGCCCTGCAGGGTGGGAGCCAAATTAAAAAGTAGGAGCCTCTAGAGATGGGGGATCAAGCAACTGAGGAGGTGGCCAAAGCTCGGGAACCTCCCCCCCCACCCCATGTTTGCCTTGGCCCGGGGTCCTGGGTGACTCATCTGTTGCTAAGCGGCTGATAGGGGCGGCCAGCCCAGGGAACCCAAATTATAGGCCCGGGAGGGATGGATGCACCCGTGGCGGTGAGCTCAGCTGTGCTGCCTACCCTCCACCTCACACGTCTTCTGCTGCAGCACCAAAGGCCACCACCCGGAGGCACCAGAGGAGCTGCAGACAAACTGCTGGACTTCAAGGAAGCCTCCACATTCCGCAGTTGTTAGCCTCAAGGAGACCCAAAGGGCAGTGCTGTTGAGTACTGGTGCTTCAAAGGCAAGAGGCTCTTCTGCCCAAGAACTCTCAGCCCTGTTTCCCCCCTTTCTTTCTAGATCCTAAGATCTAAGCAAAGCTCCTTTCCCCTCCACTACCTCTCTTCTATCCCTATGGGGGTGGGGGATAAGGAAGTGGAGGGGGGTTGCTACTGATTTTCTGTTTCAACCCTTTAAAGTTATCTGTAGTCAGAGTGATACATAAGGAGCTGGATGTGGTGACACACACCTGTAATTCTAGCACTCAGGATGCTGAGGCTAATCTGGGCCACATAGCAGTATCCATTACTACTTTAATCCCACCACTCAAGAGGCAGAGGCAGGCATATCTCTGTGAAATTGAGGTCAGCCTGGTTTATATAGTGATTTCCAGGCCACCCAGGGCTACAGGGAGACCTTGTCTCAAAAAGACCAAAATGGGCTGGAGAGATGGCTCAGCGGTTAAGAACACTGACTGTTCTTTAGAAGACCCAAGTTCGAATCCCAGCACCCACATGGCAGCTAACGACTGTCCATAACTCCAGTTCCAGGGGATCCGACAGCCTCTTCTGTCCTCTGCAGGCATTGCCCTACACAGGTGCACTTACCTACATGCAGACAATACACACATACACATAAAATAAAAATAATAAATGAAATATTTAAAAAGACCAAAACAAACAAAAAAATAAATGATATGGGAGAAAAATAAAGCAGAATACTAGAGATTGGTAGTGGGATTTTATAAGGGATGAGAGAGAGGAGATGTGCTGGATGCTTTAGTGTCAACTTGACACACCTGGGTTGAGGGAGCCTCAATTGGGGAATTGCCTTTATTGGACTGGCCTGTGGCCATGTCCATGGGGCACCTTCTTGATTGTTGAGTGACGTGGGAGGGCCCAGCCCACTGTGGGTGGTGCCACCCCTGGGCAGGTGGGCCTGTGTTGCATAAGAAAGTAGGCTGAGCGGGGGGCCAGGGGAGCAAGCCAGTAAGCAACATTCCTCCATGGCCTGTGCTCCAGCTCCTGCTTCCAGGTTCCTGCCCTGAGGTCCTACCTTGGACTCCTGGATGAACTGTGACCCAAGAGATGTAAGCTAAATAAAGCCTTTCCTCCCCAAGTTGGTATTGGTCAGAGTATTTTGTCACAGCAATGAAGAAACAAACTAAGACAGGAGGAAATGAAGGAACAAAGGCTTGAAGATACCTAAAGAAGAACATTCCAGGGGCTGGAAAGATAGCTCAGCGGTTAAAAACACTGACTGCTCTTGCAGAGGACATGGATTCGATTCCCAGCACCCACATGGCGGCCACAAACCTTCCTTAACTCCAGTTCCAGGGGAATCTGAAGCCCTCTTCTGACCGTTGCAGTGTTTCATGACACAGGTGCACTCATATACATGCAGGCAATACACTCATACACATAAAATAAAAATAATATTTTTTTTTTGGCTTTTTGAGACAAGGTCTCCCTGTTGCCTCAGCTGTCCTGGAACTCACTATGTAGACCAGGCTGGCCTTGAACTCACAGAGGTTCGCCTGCCTCTCCCTCCAGAGTGCTGGGATTAAAGGCGTGTGCCACCATGCCTGGCTAAAAATAAAATATTTTTTTAAAAAAATAATAAACATTTAAAAAAAGAAGAAATGGTTAAAAAAAAAAGAGGTCCCCAAAGAGTGACAGTTTTTTTTAAAAATATTTTATTATTTTTATCTTATGTGTGTATTGGCTGCATGTAGGTAAGTGCACCTGTGTCGTGCAATGCCTGAGAAGGACAGAAGAGGCTGTTGGTAACTCCCTCATACTGGAGTTACGGACAGTTGCTAGCTGCCATGTGCGTGCTGGGATTCGAACCCAGGTCTTCTGCAAGAACAACCAGTGTTCTTAACCGCTAGCCATCTCTCCAGCCCCAGGGGACAGTTTTTAAAAATTAGATTTATTTATTCATTATTTAGTGGGGTGTGGATGTGCGGTGGCATGTGTATGGAGAGCTAAGACACCTTGGAGGAATGGTTCTCTCCTTCCACCATGGGAGTCTATGAGATTGAACTCCAGTGGTCAGGTTTGGGAGCAAATGCCTTTACCCACTGAGCCATCTTGCCAGCCTGTGGCAGTCAATTTTGTATCAATTTTGAAAAGGGACCCCAGCCTGCTCTTGCTACACACTGGCAAGCAGCTGATAATGTAGAAAGAATAGGCATGGGCTTTCTTTGAGTTCAAATACTCGGGACTGCCAGTCCTGGTGGGGCATGCCTCTAATCTTAGCACTTGAGAAGTGGAGGCTGGAAGATCAGGAGTTCAAGGCCAGTCTCCACTACACCTTGAATCTGAGACCAGCTTAGGCTGTATAAATTTTGGAGACGAGAGAGAGAGAGAGAGAGAGAGAGAGACAGAGACAGAGACAGAGACAGAGAGACAGAGAGAGAGAGGAAGAAACCCTCAAAAAACAAAACTTTTCATTCCTTCTGCCTCAGCCTCTCAAGTTCTGGCATTGCAGGCATGTGCCACCATGTAGAGTTGAACTGGGTTTTATTATAATTCTAATTATAATTAATTAATTAATTAATTATTGAGATGGGGTCTTGCTACACATTCCAGGCTGACCTTGAATTCACTGTGTACCCCAGGCTGGCCTCAAATTTGAAGCAATCTTCTTGAGTCTTTTCTGTTTGCTTGCTTGTTTCCCAAGTACTAGGATTATGAATATGCTCCACCACACCTGGCTGGTCTGTTTGCTTGTTCATTTAATTGTTTATGTTTATTTATTTAACATGTGCGTGTGTGTGTGTGTGTGTGTGTGTGTGTGTGTGTGTGTGTGATGCGCAGATCTGGGCTTACATGGAGGTCAGAAGACAACTTTCAGGAGATGGTTTTCTCCACCATGTGGGTCCTGGATCAAACTCAGGTCCTCAGGCTTGACAGTAGTGCCTTTACCTGCTTTACCTTGTGATCTGTTTCTAGTTTTATTAAAAAATATTTTATTTATGGGGCTGGAGAGATGGCTCAGCGGTTAAGAGCACTGACTACTCTTGCAGAGGACCTGGGTTTGATTCCCAGAACCCACATGGCAGCTATGAACCGTCCTTAACTCCAGTTCAGGGGAATCCGAAGACCTCTTCTGACTTCCTAGGCATTGCACAACACTGGTGCACTCACATACATGCAGGCAATAGACGCATACACATAAAATAAAAATAATAAAATATTTTAAAAATTATTTTTATTTTATGTGCATGTGTGTGTAGGTAAGTGCACCCATGTCATGCAATGCCCATGGAGGACAGAAGAGGCTGTCAGATCCCCTGGAACTGGAGTTCTAGACAGCCATCAGCTGCCATGTGGGTGCTAGGATTCGAACCTGGGTCTTCTGCAAGAACATTAAGTGTTCTTAACCACTGAGCCATCTCTCCAGCCACCACCACCCTTTCTATTTTTAAAGACAGTGTCTCTCTTGTATCCCAGGATGGTGGAGAATCACTGAACTTCTGGTCTTCCTGCCTCCTGAGTGCTACAATTACAGGCATGTGCCAGGATGTCTGGGTTTTGTGGCTGTTGTTTGTTGTGGTGCTGGGATTCTAAGCCAGGGCTTCTTGCATGCTAGGCAAGCATTTCATCAACTGAGCTATAGTCTTAGCCATTTATTTGTTTGTTTGTTTATTTATTTATTTATTTATTTATTAATAAGATCTTATGCAGCCTAGGCTGGCTTTGAACTCCTGATCCTCAGCCTCCCATGTATTGAGATTAGAGATGTAATCCCAGAGCCACTGGCACTCAACTCTGGTCTGGGTTTTGAATTGACTTTAACATTGATTGGATTTATTAGCTGTGACCTCGAACCACTACCTCATCAATTGCTTCCTTGGTAAATGAAAGAGAGGAGAAAGATCCTACCTTGGAGGGTGAGAGGGATTCCCTGTGTGGCAGTGGGGCATAATAACCAAGCTGGCAGTGCCCCCTATTTCCTATATAGGGAACAGCAGCTCGTTCAACAAGGAAGCATGACCTTGAAGATGGATTGGAGTCTCTAGGAAAGAATAGTGCAGAGTGGATGAGATTGTTGCTGGCACTTGGATGAAAGTAGGAAACAATAGATTTGTGGTACCAATGGAAGCATAAATTTGTTCATCTTGAGCTGGGAAAGTGTGATGGCACATGCCTGTAATCTCAGTACTCAAGAGTCTGAGACAGAAAGGATCATTATGAGATCCAGTTGTATTTCGAACCCCAGGTTAGGCAGAGCTACACAGCAAGATCTCTTCTCAAAACAATAGCAACAGCAAAAGCAAAAAGCAAAACAAATCTGATAATGCAGGTTCCTTTCAGCAGGCATCCTCTTCCCAGTCCTCTGTGACCTGACACCTACTCAACTATCCCATCCTTTTGGAGACTAGTTGTCAGAGACTCAGTTCTGGCTCAGCATCATAGCCCTTTCACTGTAGGCTCAGGTCCCTCCCCTAATGACAGGCACAGCCTGAAACATGCCTCAAGGTGACACACCATAGGATGACAGAAGGTACCCAGAGCGACAGAGTGACACATACATGCACATATTTAATCTCCCCCATGCACACACTCATCCACCCACCTCCAAACACAATTCCAGACACTTTCCATCTTACAGTCAAGCTTCTGTGGCAGATACTACCTCTCTCAACAAACTGCCTTAGGCAGTTACTGTGGCAAAATGACTTAGTGATCTCTCCAAAATTATTTGGAAAGGGTTCCAAATGGCTCTCTTTAGAAGTTTCTGAGCGTACCAGTATTGCATGCTCAGAACACATGCTTTCTCAACTTACATTCACATTGTTGCACATAGACAATTGAGCTTTCATATCTCACACATAAAAACTGCTGTACAGGTGGGTGTGGTGGCACATGCCTGTAGTCCCAGCACTTGGGAGGCAGAGGCAGGCAGATGTCTGCAAGTTCAAGGCCAGCCTGGTCTACATAGTGAGTTCCAGGACAGCTGGGGCTACAGGGAGACCCTGGCTCAAAAAGACAAAAACAAAACAAAACAAAAAACTGCTGTAGTGCCTCAGGTTTCTCTCCACCACCAGCCCACCCGTCCACCCCACACCCCCCCGGGAATCCCTGACCACAGCTCCGCCCATGCCGTCTCCCCCTTTTCCTTCCCTGTCCAGCCGTTGGAGTTCCTGGGCGGAGAAGCGTCTCGATGGAGTCTCTGGCCAGAACCACAGCTTTCGTTCTGCTATTTAGGATGGGGGAGAGAAGGGACAATAGCGCCCTGACGTCGAGGGGACAGCCCCAATATGCTTGGGGAGGCAATCTACGTTCGGGACAGGTTGTCCCCAAGCACTCTGTCTCCGCGCCCCCTGGCGGATGCCTGTCCCCGACGGGCTGGGGACGCGAAGAGGAGTGAGGCCGGCGCGCGTGGGAGGGCGTCCCAAGGGGAGGGGTCGGCGGCCAGTGCAGACCTGGAGGCGGGGGCCACCAGGCAGGGGGCGGAGGTGAGCCCCGACGGCCAGCCTGTCAGCTCTCTGCTCAGACGGGCGGGAGCCAGGGCCCTGCTCGCTGCTCATTGTCTGTGGCCCTGACCGGTGCGCCCCGGTGCCCATAGTGCGGCCGGAGGGGCAGCCTCTTCTCGTCATTGTAGTCAGCGCCGCAACTATAAGAGGCGGTGCAGCCTTCAGTGGCCGCTCAGCCCACCAGCCAGGACAGCGAACCATGCTGCCCGCCGCCCGCCTCCAGAATTGTTAGAGCCAGACTGAGAACTCGCCTCTGTCGCCGCCGTCGCGTCCAGTCCCACCGTCGCGGGCAGCAGCCAAAGCCGCCACAACTGCAGCACAGAACCGGCCAGGCCAAGCAGGCCATGGGGTTCTGGACGCTGCTGCCCAGCTGGGTTTCTGCTATGTTGCTACTGGCACTGGCCGCTCTGCCCGCAGCCCTGGCCGCCAACAGCAGTGGCCGATGGTGGTAAGTGAGCTGGTGCGGGGTCGTCACTTGTGCTGGGGCACAGAGCCAGGAACCAGCCCTACCCAGCTCCCACGTTGTGGGGATCACCAGCCACAGACTCCCTGCCGCACTATGATTTCACCACAGTGAGGGTGCTCTCACCTGGAGCTGCCCCAGAGACTCCAGCTCTGCTGAACTAGGGTGAATGGTTTGCGGGCAGAAGCGGAGCTACCCCAAGCTCTGAGCCCACGCATCTAGTAGAAATAGCCCTTCCTCCTTTGAGTACCAGTTCAAGCCTCGCTGTGGTGGCTGGAAACCTTACAGGATTCCCTCAGGTCTTGAAGGGAAGAACCCAGTGTTAGCTTAGAAAGGGATTAAGAAGAGGTGGGATTCCTAAGCATTTCAAGGTGGGCAAGGGTGCAGGCCACAATTTCCTCTTATGGACTGATTTGAACGAGGCTGGACGAGCCTAGATAGTCATGCAGTCCCTGGACCCAGGGCCCCTGGCACCCAGCTCTACCAAACTCAGGAGCTGGGGAGCTGTTACTGATCCTCTGCTGCTCTCTCTAGGCACACAGCCCCAGGTAGAGGACAGGGTGGGCACAAACCTATATGGTCAAGGTTGCAGGTCTCCTTCACCAAGCTGAGCTCTTATTATTATACGTCCCACCAGGGGCATCGTAAATGTAGCCTCCTCCACGAATCTGCTGACGGACTCCAAGAGTCTGCAACTGGTGCTAGAGCCCAGTCTGCAGTTGCTGAGCCGCAAACAGCGGCGGCTGATCCGCCAGAACCCGGGGATCCTGCACAGCGTGAGCGGAGGGCTGCAGAGCGCAGTGCGCGAGTGCAAGTGGCAGTTCCGGAACCGCCGCTGGAACTGCCCTACTGCTCCCGGGCCCCACCTCTTCGGCAAAATCGTCAACCGAGGTGGGTGCCCAGGAAGGTGACGCTTCCGGGATTAGGGGAAAAAGCAGGGTCAGCCCCAGGGCATGGGCGGGCGAATGCAGGGAAGACATCCCAGGCGGAGCGGGGGTTACAGAGCGACCTGCCCCGCGCTAGCTCGGGCCAGACTTTATACCAGGCTCTTTCCAGCCATGCACTTTAGCATGAAGCTTAACTTTTCTGAGTCACAGACCCAGAGAAAGTGAATTCCAGATCCTGGGCGCTGGGTGACCGTTGCGTTTTCCCCGACCCCCAGCCTTCCTCAAAGGCGCCTGGGAAACTGCTCTCTGCCGGCACAGGTCGTGCTTCGTGCGCAGCAAACTTGCATCGCCAACATGGACCGAAAGGTTGCATTAGTGGAGGTCTTGGCAATGCAGAGTTCTTCTGCTCCCCTCTTTTGGAGTTTTCTCTTTGGAGCTGCCCCACTTCCGCTCTAGAGTCAAAAGGTTCCCAAAGAGTCTCTGCAAGGCGCGATCACAAGCATATTCAAGGATGGGGCCCGCGCACCTGCCTTTTCCATGAGACCAGGCGACCAGCTTTCCAGATCTTCAGTCTGTCCAACTTTCAGAACTCCAAGGGCGGAGTCGGGGCTTTGGGCTGCAGGGTACAAACCTTCCAAAGTGGGTGCTGGCCAGGCCCCGCGCATCCTCTCACTGGTCGCTTCACTCACAGGCTGCCGGGAAACAGCGTTTATTTTCGCCATCACCTCCGCCGGGGTCACACATTCGGTGGCGCGCTCCTGCTCCGAGGGCTCCATCGAGTCTTGCACTTGTGACTACCGCCGGCGCGGCCCCGGGGGGCCCGACTGGCACTGGGGAGGTTGCAGCGACAACATCGATTTCGGCCGCCTCTTTGGCCGAGAGTTCGTGGACTCTGGGGAGAAGGGGCGGGACCTGCGCTTTCTCATGAACCTGCACAACAACGAGGCTGGCCGCACGGTGAGTAGATCCCGGGGGCTCTACGTCGCAAGTGGCGAGGGTTGGGGGAAGTAACAGTAACCATAGGGCCAACCAGGGGCATTCTGGGGAAGCAGGAGTCTTGGAGGGAAGACAGAGATGAGGTGGTGGCTGAGGGTAAAGGGATGCCTGGGTTGAAGACCGACAGAAGAGGTTAACAAGCCACGCAGCTCGTGGGATGTGTTGCCTGTGGCTCCATTGCAGTTTCGAAGATAAAGTTGAGGGGCCGAGACCGAAACTCCGGCTCGGAGCAGAGTTCGCTCCACATCTCAGCAGGACATTTCGTACCTCCCTCCCCCTGGCTTAGTTACACCCCAGCCTTTGATGAGGCCTTAGAGAGGAAACGGTATCTGGGACGGTGGCTTTGGCGCTTGCACACCTTCTCTTCCCTCATCTCTCCAGACCGTGTTCTCTGAGATGCGCCAGGAGTGCAAGTGCCATGGGATGTCTGGCTCGTGCACCGTGCGCACGTGCTGGATGCGGCTGCCCACGCTGCGTGCTGTCGGTGACGTGCTGCGCGACCGCTTCGACGGCGCCTCTCGAGTCCTCTATGGCAACCGCGGTAGCAACCGCGCTTCCCGGGCCGAGCTGCTGCGCCTGGAGCCCGAAGACCCTGCGCACAAGCCGCCCTCCCCTCACGACCTCGTCTACTTCGAGAAATCGCCCAACTTCTGCACGTACAGCGGACGCTTGGGTACGGCGGGCACGGCAGGGCGTGCTTGCAACAGCTCTTCTCCTGCGCTGGACGGCTGCGAGTTGCTCTGCTGTGGCCGGGGCCACCGCACGCGCACGCAGCGCGTCACTGAGCGTTGCAACTGCACCTTCCACTGGTGCTGCCACGTCAGCTGCCGCAACTGCACGCACACGCGCGTACTGCATGAGTGTTTGTGAGGCGCTGCGTGAAGTCGGCATCCTGGAAACACGCCCTTCCAGTCCCTCCCAGACTCGGTCGCTGGCACTCAAGACCCTGATGTTCGCCCACCCTGCACCTCCAGTCACGTTCTCGCGCCTCTCCCACCTCCTACTTGGGGACTCCTCAAACCACTTGCCTGGGGCAGCGCGAACCTCTTGCCATCTTCGAGGCCCCTGCCCCAACCTACCTCCCACTTTCTCCGCGGGAGACCCCTTGTTGCACTGCCCCCTACTTGGCCCGGAGGTGAGGGAAGGATTCCTCTCCCCCTCACACCCCTCCGCTCCTGAGTCCCTGCTCGGCAGTGCCAAGTGCCAGTCACCTCTCTCCCTATCTCCTTCCCCTTTGTCTTGTGTTCTCTGTGTCCCTACAGGCCCCTTTCCATTCTTTGGCCAAAAGTGCAGGCCCTGAAGACACACCTGGGCATTAGGGCCTTTCCGTCCCACCTGTAGCTGAAGTGAGAGGTTCCAAGGTGAAATCGCAGCTGTGGTGATGTGGAAAATGAGGTTGGGGAGCCCAGCAGAAAAAAACCCATTCTCCTAAGTCTCCGGTGCGGCCCGGAGCCATTGAACAGCTGTGAACCATGCCTCCCTCACCACCTCCTACCCCTTCCTGTCCTGCCTCCTCATCAGTGTGTAAATAATTTGCACTGAAATACAAAGCCAGGACTTAGGTTGTTGTAAATAAAACTATTTATTGTGCTGGGTTCCAGCCTGGTTTGCAGAGCCCACCTTCACCATTCCCTCTTCTTGTTTCTTCCCAGTTCCTCAAAGGTGCCTTTACCCACAGGATTTCCTTCTACTGTAGCTATTAGTGGCTCTTCACCCCCACCAATGTAGTATCTTCCTCTGCAAATAAAGTCTTTATTTTTATCAAGGACTTGGTAGCTTTTCCTTGACTCCAGAACACAGCATGGCTTATAGTGGCCCTTCCTCTCCAGGGTGCTTACTTCTCTTAAGTGGGGTAAATACATTGTTGAGGAACTGTGTTTCTAGCCCTGAAAGAGGACCCTGACATTCTGACCCTTGGATGACCCTAAATGAGGCCTCTGGGGATCCAGGTCTCCTGAGAGAAGAGCCTGGTCAGGAGCTAAAAGATCCTGCAGTGCTCTTCGTCCTGTTCTAACAGCAGCTGGTTGTGTGATGTGGACAAGAATGTTGACTTGATGAATGATGGGATTCAATAGACAAGTGTGAGCATGTTCTGAAAAGTAGGAAAACCCACAAAAACGCAAGCAGAAAGGGTGTCATTGCCGATTAAGTGGAGCCTGTCTTCTTTTGCTGGGGTCTGGGCTTTAGGTGGTAGTGGGCACATGCCTTTAATCCCAGCACTTGGGAGGCAGAGGCAGGCAGATCTCTGTGAGTTCAAGGCCAGCCTGGTGGTCTACATAGAGTTCTGGGCCAGCTGAGGCTACAGGGAGACCCTGTCACCAAAAGACAGAGAGAGAGAGAGAGAGAGAGAGAGAGAGAGAGCACACCGGAGGGTTAGACTTCAAACATGGAGTAACACAACCAAAAGGAAACCCAAGTGTTGTTGGCCCATAACCAAATCATTAAGCTTAAGCTAATCATTCCCACAAAGATCCAGAATGAGATTTCATTACTAACAATACCTATAGGACACCTCTGTGTGCATAGTCAGTCTGCAGGATGCTAATCCCGCCCATAGCCCTAAACCTAACTAGCTCTCTCCCCTCCTTCCTTCCTTGTCCAACCATGCCCTTAACCCTAACTCCAGGGAATACTAACACTTCCTGAACTCTACTCTATCCTTAATCACAAACCCAGGGGAGGACCAGAAAAAGCAGCAGGGGGACTATGAAGCACCCATGGGCAAGGACTGGCTTCAGCCTACTTGAAATTTACTTCTTGTGAAGACTCTTTAGCTATCTTTGCAGCCTGCCACCTCTCCCTGGAGGGTGTAAACTCTGATCCCTGTTGGTCTTTGGGCTCTGTTTGAGGGCAGGAGAGTAGATCCAAGGGCTGCTCAAGCCAGCAGCACATTTCTTTCCCTTTCTCTCCAATGGCCAACCAGCACCATCTCAGCTCTGACCTTGGGTAGGAGGCATCTGAAATGTCCTGAGTTTGCAGTAAAGAGCATCTTGTAGAGAATAGCCAATCCCTAAACCAAGAGCTTTTACATCCCTAGATCCAAAAGTAAGAAGTGATTGGGCTGCCCCAGGTGTGTGTGTGTGTGTGTGTGTGCGCGTAGTGTGAGAACTTGGGCCACTGCTGGACAATGCTCAGAGTTCAGGAGATGCTACAGGATAGGGAGTTCAGGCTATCTCCCACCACTTTCACCTAACTCCTAACTCTAGGGATTGGAGATTTGGGGCCTTGAAATTGGAATGTTCTGAGCTGGACTGACTTGTAAGAGCTAGAAGAAGAACAAGGAGAAGCAATTCTTTCTTTCTTTCTTTTTTTTTTTTTTTTTTTTTTTTGTTTTCCAGGGTTGATTGTTTTCTAAAACATCCTCTGTTGTTTTAACTACTAATTGGGACAGTTATTATTTATCCTTCAAGGAAGTAATAAAGTTCAAATGAAGTAGTATGTGAGGTTTTGGGTCATTTGAACACTTACTGATACCTTTTCTGTACCAAGCATATGCCAAATGCTGGCAATACAGTCATGTGCAAGTCAGAGTCCCTGCATAGAGGAATTTATAGTTCTGTCAGGAAATCAATCAACAAACCTTGTCAGTATAACAGAAGAGTACATTGAAAAGCTGATGATATGAATATGAAGGAAGTTTGAGGACAGAGATCCATATCCAAGCCCTCAGCAGGGCAGAGGCCCCCTCTTCCAGGGGCTGGGACTTGGAAGAAGGGTGCCACAATAAAGCTGGGCCCTAACAGGGCATGCACAAATAAAGTGAAAAACCTCAAGTAAAATGGTTGGGAGTGTGGCTCAGAGGCAGAGCGTCTAACTAGCATGTGCAAGGACTTGAGTTTGATCCTCAGCACTGGGAGGAAAAAAAATAAGTAAATAAAAGAGTAGTAGGATGGCAGGTATTACATAGGAGCACACTGCCTTGCTGTTATGATCAAATGTGCTGTCTGTGCTGCTCTCACTCAACTCAGTAGATCCTGGGGAGAAAACTAGCTATACCTAGAAAGAGTCTCAGGGCCCCAAGTACGGGGCAGTGGCCATAAGACAGTGTCATCAGGAATGTGCCTCAGGCACTTTCCTGCAGCTTCCACCCACTTCTGACCCTCAAGTGCCACACATACACATACACATCCAGGGGGATCTGAGGCTGGCAGGGACCCTGGACACAAGGGTGACCTCAGTAAGTGCAGGAGGGACTAGTCCTGAAATATCCTAGGGGTGATGGAAAAGCTGAGCGGTCTGAGATGGCAGGGCTGCATAGTCCCTGGGGGGTCAGCAAACTGGCTCCGTGAACACCCTGCCACACACACTTGCACCTCGGAAAAACCCCGTCAGTGGGGCTGCAAATACCCTAGGGTCCAGCCTCCCTTCCCAATGGCCCCAAGCTGGCTCAGTCCTCCCTTCCAGGCCAGAGGGAGAAAAATAACAAGATGAGGAGAAAATAAGCTGTTTGGCTGTGGTGTGAGCAGGAATATCCAGGCAGAGCTGCCCACCACTCACCCTTACTCACTCTTTCCACACCCAGCAAGGGCCCAGCATGAGACAGACCACCCCCCTGCCCCCTCCCCCGTCTGGGCTAAAAGCAGACAGGCCGGTGAGAGAGCAGCAGGTTATAAATATGCCCAGGGAACTGCCGCCAACTCTCTCCCTTGTCATCCCCTGGGAGGGGGTAGGGTGGGGTGGCACCTAGGAGGAGCCAGGGCTGCCCTATTCTCTGAGGCCCAGGAGGAAGTGGGGCTTCCAGCTGGCTACTGCAATTTGTTTGTGTTTGCTTTTTCTAAGTAAGTGAACCACTGCCACTCCATGATCTCTGAGCATTTGTTCATCTCAGAAATGGGGTTCCTACCCTCCTTGGGCCATGGCAAAAAATTCATTATGAAAGAGCCCAAAGCCACCTACTCTGTTTCAAGGTGTACCCCAGTGTCACTTTTCTTTACACCCTCAAGAAAATTCACTCACTGAGAAGGCACTTCCTGAGGTGCACACACACATGTGCATTGGAGAGTATTATGCACATGTGCATGCAGGACACAGCTGTCCCTGTTCCATGTGTTTCACATCGAACACACCCACCTACACACACACACACACACACACACACACACACACACACACACACACACACACAGGCGCGCGTGAGGATGTCCTGCCTTTAAACTCTCAACCTTCTAGGGAAAGGGAAGGCTGGCTCTGTCTCAGAGTAGGTTATGTGGAGAGCTGAGGAAGAGAGGCTGAGAACAGGCAAGACCCCCAAACATGCCACCTCCACTACTCCCTTGACAGATGAGAAGTCCTTTCCTCCCTTCCCAACCATCCTCTCCACGTACAGGCTTTGGGCCACCCCGCAGAAAGGAAGAGCCATTTTGTGAGATGCTGAGGACACCTGTCCAGGCTGCCAGAGCCTTCTGCCTCTCCCAGACATTTGCTAAGTAGGTGCCCAGCTAGGGGAGAGGGGCAGCGTCACCCTATGAAGCTCCCAGCCCTCCTCCCTCGGGACTCAACCCCTCCCTTCTCCCTCTTCCTATTAATCCTCGGAAGTGAAGGGGCCGTCCCTGGCGGCCCTTCAGCCCTGTTGTGGCCCCTCGCCCTCCTCGGCTGGCGTCTAATTAACTCCTCCTGCCCCTGGTTTTGTGCGCCCCCCCTACTCCACCTTGTCGGCCCCGCCCCTCCGCTCGGCCCGCTCCCCCCCACGGACATTCCAGCCAGGCCGGGCCAGCGTGCCAGGGCAACCAGGGCCGGACCGAGGCCTAATCCCCCCGCCGCCTGGCCGGGCTCGGGGAGCCCCACTCACCTCCCGGCTCTCCGGGGGCTGCTCGGCTCTGCTGTGGCGGAGACACACAATCGGGACAAAGGCGCAGCCCCCAGGGGGCTAACTCAGCCTTCACGCCCAGGTTGTGCGGCATTTGGGGAGTTTAATGAATTGTCCATCACGCCTTTCAGGGTCCGCCCGTCAGCCTGGATTAATCTTCGGAGCCCTGGTGGGGTAGGAGACACTAAGCCTGTATTTATTACTCTCCCATTGTCACTAATTGAGGTAATTATCTGTGACTCTGGCCTGGCCAACAATGCGGCATTCACTCATGGGACCTCGATGGGCCTGGCTCCCACTCTCCGCACCAATCCTCCCTCCCTTCCTCTCCAAAACGCGCCAAGGGCTAAGATGGGTCCTGGAGCGTGTTGGGAAAGTGGACAGTGCCCCACAATGCTCCATCTCCAACCAGTGTCTCCCAAAGCCACCACCACCATGGAGTTGTGTCTCAGGGAGAAGCTTGGTTCTCCTAAGTAGGTGAGAAAAGAAGGCAGACCTAGGTTTGGCTGGCAGAGCCCTCAGGCCACAGAAAGGCATGCATGTTTCTGAGCTCTTTGGTTTTCTAGATTCTAACACCACATCTGGGTAGGTGGCATCAAGGTCTGCCGGAGCCTTTTTTTTCAGATGCACCACAAGTTCCTGTAGCCTCAAGGACTCTAGAGTATTAGGAGGCACACTGGTCTCTACTGGTGTGTGCTCTAGTGTACTCTTAATGAGGTACTGAAGCTAGACTGGGCTGACTGAATGGCTCTGGGTTGGAGAAGGTAAGAAAAAATAGGAAAGGTGTGTCAGAGAGGCTTGGAAAAGGCAGGTAAAGAACCATCTTGACAGGAAGCAATCCTGTCTGAGTGTTCCCCAGGATCAACATTAATGTTAACCATTAATTAGCACCATGGGGCAACCTTAGGTAAAAACTGATTTAGATGTGTGAGCAGTCCCAAAGAGGAGGTATCATGTGGAGATGGCTTTCTCAGTCCAGGGGATTGATCGACTGATTGGTCCTGGGGAGCAGGTGTATGTATGTTTGTTTGTGTGTGTGTACATGTGCCTAAACACATGCACCTGTATACAATAGATAAGGAGGGTAGATTTGGGCAGAACTAGACTGTGAGGTCCTTGAGGGCAAGAAGGGTTTTGGTCACTTTTCTTTTTACAAGCTCCTAATATTGTGCCTGGAACATAGTAGGCACTGTCAAATGAATGACTGGACACATGAGGCCAGTCCTTGCATTGAGGTAGGGGGGTGTCTGTCCAAACCTCTCTTATACAGCTGCACACAGGCTCTTCATTCTCTGAGTACATGACAGAAGGAAATGTCTAGACCATTGCTGGACAGTCCTAGATGAGCACTTGAACAGCTCAAACACTAAGGACCCTGGCAGAATTCAGAGCTACAGTTTGAACATCGCCACCTTGTGGTAACTCTTGGGTGAGCATCTGGAGAGGTCTGGTCTGGGAGGGCAGCAGCCATGGCCTCCTTTATGTTTGATGCAGCATTGTTATGACTGTTCCTTTGACAGTTTTAAAAATCATCTCCCCGCTTTGTTTTTGAGACAGTGTCTTCCTGTGGTCCCAGCTGGCCTGAATCTCATTATGTAGACCAGGCTGGCCTTGATCTCCCAGAGATCCACCGGCCTCTGCTTCCTGGGTGCTGGGATTAAAGGTATGTGCCCTTGCACCCAGCAGTCTCCCCATTTTTTTGAGGTAGGGTGTCATGTAGCCCAGTCTGGCTTTAAACTCCTTACATTGCTGAGGATGACTGCAAGCACCTGATTCCCTCACTCCCCCCCTCCTTCTGAGTGCTAGACTTTGTGGGCTACCGTGTCCAGTTTATGTAGTTCTGGGAATTGAACTGAGTTATATCAACTGAGTTACATCCCTTTTCCCTTTCTTACGCCATCATTTTTCAGAGCACATGCTCCATGTCAAGCTTGTAGGGGCTGCAGAATGAATCATGATCCTTGAGTTGTTCATACTGTAGCAGCAGATTCCACAAGGCAAGAAAATCAACAAGGTCATAGAATGTGGGTGCAGCTCAGTGAGTAGAGTGCTTGCTTAGCATGCACAAAACCCTGGGTTTGATCCCTGGTACTACTACATAAACTCTGTGTGTGTGTGTATGTGTGTGTGTGTGTGTGTGTGTGTACATGTGTACATGTGCCTGTAATCCCAACATGGGTACATGAGTTCAAGTATTATAAAACAAACAAAATTTTGGGTGTGGGGTACAACCGTTTAACCCCAGCACCCAGGAGGTACAGGCAAGTGGATCTGAGTCTGAGGCTAATTTGGTCTGCATAGTGAATTCTAAGCCAGTAAGGGCTACATAGTGAGACTCTATCTCAAAACAAAGAAAAAAATCTCACATGTAAACAGACAGAAAAAAAAAAACAGAAGGAAGCCAGTCATGGTGGCACATGTCTTTATTCCCAGAACTCAGTAGGCAGAGGCAGGCTGATCTCTTTGGGATGAATGCCAGCCTGGTCTATATAGGGAGTTCCAGGCTAGCTGGGGCTACAGGGAGGCCCTGTCTAAAAGAGAAAGAAAGAAAGAAAGAAAGAAAGAAAGAAAGAAAGAAAGAAAGAAAGAAAGAAAGAAAGAAAGAAAGGAAGAAAGGGAAAGAGAGGGGGGAGGGAGGGAGGTACAGGGAGAACCAGTCTCAAAAAGACCAAAAAAATAAAAAAGAAAGAGGGAGGGGGAGGGGGGAGGGAGGGAGGAAAGGAAGGAAGGTCATGATCAAGCATCAGGAAAATTTTTTCACTGGTATTGAAAAGACACTAAGATATTCCCAGCTCAAAAATTCTCTCTCCTATCTCCCTCAATTCCTTTCACAAAAGCTCAAGTGTGTCTGTTTGGTCTGAGGCAGAGTCTCAATGTGCTTCCCATGTTGGCTTGGAATTCCTGGGCCCAAGGGATCCCCCAGCTTCAGCCTCCCAAGTAACTGGGACTACTACAGATGCATGCTACTGCTCTAGACTAAAGGGAAAATACTATTTATTTATTTATTTATTTATTTATTTATTTATTTTTGGTCTTTTTTGCTGGGACTACAGGCGTGCACCACCACAACTGGCCTGGAAAACGCTTTATTCTTGCCTTCAATAATCACTTCAGAATCTCAGTCCCAGCACTGCTCCAGGATCTCATTCCTCTATACGTCTTTTTTCCTCAGTGCCCTATTCCTGGTAAAATGCCTTCCCACATTCTAGAATGTACCATTCCCTATCTCCCTGTTGAAAACTGCCTCAAATATCCCTCCCTCTTGAAGACTCTTCTACTTTCCCTAGCAAAGTGGACTTACCTGTTTGACACTTGTTGGTGGGACTTTCTTTCATAACACCTACTGGCTACCCATGTGTAGTTATTTATGTAGGTAGTAGATGAAGCTTCTTCCTCCCTGAGGACGTGGGCTCTGTGTTTTCCTCATCTTGCCATCCTTTCCAGCATGGAGCTAGGGACATCATATGCCCTCATTATATGATGAATATGTGGCTGGATGGGATCATGGATGAAGAAATAGATGCTTGGATAGATGGATATGGAGAAATGATCAGGTGGATGAGAGAGGAGTTGGTGGATAGATAGGTAAAAGGACAGGTGGGATACATAGATGGATGAATGGATACATGCACACATGGACCGTGCATCCATTCACAAAATGACTTACAAAAGTCTGGGCAATACCAGGGGATTCAAAGAAGGGAGGCCACCCCATGCCATGCAGCACCTGGGTTGAAGCTTCCTCACTAACATATGCACTTTACATACCATCCTTGCACAGGGACTGTGCTAATCTCTGTATTGTTCCAATTTTAGTATATGTGCTACCGAAGTGAGCTCCCCTATTCTTTTATTGAGGCCATCACAAAGATAAATTACACTGCCTGTACACACTATGATAATAATGTCTCCATGGGGCTCCTCTTCCATATCCCTTCCTCATACACCGCTGAGTGTGAGTTCCCGGCAGGTAGAAAGTAAGCCTGAATCTCCCCTGTGTCCCTATCATATATGGTTAATGGGCATGTGAACAATTGAATAATAACTGTGGGAACCTGATCCTGTTGTCCTAAGACACACTTCGCACACATCCCAATTTGTGCAAACACATCTATGTTCAGTGGTTTCTCCTGCCCTCTTCTCTTCTCATGGACACATATCCACACTACTCATTCTGACAGAATCTGAAGTCACAGTTATGTTCTGAATCTGGTTTCCTTACCCATTTGTAGCTGGTCTCAGGACACCCCAGCGCGCTCCTGAGTCTGAAAGGGAGAGAGGATTCTTAGACCCGCTAATGCCGTATTAACTATGACAGAAATGTGGGGCAAGAAGAACCAGCTGTTGGAAAATTCATGAGATCCTGTGTTAACCTAAGATCAGCTGCTCCACACTGAGCAGTCCTCCTGTGTTTGCTGTCCATCCTCCTGATCAGAGAGGCTGTTCCAGGGAGGGGGTTAGTTGTGGCCTCCTTCAGGAGGCTGGGTGGCTGTGGATGCAGCTAGATTTAGAAGTCATTTTCACAGCAGGGAGCTTCCAACCTCCCACCCACAGGGTGCTGTGTGGCCAGCCTAAGATACTGCTTACCAGGAGCTGGCCCCCCGATCGGCAGTCAGTCGCTGTCTTTCCCCTCCTTATCTCCCTGGAACTTTGGCAGTTGGCTCTGACTTTGCTAAGGTAAAAATGTAGGAAGCTCTGGAAGGAGTCTGTTGCTCTGACCCCTCCCCAAAAGTCTCTCTCTCTCTCTCTCTCTCTCTCTCTCTCTCTCTCCCTCTCTCCCTCTCTCCCTCTCTCCCTCTCTCCTCTCTCTATTGCAAAATCTCACTAGGTAACCCTAGCTGGACTGGGTTGGACTGGGATTTGCCATATAAACCAGGTTGAGCTCAAACTTGCAGCCATCCTCCTGTCTGTGCCTCAGGTCTGTAGGCATGTGCCACCATAGTTGGTCCCCCCCAACCTTTTCAAAAATTATTTGTTTATTTACTGATCTTTTTTAGGCAGGGTCTCCCTGTAGCCCCAGCTGGCCCGGAACTCACTATGTAGACCAGGCTGGTCTTGATACTCACAGCGATCTGCCTGCCTCTGCCTCTGGAGTGCTGGGATTAAAGGTGTACACCACCACGCTCAGCAACCCCCCCGCAAAAAAACATTTATTTTTATTTTATTTGTATGTGTGAGCACCTGCATGTATGTATGTGTACCATGTGTCTGCTGGTGCCACCTAAGGTCAGCAGAGGCATCAGATCCCCTAGAACTGTAATTACAGGCAGATGTGAGCTGTTAAATGTGGCTGCTGAGAATTAGTCCTCTGCAAAAGTAGCGAGTGCTCATAACCAGTGCTCCAGACTCTGGTTTCTTTTGATGTGAACTCTGCTATCTGTTTCCCCTCTTCCCTTCTTCTTGCTCCTGCATTCCATCCCTAATGAAATAGCACTAAACAGAAACAATAATTATTTCTGTCACTTACTATATGCTATGCATCATTGTATTTTATAAGTGGAATCATTTAATCCTCTAAAAACCCTGAGAAAATCACTTTTAGTAACCTTATTTTATTTTATTTACTTTTTTGAGACAGGGAGTTGCCATGTGGCTTAGGATTCCTCTAACTTACTATGCAGCTCAGGTTAGACCCAAATGCACTAGTTATCCCAAAATGACCTTGAACTTGTGATACTCCTGCCTCGGCCTTCAAAATGTTGGAATTAGAGATTACCACACCTGGAAATAACCCTATTTTATAACTGAGGACCCTGCAACACAGAGAGATTGAGTAATTTGTCAGAGGCCACCCAGTTAGAACCAGTAGAGACAAGATTTAAACACAGACTGCCAACCCTGGAGTCTGTGTCCTTCTAAATACAACATTATGTCAGTTCCACAATAATGGTGACAATATGAATGGGCTCTTAGAAACCGTGCTCCTGTACGGAATCCTCTAAGGGGCTCAGGCAGCATCATGGACCGGCCTCTCTGGCCAGCCCTCAACTGTTCCATGCAGCCTCCTTCTCCCAGCCCCAGGAGTCTAGAGCTCCTGAAATGAACAAAATGCAGGTGGCTGCTCTTACCCGTTTGTCCCCAGCCTCCATCCTAGCCTGAACCCATTCTCTTCCCAAGTCCTCCAAGCTCATGGCAATCTGGTCTTAGTTTTCACTCACGCCTGATCAACAGTATCAGTGGTCTCCAAATGCTCTCTCAATTGCAGGCAAACCAGATTATTTAAAAACAAAAAACAGGGGCTGGAGAGGTGGCTCAGTGGTTAAGAGCACTGGCTGTTCTTGCAGAAGACCCAGGTTGGAATCCCAGCACCCATGTGGCAGCTAACAACTATCAGTAACTCCAGTTCCAGGGGATCTGACACCCTTACCTGACCTCTTCAAAATAAAATAAAACATAAATAAATAACTATAAACAAACAAAAACCTCCACAGCTCAAGTCATTCTCCTGTCTCAACCTCCTGAGTAGCTGGGACCACATGTGAGTGCCCGGGTATCTGACTTGTTCCCTGTACTTGAAATGCCCTTTCATCGCTTTTTTTAAAAAATAATTTTTAAATTATGTTAATTTTTTATGTGCATGAGTATGTAAGCCTGCATGTATGTAAGTGCACCTGAGTCATGCAATGCCCACAGAGGTCAAAAGAGGGCATCGGATCCCCTGGAACCAATGGGTGCCAGTGCTCTTAACCACTAAGCCATCTCTTCAGCTCCCCTTTCACCAATTTGTATCTCAAATGTCACCTCCCCCACCGAATCTCCCTTGATCTCATATAGTTAGGCTCTGCCTTGATTGACCACTTACAGCACCCAGCGCGATGTGCTCAGTATTATCTTTTTTATGTTTTCACCTTTACCCCATTGCCAGGCAGGCCTTTTTGCTCATTTCTAACCCAGAGCGCAGTCCAGAGACCTGCTTGCAGTAGGTGCTCAGTAAATGCTTGGTTAGACTTGGCAGCAGTTAGAACCGTGGTGGAAGGTGGGCAGACCGCTGGAACCTTTGATCTTCACCCAAGGCCTTCTTGACTTCCGGGGGCCAGAGCCTCTAGAAATCTGATCCTGTAGGTTCTAGACAGGAAGGCGGGTGGATCTTCCTGGGGAGCTTGGACCAGTGTTTTCTGCTAGAGTTGGGAAAACCAAAGAGGAGACCCTCATCCACTGAATCAAGGCCAACTCAGGGTCGCCTAGGGCGGCCTCCTGGCAGCCCTGCCCCCTCCGAGTCCTGCCTAGAGTCTTAACTGGGTGTGATGTCGAGATAATTGGAGACTTAAAACCATAAGTGGTTTGAGAGCGGACCTAAGGACCTGAACGCGAGAGAGTCCGGGTTGGCGGGACTTGGTGGGAGTGGGGACAGAGGCGGGGCTGGGGGCCGGACCAGGACTGAGTCTGGGCAAAGCCCCCGCTCCTGCCCAGCAGGAGGCTAAATTTACCTAGGCTGACTCAGCCCTTGCCCGGAATGGGGGGGGGGGAGCGCCTGGGCAGTGGGAAGGGCCGGCAGGGGTGGGGCAGGGGGACAAAGAAGAGAGCGTCCCTGCCTGGGAGACAGAATGGGCCAGAGGTTTCCAACGGAGAGTTGTCCTCCTCCCGCTCACACCGAGCGGGAAGAGGCCCAGAAGGCCTGGGGAGGGATACCATAGGTCAGGATCAGAGAAAGAAAGATGCTGGAGCTGCATAAAGGGAGGATTAGATTTATTGAGCGCCTACTGTGTGCCAGGCACTGTACAAGGCGCCGTATATACATTACCGCATTATATCCTCACAACAACCCTGCGAGGTAGGTGTTTATAAACCCCATTTGACAGATGAGGAAACTGAGGCTCAGGGAGGTGAAGTGATTTGGCCAAAGTCACATGGCTAATAAATGGCAGACACAGAGGGTCGGAGAGAAAAAAAGACGTGTCAGTTCCAAGGCAGTTGGCGTGGATGAGTACAAAGAAGGGCTCGGCGCGCTCCAAAGGTCTGGGAGGCCGGAGGCCTGCTCCCGGCCCCGCGCGCGCGGCTTGGAAGCGTCAAGGCGGGGAACAGGAGCCGGGTGACTATGGACCCAATTAACTGGCAGTGCCGGGATAGGGGGAACTCGAACACCAGCAACCGGGGAAATCCGCGACCTGCGCGCGCCCCGTAGTGGCTACAGCGAGTATCACACCCCACATCTACTGGCTGCCTCGGACTGCTTTCTGGAAGAAATGAAGAAACTGTCAGGGTCCTATCAGGTGGGCGATATCGTCTGCGTGGGAAACCGTGGAAACGTTTCCTAGCATTACTAAGGGCATAGGAATGGAGGAGAGGGGGCAGACCTAAAGAGATCCCAAGCTGAGTCACTGGCTAACTTCCCTCCCCAGCTTGGACCACCACAGGCCAGGGACAGAGACAGGGCCACTATCCTGCTCTGCCTTGGGGAGCACTCACCTAAACTTGGGAGGCTGGCATAGAAGTCCTTTGCCCATCTTGATCTTCTTCAAACCTTGACCCTCCTGAACTGAGGAAGAGGGAAGGTCCCAGGAACCCTTAGATTCTGTTCACTAACTCCCAAATCTCTTTCTTGGCTTGCCAAAGTCAAGAATGAGATAGAGGCCTTCTTCAACGATCCCCAAATTCCATAGAAGAACGAGCAGCAAAACGCCCTCATTTTACATACCAGGAGCCCTGGTGGCCTGAAGAGGGGACATGGTTAGTCTAAGGTCCACCAGCCAGTGGCAGACCTGGAGTTGAAACTCAACTCGTCACACCAAACTGAGCCTCTTCCCTTTTGTTGGTTGTGTCTGCACCCATTCCTCCTCTGTCCAAAGCCCTCTGTCACCTGCTCACTCTGTTACTAGGTCCAAAGCCTCTCGGTTCCTTTTTGCCTCCTGTCAGGGGCCCTGCCCTGACCATTGCTTTCCAATGACTGCCACGGTTTCTGCCCGCCTGCCTCTCTGCCTCAGCTCCTGTAGCAGGTGTTAAATCTGCTCACCCTCATCTTTCCAGAAACAAAATCACGAATTGGCACACGCTGCCTTTCCTTTCTGTTTCAAGTATGGGAATCGGCATGGGTTAGGGAAGAAGGCAAAGAGAAGCAAAAAAGTCCGTGGAGCAGAAAGGAGACCGTGAGCCCAAGGGTGGATGGGCGGAGGGACACAAGAGTAAGAAGGGGCATCTCTCACTGTTTCTCTCGATTTCCCTGTGGCGTTCCCTTCGTGTCTTTTTCTCGGAAGGCGACCTCCTCGGTTTGACTGACGACATCTAGAATCTCCCGGACACTGTCGTTCAGCTCCGCTGTCTTCCCGCCTTCCTTGGACCCGGTGTTCCCAACTACTGGCAGGGTCCTCTCCTTCCGCCAGGAGGCGCCCGGGGTGTCCATGTCGCTTCCATCGGAGGAACCGCTAAGGACGCTGAGCTCCTCAGCTTCGTCTGAGTCCGAATCTGGGGCGGTGTGGCGGCGGATGCGGGACACGGCTTCCCGCAGCGCCCCGGCGTAGGGCCCTGGAGTCCGCCCCCAGGCCGCACCCGCGCGCCGGGCGCCCCCAGTGGCCTCCGAGCCCTTCGCGCTACCGGAGCATCCCGGAGCCGCCGGGCCTGAGGTTGGGTGCTCGGGGCTGCCTGGCTGTTTGCGGGCTTCTCGGAGGCTGACTTTGCCCACGGGGAGCCCTAAGACGCCGGAGGCGCGCTGTCCCGGGGAGGAATCCCCCGGCTGGCCGCCCTCAGCTTCGCACCCTCGACCCCCGCCCAGCTGGTTTAAGACGCAGCTGTTCAACTGTAGCTTTTGGCAAGGGGAGGGGAAGCCCGCGGGCCCCTCGCCCTCCTCGGGGCACGGCTTGGCTAGCCGGGGGCTGTCGCCCACAATGCATGGCTCCCCAGAGGGCAAAAGCTGCACCTGCTGGGCTCGAGGAGTCGGAATGTACTGGGACTTTATCACCACGCACGTGGCGTCAATGACAAAGATGCCTTCTCCACGAGCGGGTCCCCGAGAAGTGCGGGGGAGGGTGTGGGCGCGGCGGGTCGCCTTCCACACCTCCAGGGTCTCGGGCTCTGTCCCCTGTCTTTGACCCAGGGACTCTCTCCATCCGGTGCCTCCAGGAGCCCAGGGTCTGGGGAGAGTCTGGCTATGCCTGAGTGGCTGCTTTTTAGGGGAGGAAATCCAACATTTGGGAAGCCAGATCTGTTCTCTTTCTTCTTTCCCTTCCTTTGAGCCCTTGAGGTGGTGCCTGGACCTGGGAGCGGGACGCGGGGGGCTGCGAATCGTGCTTGCAGCTGCGGCAGGAGCTGTCTTCGTGCCGGGACTACCGGTAGCTTTGGCTTGGGACCGGCGGTCGCTCGCACCGTTCAGGCCAGCAGCAGCTAGGCCCGAGCTTTTCTCCGCCGCCCCTTGCCAGGACTCTGGCCTCGCTCTGGCCGCTGCACAGCCCGGAGCTCCCCCTAAGAGACCCCGGCCCTGTCGGAGACCCCAAGCCCCGAGGACATCCCGGTAGATTCGAGGATCCAGCCTCTTCCTCGTGCGCCCTGCCTCGGTCCTGGAGGTGGTGGGAACTGGGACTGTTGAGGTGGGCGCCCTGGAGAGCTCGGGGCCTCGCCTGGTCCCCAAGGTCCGGTGGGGGCCTTCGTAAGAAGGTGGAGCCACGTAGGGTGGCGGCCGGTCCCAGCGGCGTCTGGGGGCTGTGCCTGGGGCGCCTCTCAACAGCAGATGCGCCTCGTAGCTGGGGGGCCCTGGCCTCCTCCCTCCCCACGGCCCCGCCCACGCCGCCCCAGGGTCACTGTGAGGTTGCGCGGATGGACTGGGCGCTTGTCCCACCTGCCCAAAGCGTTCGGGTCGCACGGGAACTGGGAGCCCTGCAGGTTGGGCCGCCCCCCGAAGGGCGTTTCGGGGCTCGGGGCGGGGCTGACCTAGGGGGCTCCGTCGGGCCCCAGCAGCCTTGCGCCTTTTTCGCTCGGTCTCCTTGGCCTCCCGCTCCTGCGATGCCGCTTTCCTTTTCTCCTGCTCCCGGGCTCGAATCTCGGCGGGGGGCCCCGCCCGCCAGTTGGTCGCCTCCTGCAGCACCCTGGAGGCCCAGGGTCGGCGGGGTGGCGGCTCTGGGGATCCCGGGCTCAGCCTACACCTGGGACAATGAGCAGGAACCCAGGTGAGGAGTTTGTGGGGAAAGGGAGTCGAGGTGTGGGGAGCTGGGAGCACTGGAGACCACTTGGGGCAGCCATGTGAAGGGGTATGTGTGAGTGTGTGTGCGAGTGCACGTGCGTCTCTGTTAGGGCTGAAGTCGAAAAGAGACTCCTCACCATCTCTCCAAACACACTTGAACAGCGGCTGCCCCATCACCTGCCCTTTCTCACTCCTACTCCTGTCCCCCTAAACCGTGCTGAATGAGTCAGGCCCAGTCCTAGACGAGTGGGGGAGGGAGGCGCGGGAAAGAGAAAGAAGACCAGCAGTGTTCGCTGGTACCCGAGGGGAGGTCCGGACCCCACTTCCCTCCCCACCACTGGCCGCCCCTCACCCCACCTTCACTCACGTGCGGCTCTGGGGCCCGCGGGCCCAGTGGCTGACATGGATGTCCATGGACTGTCGAGAAGGGGCGCGGCGGCTATAATGACAGGAAATAGTCTTCACTTCGATCACCAACAGCTTGGACTTCTGCACCCAGAGGCAGCTGCCAGATTCCTCATCCTGGAGCTCCCGGGGGCTGTCAGGCCCCTCCGAGAAGAGCGGGCCATCCAGCATCCTGCCCCACCCCACCCCGGCGCTCCATATCTGGGTCAGCATCTCCCTTCAGCCCTGCTCAAGGAATTGTACCCACCATTTTCATAGCTCTATGTGTCAGTAATGGCTCTGTGCGTGTTGCTTGCTTCATTCACAAAGACAGCAAATAACTTGCTGAGGGGCAAGAGTCTCATCAAATGGCTGAGGGAGCAATATGCCTTTAGCAAAGAGCTGCTCTGGGATCTGCCTGCCTTCACCCCATCCCATCCCAGCCTCTACCTGACCCATGGCCAAGGAGTTGGACCCAGAAGCACAGACTTCAAAGAAGGAGAAGAAAACAAACAAAAAACCCGGTGGTTAGGAAGTGATTTAAGCACAAAGATATGTATATATACCCAGGCACACGTGTGTGCTTCTGTGTGTGTGTGTGTGTGTGTGTGTGTGTATGCGCGCGCGCCGGCGCGCGCATGTGACATGCGGCGGACTACTCGGCGCTGCTACCTCCCCCAAGTGCACGGCTGCCCCCTGGGGCCTGGGACTGAACGCCCCTTCCCACAGCTCATGTCCCCCAAGCCTAATGGGACCCGGAGCGAGTAGGCGAGTAGGCGGGGAGGGACTTCTAATTCTTGCTAGGCTGACAATGCCTCTTTTCCAGTCCCCATTTCCTCACCCTCCCCAACGTTTTAACCCTTTGCTCTCCTGCTTGTCAGGTTGCCTGACCACCAGGGTTCTACCCTTCCCGCCTGGACTCTTTTCCCTGACAGAGGGTGGTGAGGATAGAACTCAAGGTCTTTGCCTGTCACTCTCTGCTGGTTTCCATGGGGCTGGGGTGCAGAAGGGGCTGGCCCACTGCTGAGAGGGGGTTTATTTTTAGCGGCAGTGGCATTCGGGTGCAGATGAGATGAGTAACCAGTTCCCAAGCCTTGGAGAGAGGAGGCTTTCGGGAAGCTTTTGTATGACCCTGGGGGACAGCTGCTTCCCCAAACTCAAAAAAGGTGGCTCCTGCACCCTTTACTCCTCACATTTTTCCTGCTGGGGATAAGGCTGAACTCGGAGTTTGTGTTGGCCACCTAAACTGCTTTATCCTTGGGCACCCACAGAGCCCCCCCACCATCACCAGCAGCAGCCAGGAGTCCTAGGATATAGTTCTGTGCCCACACAGCTCTGTTAGCCTTATGCTGGGGGCAGAGAGTGCTTAGTGTGGTGTGCTCCCTCGACAAAGCCAAATCCCCTGCCAACTGAAAGGATAAAAGTGGCTTCTCCTTCCCAGTAGGGTGCTCTCCTTCATGACTGTAGCAATGATGAGTTCACTCAGCCGCCCTTAAGTGGAGCTCACCTTTTGGGCTCACTCTGTTCTGGGGGTTGTTGCTTGTATCCACAGGATCCCTCCCCCTAAGTCTATACCAGGTGTCCCTTGATTCACCATGGTAATGTTAGTGGCAGCACAGCCCACGCCAACCCTTCCATGCAGAGACTTAGCAACCATGCCTGGCAACCATGGCAGCAGCTCCAGCGGAGGGGAGGGGTACAGGGAGGGGGAAGAGAGAATGGCAATGGTTCCTGAGAAAGAAGGGACCATTTGCTTCTCCTGAGATAAGAATAGAAGCCTGTGAGCTCCCAAATTGTATTGTCTTTTCTTAACTCCATCCTCAGACTCTGAGGCTGGTTGGTAGGGTGTTAGGGGGAAATGGGAGAAGCAAGAGATCCCAATTTGTTTTTCATAAACGTACATGGGTGCAGACCCTTCCTTTTAAGGGGATGGGGAGCAAAGGGTTGTTGTGGGACAGAGACAGGACTTACTGAGAAATAACACAACACAATCCAAACCTCCTGCTCCCCTGCCCCATCTACTCCCCCCTCTTTGGTCCCATGCACCTACCAGCTGCACTGATGATGACAACTTGCAGGCACTGCTTTCCGCCCTGGGTCCCACCAGAGTCCCACAGCTTTTTAAGCCCTTGCCTCCTCCCTAGACAAATCCTCCTTGATGAGGGAATGTGACATAAGGAGACATCTGTCCTTTCTACCATGCATCTACCCCCCACATAAACACACTCTAATTCTAATAACTTGGAAGCCTTCCTCCCCCAAGCTTGGGAATGTGCTGAGAACTATGAAGATGTGACTGGAGAAGCAGGGGCTGAGCCATGATGCATCATTGAAAGCTGACCTCTGTCAAGTGGCCTTCATGTTTTCCTTGTGTTCCACCAGGAATATGGCTTTGGAAGGACTAGGCTGGTGCAGCTGGGGTTCCTCAGAAGGCATAGGCACAGAGGAGGGAGAGCTAAGAATTACTCAGAAATTCTTCCTGGCTTGGATGGGAAATTGTCATATTGGCACAGCTGTGGTGGAGTGGAACCTGGGACTTGGCTCTTACCAGTCTGGCAGTCTTCATGGTGTTTGGGGCTTTCAGTCTGTGTGGTTTCAGCACAGAAAATGGGTCTGATGGGCTGACCACTATTCTGCTCTCCCTCCATTCTCTACTCTCTAGCTCATTCTTAGATTAGAAGAAAGGCAAGGGGCTTGTGGGTTCAAACATAATGTCACTCCAGCAAAATCCAAACAGTCCAAACTTCCCTCAATGAAGCTGATGATGTTGGCAAGTTTCTCTGCCCAAAGACCCTGAATCTGTCTACTTTCTGGAGACCTAACACTTTAGATTCTCCATGGTCCCTAGCTATGGTCCAGGCAGAGGGAGATAACTACAGAGTAAGGTGAGAGCAGTCTTGAAAGGAGAATTAGAGAGGTCGTGTAGTACAAGAGCATGACACCCAGAGCCAGGGTTTAAATTTGGGTTTAAATACTAGCTTTGGCTTTAAAATGTTATTAGTATTAGTATTAGTGGGGGGGGCATCCATTATTGTGTGCATACAGAGGTCAGAAGACAACTTTGTGGAGTTGGTTCTCTCCATTCACCTTTATGTGAGTTCCAGGAATTGAACTCATCAAGCTTGCATGGCAAGAGCCTTTACCGGTTAGCTTTGGTTTTTACTAGCTTTGTGGCTGTTGAGCCTCTCTGTGCCTGTTTTAAAAATTCTGTTAAAACTGGGCTGGGGGTATGGCTCAGCTGGTAAAGCACTTGCCTTAGAAGCATGAGGGCCAGAGTTCAGATTCTCAGAACCCACATAAAAAGCCAGGTATTGTGGAATATACGTTTAATCTCAGCGATGGTGAGACAGAAGGCAGTCAGTCAGGTAGATCCTTGGAGTCTGCTGGCCTGCTAACGTAGCCTACCTGGTAAAAATCCAAGCCAATGAAAAACCTTGTTTCAAGAAGAAGAAAAAAAAAAGAGCTGGAGAGATGGCTCAGGAGTTAAGAGCATTGGCTGCTCTTACAGAGGACCCAGGTTCAAGTCCCAGCACCCACATGGCAGCTAACAACCCTCTGTAACACAGTTCCAAGGGAATCTGACACCTCTTCTGTCCTCCATGGGCACTGCATGACACAGGTGCACTTACACACATGGAGGCAATACACCCATACAAATTAAAAAAAAATTTTTTTTTAAAGTAGAAGGCACCCAAGGACCACCACCTGAGGTTGTCCTCTGACCTCCGTATCCACGCACATATTCATGTGTGCACACACGTAAACTGCAATTTTATCTAGTATTAAAAAAATTTTTTAGGGGCTGGAGAGATGGCTCAGAGGTTAAGAACACTGTTCTTGCAGAAGACTAGGGTTCGAATCCCAGCACCCACATGGTAGCTACCAACTGTCCTAACTCCAGTTCCAGGGGATCCGATGGCCTCTTCTGTCCTCCATGGGCATTGCACAACACGGGTGCACTTACCTACATGCAAGCCTAACACTCATACCCATAAAATATTAAAAAAAAATTTTAATCGCATGTGAGTAGGGTGCACATGTGCCACAGTCCATCAGAGAACAGCTTTCAGGAGTCAGCTCTCTCCTTCCAGAGGGGATCCAAGGATCAAACTTGGGTCATCAGGTTTGTGTGGCAAATGCTCTTACCTGCTGACCCAGCTCACTGGTTCAGTGCCTGGCTTTGAGTTAGGACTGAAGTTAATAGAGGCTGAGCATCCTTAATTTAAAAAACCAAAAATATGGGATAGGGAGATGGCTCAGTGGGTAAAAGTGCTTGCTGTGTAAGGACTTGAATTTTAATCCCTAGAACCCACATGAAGCTGGGTGCAGCAGCACATGCCTGGAATCCCAGCATTTATAATCCCTGTATTGTGATATGGAAGGCAGAGACAGAAAGAACCCCAGTAAGCATGTAGGTCAGCTAGTCTGGTGTAGACAGCAGTGAACAAGCAACCCTGATTCAAAGACAGTGAAAGGTTAGGATGGACTCAAGGTTGTCCTCTGACATCTGTATGCTCACTGTGGTATGAATGTGTACCCCGCCCCTAAACATTTAAAAAATCTAAAATCTATGTGGTTGGAGATGGCTCAGTTCAGAGCAGTTGCTGCCCTTTCAGAGGACCTGGGTTGGGTTCCCAGCACCCATATGGCGCCTATCATCTATAACATCTAGAGAGAGGATTCAACACCTTCTGACCTCCGAGCACATCAAACCTTACATACATGCAGGCAAAACTCTCATACACATAAAATAAAAAATAAAACTGAAGTCTGACCCAGGTATGGTGGCACATGCTTGTAACTCCAAGTACTTGGGAGGCTGAGGCTACGAATTTGAGGTCATCCTGAACTATGTAGTGTAAGACCCTGTCTCAAATAATTCTCCCAAATCGAAAATGCTTGTAGTCCCACACACTTTTGGATAAGAAATGCACAATCTGTGTAGTTAAAGCACCGAGAATGGTATATGACAATTTTGTGTGTGTCTATCGTTACTATTAGTGAATTGAAGCTGCTTATGAGGTAGGAAGGTTAGAGAAACAGTATCTGTCAAATGAAGAAATAAACACTGCAATACCAAGATGAAAACCTGTCATTTAATTAGATCTGCCACAAAAAGCAATAACCTAGGCTAACCACTCTGCCCTCCTCCACATAACCATCTGCCTTCATATGCATACAGCACAGGAACCCAAAGGTGCACCTCTCCACAAGAATCATGGGAGGAAATGACATTAAATGGGCTCAACCTCCTCGGTACAGAACAAAACAGGATGAATAAAAATATCTTAATGAAGACTTCTGCTGTGCTATTATCTTAGGGTGGAATCAGGGCACAGACAGGCAGAGGCAGGGTGAAGTCTAGGATCTCGCAGAGATCAAAACCTGCCTGAGGGGCACAGAGCCCATGGCTTACCCAAAAGAGAGCTATGTCTAAAGGGACAGGGACTAGGATTAGCTAGGCTCAAAGTTTTTCTCAAGTGTATACATGAGGGTAAGGGAAGCAACAAGTCTTTTCTCTTCCTTCCCTCCATGTCTCCACTACTTCCCAGGCAGGGGGTATGGGGCTCCTGAGAGAGGACAGATTCTCAGGATTCCATCGGATTCCCAGAGCTTCCAGCAGGCAGCAAGATGGGTGTCTCCCCTGCTGCCTGTCCTGGCCCATGCTCAGGGCTGCTTCTCTCCTCCTGTGAGCACCAGGGCCTGCAGGATGTCAGACAGTGATACAATGCCCTTCACCACATCATTCTCATCCACCACTACCAGACGATGAACCTGGTGCAGAGCAACAAGAAGCATGTTTAGTGCCAGGCTCAGGTGAGTCCCTCAGCCCCTACCCTCCTTGCCAAATCCCACTCTCAAGGCTGTTCCCCACTAACTCCTTTTTGGTGGCTGGCTCCTACCTCTGCTTCCACCAGCCTATTGATGATGGTTTCCAGAGTCTCGTGCAGGTAGCACTTGAGAACACCCTCAAAGTAGTGTGAACGATGCTGTAGAGCTTTGGTCACAGACACATCTAGGTTGTTGTAGGTCTTTTCTGCTGCCAAATTCTGGGGAGAGAGAGGAAAGGCTTGCAAGGGAGCCAGTTCCCAAACCCTGGACACCCAACTTCACTAGAGGGATTCAGGGTAAGCCTTAGCCCTGCCCACAAGCCACACCCAGCTCATCCAATAACTCTTCACATGGGATTTGAAAGATGGAAGCACCCAACACAGAAGAGACACTTCTGCTCCCTCTCCACATTCAACACCCCTCCCCACTCCCTACCTCCCAATCCCTCCACTGTCACTCACGATCACATCAAACTTGGAGTAGATGTCCACCACACGCCCTAGGGGGACAGAGGCAGCTCAGCAAGAAAAATCTGACAGCCAAGGCTCCCAATACCCATAGAATTGCCTTCCAGGCCTAGCTGAAGGGAAGGAGGTTTTCCCAGAGTCACCTGATCCCTGGAACCTTCCCTCTTCTTTCACAGTCTCTCACCTTTCTCATCCACCACTGGCAGGGCAGAGACACGGTGCTGTACAAAGATGCCTAGAGCCACATAGACAGGGGTGGTGGTGCGGACCATAGCAATATTGGCATAGGTGCCAATCTGTAGCTCCTCCAGAGACTTAGACATGAATTCTGGCTTGGGGAACTCAGTGATCTGAGGAAAGAACCATCAGCTTGCAAGGGGCTATGGGAATATGGCTTAGTGGCAGAGCATTTGACAACATGCATGAGGTCATAGGTTCAATTCCCAGTACCAAAAAAAATAAATAAATAAAAAATCACTGAACCATCAACTTAACTTTTAGGGCCCCCAAAACACCTGTGTACATGCCTCCAATTCAGCATTTAAGAAATAAGAACTGGTTCACAGAACACTTACAAACAATTTGAGGAACTTGAGGATGCGCTTGTGAGTTAGAATGTACAAGGTGTTGCCTGATTCTGGGTCAATAACTGGCAGCCTGTGGATCTTATTTCGAATTAATGAAGAGACAGCATCAAACAAGCTGTGAAAAGGTAGAGGCTAATGGTTAAATATCATAGTGCTGAAGCTGAGTCACACAGCTTTCCTTAGTGCTTATAGACAGGGAAAACTCACGATCCAGGAAGGAGGGCAATGCTCAAACAGACTTTAAGTGTGTGTGGTAGTATACACCTGTAATCCCAGCACTAGGGAGGGAGAGACAGAAGGATCATGAGTTCAAGATCAACCTGAACTCCACAGTAAGCTCAAGGCCAGTCTGGGTTATTTGTGAGGCTTTGTCTAAAAAAAAAAAAGAAAGGAAAAAAGGCAACGCACACCCTTAATCCTAGCACTTGGGAAGCAGAGGCAGGCAGATTGCTGCGAGTTCAAGGCCAGCCTGGTCTACATAGTGAGTTCCAGGTCAGCTGGGGCTACAGGGAGACCCTGTCTAAAAAAGAAAAAAAAAAAAAAAAAAAAGCTTGGGTGCGTGAGTGGGAGGAGCATCTTCTCTTCTGCCCCTTCCCCTGGCTCTTTAGGTATTTAGGGATACTGCTCTTTTGGATAAACAAATCTTACCTGGCATTTGGAGAAATGCAGACAAGTGGCTTAAAGGAGTCCTGTAGGTATACTTCTGAAGGAAAAAGGGGCAGCTCACAAAATACAGCATTTAAGTTTCCCAGAAAGCCCTCCCCCTTCACCTTTCACAACCTCTATTCTTTATATACCTCTCCACGTTTCTATCTTGTGTTCTTCCAGCTCATAGATCTGTACCTAGAAGGAGAAACAGTATATTCAAGACTTGTTCTCCCGTCTTCATTAATTAACCCATGTGGCTTGGAGGGAGATAACAGGAAAGGACCAAAAGCAGGGAGATGGTTCTGGTTTCTGAGCTATGGCTCCTTACCAAGGCTGACTTATAGTAGCGATGCAGAATATTGATAAAATCGGTGATAGTCAGCATGCCTAGAAGCCAAGACAAGAGTAAGAGTCCTCAGTACAGCCTAATGTTTCTTTCTCTCCATGAACAGCAAAAAATGCCAATAGCAATTATGTTCCAGAAACTTTTACTTACCCACAAAACTTTGCTTCTTACTATCCCACAAAGGGGCAGCACGTACACCATTAGTCACCAAAGCAAAGAAAGCTTTCTTCACCTATAGTCAAAAGAGTAATATCCTAAAGGGAAATCTGAGGGTTGGCACAGTGGGGAAAACATGAGCCTAGCTCCAGACAGGAATAAGGCTGTCATCCTGGAGTGACATGTGATGACAGGTACTGAACCAGAGGCTCCAAAGAGTGCAGAAGAGGAAAGGGCTCCACCCACCTGCAGGGAAGTATCGAATACAACCAACTTGGAGCTTGTGGGAATCAGGTCATAGCAGCGGTGAGACTTCATGAAGGAAGTATACACACTGTTGTTTGACTCTGGGGTCTCTGTATAGAGTAGAGAAGTTAGTGGTTTTCTTCTGTGCAAGAACTCCCAATCAGAAAAGACAGAAACCAAAAAGTGTTCTAGTTTCTCAACTGTTTAGATTATTATTATTCTAAATAATTGAGCATAGTTTTTTTTTTTTTTTTTTTTTTTTTTTTTTTTTTTAAGCAGGGTCTCCCCTTAGCCCCAGCTGTCCTGAACTCACTATGTAGACCAGGCTGGCCTTGAACTCAAAAGAGATCCACCTGCCTCTGCCTCCCAAGTACTGGGACAACAGGTGTGTGCCACCACACCCAGCTTGAGCATACTTTAAAAAAAATATTTTTATTATTTTTATTTTGTGTGTATTGTCTGTGTGTAGATAAGTGCACTTGTGTTGTGCAATGCCTGTGGAGGACAGAAGAGGCTGTCGGATCCCTGGAACTGGAGTTACAGACAGTTGTTAGCTGCCATGTGGGTGCTGCGATTTGAACCCCAGTCTTCTGCAAGAACAACCAGTGTTCTTAACTGCTGAGCCATCTCTCCAGCCCCATTATTTTTTTTATATAAGGTCTTCTGTTTTGTTCCAACAGGATATGGATAAACTCCTCAGAAATTATTTTACCTAACTCTTACCTCCAGGTGCTATATTTATTGGCTTCTTAGGTAAAAGAAAGCTGACTGAAACAGGAAGTCTTAATATCTCTTATTAGACTGTTCAAGTCTAAGATTTTTCCAGTCTTCAAGTTTTTCTTCCTGTTTAGCATATTGATTTGTCTTTTCTCAATGATGATGAAATATCAAATAAGCGTCTTCAAATTCGTTGAAGACCTGCAAGTGGGAAACTCAAGGTTCAGGGGGCTGGACCACTTCTAACAATACTAAATGCTCAGTCAACCTAGCCTAGAGCCTATTCTGGGATCACCCAGTGAATCAGAAATCATCCAATTTACTTTATGTAAATGATAGAACCTGGATAGGTTCATCCCTATTCTTGTGATTTTATTATTTATTTATTTATTTGCTTGTTGCTTTTGAGATATAGATATTGCTACAACACCTAGGCTGGCTTCAAGCTTGTGGCATTCCAACTGCCTAAGTTTTCCATGTACAGGGCTTACAGGCATCTGTGTCTGGCATTCTGTGTGTTTTTTTTTTTCCCAGTGTTTTTTGAGACAGGGTCTCCCTGTAGCCCCAGCTGTCCTGGAACTCACTATATAGACCAGGCTGGCCTTGAACTCACAGAGATCTGCCTGTCTCTGCCTCCCAAGTGCTGGGACTACAGGCATGCGCCACCACGCCCGGCTCTGTGTTTTTGTTTTGAGAGAGGGTCTCTCTGTAGCCTCAACTGGCCTGGAACTTGCTATGTAGACCAGGCTGGTCTCAATTTCACAGAGATCCACCTGCCTCTGCCTCCTGTGTACTGGGATTAAAGGCCTGTGCCACCACTCCCACCTTAATTTTTTACCATTATCTAACAAACATAAGACAATTTTTAAAAGATTTATTTTTATTATTTGTGTGTACAGGTATCTGCAGGCCAGAAGAGGGTGGTCTGATTCCCCTGGAGCTGGAGTTACAGGCAGATTTGAGTCACCTGACATGGGTGCTGGGATTCAAACTTGGGTCCTCTTTAAGAGCGGCAAGCACTGTTAACCCCTGAGCCATCTTTCCAGTCCCAAAGATGAGAAGTTTTAGAGTCCTTTTTCCTAATCATCACCAACACATACCTCCCACCCTGTAGTCCCCATCCTTCTAGGAGGTTAAACCCTAATGTTGGTTATATCAGTATTTAAACCATTTTACTATTCCTCATCAGAACTTTTTTTTCTTTGATAACTCTGTTGCCCCTGGAGTTAACATGGTTCTTATTCTTTGTTTACTTAATTTTTCTATATAGTACTCAGACTAATTCAATCACCAAAGTCAACCAATTATTTGAGTCTCCTTTCAAAAAAATTCAGAAGCATTAGATATTCTACCAGTTTGGAGTATCAAGAAGTCTCTTTGAAGCCTTCAGCCCGGTCTGGTCTGCGCTGGTTGGCCTGCGACGCACTGCTGCCACCATGGGGTTCTCCATCGCTGTCCAAGGGCCTTTCTTTTCACTCCTGTACCATTATGATCACTCTGTTCTGATGGAGCGTCATCTTCAGTAGCTTCCTGAGAAAGGGTGCATGGAAGTACTTTCTGAGACCTTGTAGCCCGTAGATGGCTTGACTCTCATCACTCCTTGATTTCTAATTTGGATGGACAAAGTTGGAGTCAGTTTTCTTGCAGAATGTCGCAGGCACTGTTCCACTGCCTGTTAGCTGCTGGTTCTGATTCTTGCTTGGGAGTTGCTTTTTTTTCTCTGGAAACTCATAGGATCTTCTCTTTGTTCCCAGCATTCTGAAGGCTCCTGATGACTGCACTTTGCGGGGATCAGTTTCATCTACTGTGTTGAGTAATCAGTGGGTTTTCTTTCAATATGAAAAGTAGCATCTTTCAGTTCTGGGAAATGTTATTAAATCCTTGCCTCTATTATGTCCTCTCTGAGTTGCCATTTTTCTCATTCTATAACTCCTATTATTTAGACGTTGGACTTCCTACAATGATCCTTTCAAGTTGGTTTGGACTTTTTTTTTTTTGTGATAGGGTCTCATGTAGTCCAGGTCAAGCTTAAATTTGCTAAGTAGCTGAAGATGACCTTCAGTATGCTTGAATCTGATCATTCTGCCTCTATCTCCTGAGTAATGGGATGACAAACATGCACCCATGCCCATTTTATGCAGTACTGGGGACTGAACACAGGGCTTCCTGAATATTAGGCAAGCATTCTACTAACTGAAATACACCCCTGCCCTGAAAATGCCCTTTAAAAAGTTCCTGTACTTGTTTCCTGGTGAAATGTCCTTTTAGCTGAGTATGTCTTACTCAGATACTATCAAAGCTTTTGTCCTCAAACCGATCTCTCCTCCAGTTGCCCTTTTCTGTTTGTTTCCTTGTAGCACACCTGGATTTTGATCCTTTTTTTCCCACTTTGTTTAGATGTTGGTAATTCTTGGTTTGAAATAGGATTCAGGAGCTAAGGATATGGCATGGTAGATAAAGCATTTGTCTTGCAATGCAAAGACTAGAGTTTGGCTCCCCAGAACCCCAGCACAGAGACAGCTGGTTAGCTAGACTAGTTGGAACTGGAGAGCTCTGGGTTCGGGGAGAGACCCTGCCTCAATAAAGGGGTGGGAGAGTAACTGATGAAGGAAGACACTCAACATCAAGTTCAAGGCTCCATATGTACATGCACACAAGCACACCTGCAACATACACATGCCACACACATGAATGAAAGGATTCAAATTCCATTTCTGTGTTTTATTTAAATCATTTACACACACACACACACACACACACACACACACACACACACACTTAAGCTTAAGAGCAACTTTTATGAGAGTTTAAAAGAAAAACTCCCATGGCAGGCAAGCTGTAAATCTCAGCAGCTGAAGAAGAAAAGGAAAAAAAGCCATGTCCTTTAAGTCAGCATGGAGGTTAAACACACAGCAGACAGTCACATAGGGAGGGGAGCTTTAGAGAAAGGGTAAGAAAGTCCAAAGTATGAGAAAGAGCATGCTTCGGTTCTAGACAGCGTCCAAAAAGAAAAAGGCCAAAGAGGAAAGGGAAAAGGTGTGCCTTTCTGACTTAGGTCTCAGAAAAGCAGGTAGACCCAATGGACCTCACTGGTGGCTTGTAGGGACTGCCCGAAATCATCTTAACTGCAGACACACGAACGCTGATTGGAAGTTCTAAATGCCCGAGTACTGCTCACTGAAGACAACACTCAACACTTACAATTTTAGGGTTTTTCCATCAAAGGGAGTCTTCAGAGAAGGATTATGTAATTCCAGGCTTAGGGATGGAAGTCTTTTCTACTAGTATTTTGGAAGCTGAATCGGGGAAGAAGGCTGGAGGCCCAGGACCAGCACAGTTCATCTGGGGCTCTGGTTTGCAGCAGATTATGTATCTACAACCCTATCTAAACCCCCAGTCTTGGCCTGAGTATGGAAGGACAGTTGCCCAATGATATGCAATAAAGCAGTCGAGACACTTGTTTCTTACTTTCAATACTTTTTGACTTTCTTAAAGTTAACTACTATGAAGTGTACTCAGATCATCTAAGTCATTTAATTCTCTTCCATATGCTTTGCAACTTCCAAAATTCCTCTCCTGTTATATTTGGGTGGGTGTGTACTTTTAAAAAAATTCCTTGGCTGGGGCTGGAAAGATGGCTCAGAGGTTAAGAGCACTGACTGCTCTTGCAGAGGACCTGGGTTCAATTCCCAGCACCCACATGGCGGCTAAGAACTGTCCTTGTTTTAACTCCAGTTCCAGCGGAATACGACACCCTCTTCTGACCTCCATGGCATTGCATGACATGGGTGCACTCACATACATGCAGGCAATACATTTGTACAAATAAAATAAAAATAATATTAAAAAAAATTCCTTGGCTGGGCATGGTGGTGCATACCTTTAATTCCAGCACTTGGTTAGGCAGAGGCAGGCAGATCTCTGAATTTGAGGCCAGCCTGGTCTACACAGTAAGTTCCAGGTCAGAAAAAAAATTAAATAAAATTCCTTTAGTGTGGTTTTTAGGGTGTGTGTGTGTATGTGTGGGGTACACATGCCATAGTGCATGTGCAGAGGTCAGAAAACAAGTCTGTAGAGTCAGTTCTTTTTCCTCCTTTATAGGAACAGGGGCTTGAACTCATGTTACCAGTCTTGCATTGCTAATACCTTTACCTGCTGAGTCATTTTGCCAGTTCAGGGTTTTAAAAAAATTTTTTAAATTTATTTTAAATTAGTATATGCATGTATGTCTACGTGTGGGTATGTGCACATGGGTGCAAGTGCCCACAGCGACTAGAAGAGGGTTGGGTCCTCTGGGGCTGGACTCACAAGTAGCTGTGAGCTGCCGAATGTGGGTGCTGGTAACTAACCCTAAGTCCTCTGTAATAGTATGTATTCTTAACCGATGAACCACCTTCTGCAGGTCCCTTGTTTTGTTTTTTAATGTGGTAATGAGAGTGATGTATACATTAACTCCACCATTGTTAACTAGAAGCCTTCCATTATTTTTCAAACATGAAAAATCAACTCAGAGATACCCAGACATGGCTTTAGAAACCACACTAAGTTAGATGCTATCATTTTAAGTCACAAACCCATATACATATTGAATTTGGATTTCCCAGTTTTAAAAAATAATTTAAATCAGTTGCAAAATTACAGATTTACATAAAATCCAAATTCTGTTTCTTTACAGAGCTCAGAAAACCTGGCAAAATTAGGTCTTAATTGACCAAATATTGATAACCGCTGTCTCCTTTTAAGTGGGGTATAAGATTTATACATTATCACTATCGTATTTAGTCCACTTCCGTATAAATGAGTTATTACCATCTGCCTTTGTGCTAACACAGATGTACTCAGAAACATACGACAGTTAATGGCACCAAGTGTAGTATTCAATTATGGAAAGTCATCTGGATGATGTAACACATGACTACACTGAATTTGGGGGGGGGGATGCCAATAAAACAGGACAATTTAAATTTCTTGCCAAGAACTCATAGACTCCATAGAAATATGTCCTAGGGTTTCCCTTGACACTATGCTGCCTCCTTCTCAAAAAATTACTTCTGTGTCTATATATGAGTGTATAATTTTTTTCTTTGTGTGTGTGTGTGTGCATGTGCACAGAGGTTCAAACTTGATGCTGAATGTCTTCTTTGATCAATCACTCTCCCTCTGTTAATTGAGGCAAAGTTTCTCACTGAACCCAACTAGGGAAAGACTAGTTTCTGCTAGTTGAGCCAACCACTGTACCCAGAATAATTCCCTGTCTCTGCCTCCTGTCAGAACCACAAGCAACTGCCACACCTGCCTGGCTTTTATGTGGGTTCTGGGAATCCAAACTCCCGTCTTCAAACTTGTGAGGCAAGCACTTTATCTACTGTGCCATCTCCCTAGCCCCTGAGTCCTATTTTAAACCAAGGATTACCAAACATCTAAAAGAAGTGGAAAAAAGGTGATCCATACTGGGACTAGAGAGATGGCTCAGCAGTTAAGAAGCACTTGCTGTTGCTGCTTTTCCAGAGGACCTGAGTTGAGTTCCCAGCACCAATATCAGGCAGTTCACAAATGCCTGTAATTCATAATTCTAGGTGATTTGAAGCTGGGCGTGGTAGCTCATGTCTTTAATCCTAGGTGATTTGAAGCTGGGCGTGGTAGCTCATGTCTTTAATCCCAGCACTTGGGAGGCAAAGGCAGGAGGATCTTTGTGAGTTTGAGGCCAGCCTGGTCTACATAGTGAGTTCCAGGACAGCTAGGGCTACAGGGAGACCCTGCCTCAAAAAGACAAAAAAATAAAATTCTAGGTGATTTGACGTCCTCTTCTGGACCCTGCACTCACACATCTACAGACCCGTACAGATAATACACGTAATTTCTTTTTTTTTTGACAAAGGGTGTCGCTGTAGCCATAGCTGACCTAGAACTCACTATGTAGACCAGGCTGGCCTCCAACTCAGAGATCCACCTGCCTCTGCCTCCAAGTGCTGCTACCAAGTGGAGGCATGTGCCACCACGCCCGGCTTAATACACATAATTAAAAAAAAAAAATCCCAAGAAAAAAAGTGATCTTAACTGTCCCCTATTCAAATATACTTACAAGGAAACAAACAGAAAAAGGCAACTGGAGGAGAGGTCAATGCACAAGAAACAAAAGCTTTGATAATAACAGTGATCTATACTCAGGTAAAAGAATGTTTCACCAGGAAACAGGTATAAGAAATATTTTCAAGGGACTTTCCATCTCTCCAGCCCCACTATCTTACCTCTTGAAATTTGTACTGTTTCTATTTTAAACATTTTATTTATTTTATGTGTATGCATGTATTGCCTGCATGTAGGTAAGTGCACCTGTGTCATGCAATGCCAGACAAAGGACAGAAGAGGCTGTTGGATCCCCTGGAACTGGAGTTACAGTTGTTAGCTGCCATGTGGGTGCTGGGATTTGAACCTGGGTCTTCTGCAAGAACAGTGTTCTTAACAGCCCCTCGGTTTCTATTTTAATCCTCTGGGGAAATATGTAACCTAATACCATAAAGATGAGATGTCCTAGGAAGAGTAGAGAGTTCCTAGTTACTTTATCAGAGATGCCACTAATCAATCTCTCCTCTCTCCCTCTCCGCCCCCCCTCTCGCATGCATGCATGCCCCCTCTCCCTCTCCTTTCTCAAGAATGCTAGGTAAGCACTCTACCACTGAGCTCCATCCCCAGCAATCCTCTCTTTCCCTAGGAGACTCCAAAGCACTGCTGAAGACAACTTAAGGTCAGTTATGGTTTTCACATTGCTTCCAATCTTACCTGGAAGGTGTTCACTTTCCAGAGCTGGAGAGCTGTCTGAAATGCCCTGAAAAGAAGAGAAACCGTCACCTTAACCCAGGCTCCATCCATTTCAGTCTAGTGACACTGGGAAAAAGGCTGTTTGGAAGACTAAGGCAAGAGTGTCACCATGACTTGGTGAACCACTGATTTCCCTTACAAAGCATTTCAAGGCCCTTCAAGAAATATTATTTCAGCTAGGTGTGCTGGCACACACCTGCAATCCCAGCACTTGGGAAGTAGAGGCCTGAGAATCAGACATTCAAGGCAAACCTTGGCCACACAGCAAGTTTGAGGTCAGTCTGGGGTGGCTACGTGAGACCCTGTATCAATACTTCCTCAAAAAAAAAAAAAAAAGAAAAGAAAAGAAAAGAGAGGCTGCAGAGATGGCTCAGTGGTTAAGAGCATTGGCTGCTCTTTCAGAGGACCCAGGTTTGGTTCCCAGCACACACATGACAGCTAACAATCATCTGTAACTCCAGTTCCAGGGAATCCAACACCCTCTTCTGACTTCTGTGGGCATTTGTACAACACAGATTGTATTGCAGGCAATACACTCATACACATAAAAGAAAAATAATAACATACTAAAAAAATATTATCTCAGCCGGGCGTGGTGGCGCACGCCTTTAATCCCAGCACTCGGGAGGCAGATCTCTGTGAGTTCAAGGCCAGCCTGGTCTACATAGTGAGCTCTAGGACAGCTGGGGCTACAGGGAGACCCTGTCTCAAAAAGACCAAAAAAAAAAAAAATATTATCTCAATTGGTTTTCCTAACAACCCTGAGGTAAATTCTATTATTAGCCCATTTTCACAGAGTAGAGAAATGATAGTCAAGAGTCAGCCAGCAACTTGCCCAAGTTCACATGGCTGGTAAGGGTGAAGTAGACTTGAACGCCATGTCTGGTTCCAAAGCTCATGGTTTTTTGCCCTACACTGCCTAAAGAAACATTAGGTCCTTGTTTTGTTTGTTTTTTGAGGTAGTTTCTCAATATATAGACTTGGTTGGCTGAAAACTTGAAATCTTCCTGTCTCTGCCTCCTTAATGTTAGGATTGTTAACACCATGCAAAGCCAAACATTAAGCCTAAAACCAGCTGTGGGGGTGCATGTCTGTAATCTCAGTATGGAGGCACAGACAAGCCGATTACAGCAAGTTTAAGGCTATTCTGGTTTACATAGTGAGTTCCAGGCTAGCTAGGACTACAAAGTGAAACCCTGTCTCAAAACTAAACCAACCAACCAACCAAACAAAAAACACAAAACTAAAAAGCTAAGACTAAAAAATCTGAGCTTAAGGATGGTCCCAAAAGATTCTCACAGACCTACTTTGATAAACTGTGGATATAAGCTGGTGTGGTATCACACACCTGTAACACAGCACGAAGAACAAAGGAGAGTGAAGAGTTTAACACCAGCCTAGGCTACATAATGGATTTGAGGCAAGCCCCACACCCATACGGATACTCCAGATAAACACTACTTTCCCCCGAAGACCCACAAGCATAGCTGTGGCACTAGAATCACTGCCATACGCCTTAGCTCGAGAGAGGGACACAATGGGGAGACCCAAGTAGCTAACCCAGACAGCCAAATCTTGACTGAGAAGCAGATAAGGAGCACTCGGGGCTTAAGTCATCTCATCAGCACCCTTGGGCTACTAAGTTTTCAAGTTTCCTGAGATAGTCTGATTAGAGAATACTTTGAATACAGACAAACCTTCACAGCCATTTCTGAGTGATCTCAAGTGGGAACATTTGGAAATTTCATTGTTATCTAAGAATCCAGGAGGGATCATGGAAACTTTTATCTGCTGTCATCAATACTGTGGCTCCATTTGTTCTGGGTAATGCCCCCTGAACAAACTTACCTTTCATAGCTTCTGTAGTAATATGAAGTCAAAGGCCTTGGGTTGAACCTAGGAAGGTGGCTAGCCAACAGGGTCAACTTGGCAAGGCAATCCTAAACTTCCTTCCCCCAGTGCACTGTGGTAGGGACTCTCCCTCTGTTCTTGATGGGCTGCATAAGACTATCAGCTTGGCCTGGCATTTTAGGCAAGACTGTAACAGCCTCATCCTTAAAACGAGAGAGGGCTGATCTACAGTAAAGATGCACATGAGGGGGCTGGAGAGATGACTCAGTAGTTAAGAGCACTGACTGCTCTTACAGAGGACTTGGGTTTGATTCCCAGCACCCACATAGCCACTAACAACTGTCCATAACTCCAATTTCAGGGGATCTGATACCATCTTCTGACCTCCAAGGGCACTGCATGACAGGGATGCACTTATACACATGCAGGGTGCACTCATACATGTTTAAAAAAATGCACACATGATGTTACCACAGTCTCATGACCTAAAAGGCACAGAAGCAGCTACTTCTGAAAATTATGACATCTGTCATACAAAACATACCGCTCCGAGCTAAATCCATTTTGTTCATTATCTAGCACTGTGCTACAGTCATTTTATTATCCAGGGAAACAGATTATAAGTCCCCAGAAGTCTGCACCTATACCCCCTAGCATGAGGTATTGCACATAAGCTACTTTTTTTGGAGATAGGGTCTCCCTATATATAGCCTTGACTGACCTGGAACTCCCCATGTAGAGCAGACTGGCTTCAAACTCACAGAGATCTGCAGGCTTCTGCCTCCCAAGGGTTGGGATTAAAGGTGTATGCCATCACATCCAGTCCCAATTTACAATTTTATTTTACTATTTATTTATTTTTGTTGTTGTTTTGAGACAGGGTCTCCTTTTAGCCCTAGCTGGTCTAGAATTCACTATACAGACCATACTGGCCTAGCTCTCACAGAGATCCTCCTGCCTCTGCCTTCCAAGGGCTGGGATTAAAGACCTGCACCACCATGTCCTTGCATCAATTTAAAAATTTTAAAAATTCTCGAATAATGATGTAAACTGCTATGGACAGAAACCTGAAACTGAGAGATAAAAGAGATGGACAGCTAGAGACATTAATGTGAGAGTCAGACACTCTTCTGGTTTCATTTCTATTGATAAAATACTCTGACAGAGCAACCAGCCTAGGGGAGGAAAGTTTCATTTTAGCTCACAATTCCAGGTTACAGCCCATCACTGGAGAAGTCACAGCAGCGGGAACTTGAGTCAGCTGGCTGTATCACATCCAAGGTCAAGAGTAAAGAAAAATCAAGGCGTACACACCTTTGTTTGTATTCAGCTTGATTTTTCCACTCTTATGTAGCGAGAGACCCTCTACCTAGAGAATGGTGTTACCCGCAAGTGGGCTAGGTCTTCCCACATTAATTAATTAAGACAGACAATGTAAGGTCCAGGAATCACACTCAGGTCATCAGATTTACAGGATACGCCATTTTACTATCTGAGCTACCTCAAAAGATGCAGAGAGTAGTTTTATATATGACTGGAGATGAAAATCCCTTCCAAATGAGCTGCTTTGGTGAGATGAATTGAAAAGGATATAATTATGTCTTCTACAGACATGCCCATGGGTCAACCACATGTAAGACAATTCTTTGAGAAGCTCTTTCCAGGTGATTCTAGATTATATCAAGTTGACAAACTGTGATGTTGCACACATGTTATCCAGCACTCAGGAGGTAGTCAGAACCATCAAGAGTCAGTAGCCTCAGCTACACAGAAGTTTGAGGCCAGCCTGGGGGGTTAACTCTGACTAAAAACAACAATAAAAAACCCAAAACAAAGTCAATACACAGCACTACACAAGTACAAAAATATTATTAGAGACACAGGCTAGAACTGACACTAAGGCAAAACTGCTTCCAAACTCTTCATCTACCTTTTCAACTGTTTGACAACCACAGACGTTAGTCTACTCATAATGCTTTAGTAAAAAATATCTGTTCTTCTCCAGTTTTTTTTTTTTTTTTTTTTTAGCAGGGTTTCCCTGTAGCCCCAGCTGGCCTGGAACTCCAGATATAGACCAGCCTCCAATCTGACCCTGAACTCACAGAGATCCGCCTGCCTCTGCCATTTCCTGAGTGCTGGGATTAAAGGTATGTGCCACCATGCCTAGCTCTAATCCTATTCTTGGCTGTGATTTCCCCCTTCCCCAAATTGCTATATTTCTAGGTGCCTGGGTCTGTGGTTCGTTCTTCTACTTTCCTGGACAAGTAAGGGCTTGAGATGCTAAGTTGATATGTTATAAATGCCTCAAATCCATCTCTTCATTTTCACAGCCTTGACTGAGGCTTTTCTCACTTCTGAACCATGTCCAAGCTTTTGTAGAATTTTATTTATCCATTCATTAACCTAACAGTGCTAGGGGATTGAACACAGGGCCTTGTGCATGCTAGGCAAGCACTCTTCTGCTGAGCCACATTCCTAGCTCTACAGCATTCTCAAAACTGGTCTCACCTTACTCCCTAATCTACCTCCTTTTCAATTCATCTCACCAAAGCAGCTCATTTGGAAGGGATTTTCATCTCCAGTCATATATAAAAATAAAACTACTTTCTGCATCTTTTGAGGTAGCTTAGAGAGTAATAAAATGGCTTACCTGTAAATCTGATGACCTGAGTGTGATTCCTGGAACTTACATTAAGGTGAATGAACCAAGTCCACAAAGTTGTCCTCTGACCTCCACATGTACTCTGTGGTAATCTGCATACCTCCCCAACAGATAAATTTTTTTGAAATAACTTTCTGAAGTGGTTTAGTCTATTGACAGAAAGCTGTTAAGAATATTCCCAAGCTGGGGGTGGTTATCTGTTATATGGCTTGAATCCCAGCACGTAGGAGGCAGAGGCAGAGACAGAGGCAGAGGCAGACGGATGGCCTGGGATGGTCTACACAGTGAGTTCCGGGCCAGCTGAGGCTAAATAGTAAGACCCTGTCTCAAAAAACAAAAACAAAAACAAAAACAAATATTCCCCAAAGCTCATTCACTGCTTTGTTTATAAATCTTCCACTGGTCTCCTAGAAAGGTCAGGCAGGGGCTGAAGAGATGGCTCACCAGTTAAGAGCACTGGCTGTTCTTTCAGGGCACACACCTTTCATCCCAGCACTTGGGAGGGAGAGGCAGGCAGCTCTCTGGGAGTTTGAGTCCAGCCTAGTCTATATGGCGAGTTCCAGGTCAACTAGCTATAAGGAGACCGTCTCAAAAAGAGAGGGGAAAGAAAAAAAAAAAAAGCACTGGCTGTTCTTATAGAGGACCAGGGTTGGGCTCCCAGCACCCACATAATGGCTAACAACTGTCATCAGATCAGGGGATCTGATGCCCTCTTCTGATCTCTGCAGGCATTGCACAACATGAATGCACTTACATACATGCAGACAATACACTCTACTCATAAAAACAAAACAAAACAAAACAAAACCCCAAAGGTCAGAGCCAAAGCCAGAGTGATGGCTCATGCCTATAATTCTAGCACTGTAACCCTAGACTGAGGCAAGAGGATTACAACTGTGAGAACAGCCTGGGCTCATACTGAGACCCTGACTTAAAAAAAAAAATGAAGTCCCAACTTAATATGGTATACAATACTTCCCATCTGGTCTTAGCTGACTTTTCTTTACACCATGACCAAAATATAAAGTTCCAGCAACACCAAGCCATGAACACATCCCTAATTATTTTCCATGTAATCCAATTTTTTAAAAAATATTTTATTTTTATTTTATGTGTATGAGTGTACTGCCTGCATGTATGTGGGTGCACCCGTGTCATGCAATGCAGCGCAGGTCAGAAGAGGGCTTCGGATTCCCCTGGAACTGGAGTTAAGGACGGTTCATATCCACCATGTGGGTGCTGGGTATCGAACCCGGGTCCTCTGCAAGAGCAGTCAGTGCTTTTAACCGCTAAGCCATCTCTCCAGCCCCATAATCCAATTTTTATACTTTTGCTCAATCTGTAATGGGCTCCTAGGCTTAAGGTAGTTTTTTTTTTTTTTTCCCTCTATGCTTTCAGTTCTTTGTATCTTGATTGCACTTACTATATGGTCGGTCTCTCTCTTTCTCTTTCAGTAGCATGAGGAATAATTTGAAAACATACATAGAATTTTTTAAAACCAGAATACATTTACAAGTAAAAAAAAAAACAAAACACCATTGACAGCGTTTCTAATTTAAAGGAATCCAACTACTGCTTAAGATGCTCTTGCCTTGTAGAAAACGAGAGCCTTGTATGGTTGACCACTTGCCTATCACTTTACTATTTGGATCTGGTTTCTTCTTTATAACTTAAGGTACACCACACCTCTGCACGCAAAGGGTGTAGTAAAATTACTCTGGACAGGTCACTAACTGATTCAGAGAAAATACGGGACCCTGTAATCCTTACAGAGCCACACAGTGGGAGATAAAACCCGAGCCGCCTCCAGAGGATACATGGTTAAAAACTGCAGAGCAGCCAGTGGATGGAGTTTCCGAGTGCTACAGAAAGGTTGCTGAGAACGAGGCAGGCCAAAAGAGTAGCAGGTAACCTGCAGCATCTGCAAAGCGTGACAGGGACCTGCCAATGGTCAAGCTGCTCGCCAAGAACGAGCTAGTCAGCAAGGCTGCCTAAAGTCGCAGAGCAGAACACCTAAACTTGTCCAAGACACAGAGGCCTCTGAGATTCCCTCCTTCGTGGAAACCTCACTTCTCGGCCTCATCAAAGGAACGTAACCTAGCGAGGATCAGTATAAAGTCCCTCATGCCAGGAACTGCAGGAAGCGCGAGCGCCCTGGAGAGCCAGGACCTCGCTGCGCGCAGAGCGGGACTTCGGAACCGACTTAGGGGCCAGCAGGAAGCAGCCAGGCGCCACCGACATGCGTGGCCAGGGAGGGGACCAGGCTCGCGGTCCGCGCGGGCCTGGGGACCGCGGACCCTAGGCAGGTCCGGAACCGGCCCGGCAAGAGTCCGGACAGCGGCCGCCTTCCCTGCGGGCCAAGCCCTGGCTGGCCGGCCCAGCGCCCGGCGGGGGTCTCCGGCTCCACAGCGCCGCCCGCCGCCCTCCTGCGCCACTCACCTCCATGGCAAGCGCCCGACGGCTTGTGCGTTTTCAGGGCAGACCCCGCCCCATGTCCGGGGCCTTGACGCCACTTCCGCCTACGTCACGACACCCCGGCCCAGAGCGGAAGGCGGGGAACCCACCCTTCCGGCAGTGGTCTAGCCGGGCCAGGAAGTGCCGCCCCCCCCCCCGCCCGGTCCTCTAGGACCTTTAAGCTCTGGCCGTCGGCGAGGGTCACAGGACGGAGCCGCTTGTATTTAAAATGTTCTTTTTTTATTTGTCGTTTAAAAACAAACTTTGAGGAAGCAAATTCCAAAACTTGCCCTTTGCCTCTCGCAACATAAATTATGTACAGTTCAGAATGATCGCTGATACAAAACATGCCAAGGACAGGGGCGCTGGGGGTGGAGGGAGAGAGAGCGCTTTAAAAAAGGGAACCATTTCATCTGTTGTTACGAAGGACCAACCTTGCTGTACAGGATACACACAACACAAAATAAAGTTCACGGGATTCACACTTGTCAGCGATTTATTTTTTTAAAAAGGGGGAGGGTCCTGGAGGTGAGGGTAGAAGAAGGTAAAGGGGGAAACTGAAAATTGAGTATGTGCAAGTGTAAACCAACCCAAAATACAAACACAGGGGTGGGGGGTGGGGGATTCTGATGCAATTATACAGGCGGGGTACTTTAAAAAAAAAACAAAAAACAAAAAAAACAAAAAAAAAAAACCAACAACCAAAATTCCAACCGGGTAGCTTGGGTCTGAGTTATAGTTTATATAAAAATTAAAAACTGTATAAGGTTTCTTCACTAAATTCTACAGGACTACCAGATACCTAGCATATGCTTACAAAGTCTGCCCCATCTCCTTTTCCCAATCCCAGGCCCCAAGCCCCAACCAGAGCCTGACTCAAGGAGCCAATCTCTCCCCACCATTTGTCTAGACCTTTCTGCTCTGTGGCTTTGGGGGCAGCAGCCCAGTCGTCCCACTGTCTGATCTAATTACAATGGTTCTGTTGAAGTGGGGATGTGTGTTATTTTCTTTAACATTTGCAGCTTGAAACAGTTGAGGAAGCAGCTTAAAAAAAAAAAAAAAAAGAAAAGAAAAAAAGAAATCTCCCTACCCCCATCAATCCACAATCCCCCAAATTCAAAACAAAACAAAAACAAACCTAAAATCACAACAGCAACCGTGCTCCCCTCCAGCAGGCCTGCCCATTTGCCACCATCAAGCCCATCTCTACAATCCAGATATCTGATTCTTGAAAATATTAATTACAAAATGCCCTGTGCCCAACAGCCCCTAGGAGAGAACTGCATATAAGCTTCATCTTCATCCCCACGGCTCCCTACCAGAAAGGGTCGGGGGCCTCACCCACCCCTCTACCTACCCCACCCCCATGAAGAGGTTCAACTGCAGCACAAGCTTGGGCAGAAAGGGGAAGGAAAAGGAGGCAGGGAACCCATCACCCTCTGGCTCCCCCTGGGGCCAGCTCACTTTTGTGCGTTATAACATAGTCCAACTATACAACTGGGTTGGAAATCACCCAGCCTCTCTCTATACCCCCACCTTACAGCAGTCACAGCCAGAGGGTGGGGAGGGGGGTGAGGAAAGGGCGGTAGGTTGGGTAGTGGAGGGGGCTCCCCCACAAGGGGAGCTCCATGTGTCCGCCCCACACCCCCCTACCATTTATAAACTGGTTTTGTAAAAAGAAAATAGATATATTTATATAGAATATATAAAGCACAAAAATTAGTAGTTTTACATTTGCTCTCCCCGGGGGTAGGGGGAGAGGGGAGGGTTCTCACCTCCAGCCGGCTCCCCCATACCCCACAAGACTATGTACAATCCCATGTATAAATAGATAAATACCCCCCACCCTCCCCGCGCTGACACTAAGCTCCCCACCCCCACATCACCACCCATTCCCACCAGACCAGCAGCAGTTTGGTGACTGAGGGAAAGTGAGAGCTCCGGGCCACACCCTGCCTCACTGGGTATGGGCATGCCACTCAGGGATAGCCCTCACCCTACGCCCCCAACCCCATCCAGGGGCTAGAGGGCAAATGGGCTCATGATGAGGTTGGGAAAACGAGAGATATCCTGGTCCTAGGTTTAGCACACCACTCCTGCCTCCATGTCCAGATGGAGAAGGAAGTTCTAGAGCAACTAGGGGCCAGTCATCCCCAATCTTCATCACCATTTGCCTCAACCACCATCCCATGCCCATAATTAAAAACAAAGATGGATTTTGTTGTTGTTGTTGTTGTTGTTTTTCCTCCTCCTACCCCCCTTCCACCCACTCAGAAGAGGGTAGTGAGGTGGGGGAGAGGGTTGGGGCAGCAGGGGGCTTGGAGAGGGTCTCACATTTCAAAACAGCAAAAAATCCAACACTTAAATGAGGTAGGTGTGGGTGCGGGGTCTCCTTGCCCGGCTTGCCCAGCTTGCCCTCCTGGGCATCTGGACGCCTCTTTCCCGTCATGTTGCATTTGTCAGAGTGGAAAACAAGGAAACACAACCCATAGAGAGACAGAAACACAGAGGAGAAGAGGGAGACAGAGACAGATCGAGAGGGAAGAGGATGGGGGTGAGGGTAGGGGCAGGACCCGGCAGGCAGGGCCAGGTATGGGACCCGGCCTTTGGGATTGTCAAGCTTAGTCAAGTCTCTTTGCAGCCTTCAGTTGGGCCAGAGAGGTTGGTGGGGGCAGCAGGGCTATGAGGCCCGGCCACACATCCTCCTCCCCTGCTCCCTGCTGCCTCCCAGATGCTTCTGGGTAGTTCCCGGCCCATATCCCCCTCAAACCTGAGATGCCCAGTGGCTGCTTCTGTCTGGCCCCTCCTGGAGTTAGGGGCAGAGATGCCAGCCTGAGGGCCGGTGGCAGGGAAGAGGTTGTCCCTGGTGCCCAGGGTGGGCTTGGCCTAGGGCCCTCTACCCCAGCCTCCTACTCCAGGGGCTCCGGTCGGCCGGCAGCCCCAGCCCTGGGTCCTGGCTCTGGCTGCTACCTCTCTTCCCCCTCATCCCTTTCAGGGAAGAGGCTGGGGGTGGGGGGACTCCCCTGCCTGGTAGCCTCAAAGCTTCTTAGTTCATCCATTTCCGACAATTCCAGGCTCCACAGTGACAGGGGATCTTGTGCTGATCGTCCTCAAAATCAAACTGATAGTCATAGGTCAGCTAGGAAGAAAAGAGGGCAGAATCAAGGTTTGCTCAAAGAGGGAGGGGTTGAAATGTCATCTGAAGGCAGTGGATTGGGGACCCAGTTTCTTGGAAATGGGAGAGGAGGGACTGCTTTGTCAGCTACTCAGGGAGCTTCCTCTCACCTCTTCTCCTTTGGGGATTCGCCGGCTGGAGATGATGATGATTTTGTCCTCCTTGTCAAATGTCACAACTTCTGCTACACAGTTAGGGGCACAGGAATGGTTAATGTACCTGGACAGTGGGACAGAGTCAGAGTCAGTGATGCCAGGCAACTAAGTGGAGACAATTTTGGCTCATTGCTGGCCTATACCCAGAAGGTCACCATAACAGACCCTTAAATCTCTTCTTTGTCTCTCACCTGGCAGGGCCTCCAGTCAATGTAGCATCAATCACATGCTCATTGTTTATCCGAAACATGTAGATGCCTCGATTCTAGAAAGGCAGAGGTTGTAGAAGGGAAGAGTATTAGGAAACAAATTCAGGCAGTGGGCTTATCTGGAATGACCTTAATTTCTCCTCCTGCATGGCTTTCCAACTACCCTCCAAGATCTAAACCTACCCCTTGGCTCCTTGGCTCAGAATGGACCCCCTTCCATGCCAGTCCCACATAAGCAGTACCTGTTCCTCATAGATTTTCTCCCGCCGGTTGGCCACCTCATTGCGAATAATGGTGCCAATGTACTCGATGACCATCGTGTGCTTTTCTAGGTCCTTGGCTGCATAGAGCCCCAGGCCCTGGATACGGGAGCGAGCCAGATAAACGTTGTTCTTCCACTCAGTGCGCAGGCGCCGGTACTGAGATGACTTGGAGTGCACAAACTGCTTGCTGTATGGGGTGTTGGTCTCGCCTGTGAAGGTGCTCTGATATGCCTTAGACATGCTGGTGCTGTTCAAGGTATGGGGCCTGGGGGTGATACAGTCCATGACAAGACAGGCCAAGCACACACTGCCCAGCTCCTCCCTGGGAACACAGTATGCCAGGTAGGGGTGTGTGCTACCAGCAAGCACTGAAGTGCCTGTTACCCTGGGAGTAGAGGCACCTGGGTCTCAGCACTGGTGAGGCAACAACTAGGTACTAGGACCCTTCTGCACACCCTGGGTTAGTGGAGACAGCCCAGGGTAGGGAGAGGGTGTGGAGAGGGAGGGGCATCAATTCCCCTCCACTGAGCCTGCTCTCCCATTTCATATTTCTACCACCATCCCACCAGACCACGGGCAAGGCCACGCTCCTCTTGGAGTCTTTCCCAAGTTGCCCAGGACTAGAATTTAAGTTGATGGTTTGCTCAGTTGTCTTAAGTCCTACCTCCTGCATTATGCTGTAAGCCCTGAAAATGGGGGCCGTCTCTACCACAGTGGCTATCTGACTTTTAATTGGCTGTGAAAACACAGCCTGAAGATGGTATCCTTGCCTTTCTTCAGACTGTCCCACTCTACAGCACAGCATCGGGCTCTGTGTAGACGGCTCAGTGCAGGGGAATGACTGCTGCCTGGCGGTAGCCTTTCACCACTCTAGGGCACAGCCAAATTCCTGCCCATCCCAGAGCAGTGGTTTTCAAACATTTGGAGTACGTTTCTTCTGTAATTGGTAGCATTTTAATTTTCTTCAACAAAATGTTGACTGCAACTCCAATCCATAGGTGAAATGGAGCTCGTCTGGCTAAATCCAATTTGGGGAAGGTGAAGTCACACACAGGAAGGGTCAAGTCTGCCCACTGACTTTTGTGCTCCAGTGCTTTTGGAATACATGTACTCAGTTTGAAAACCACTGTTGTAGAGCATCAAGGACTAGGGCTGACTAGAGGAAGAGTGTCTGACATTCTATGACAGCCATGGAGCCACCAAAGGCCTTCAGAAAGCCCTGCTCCATGGATTCTGCCTCCCTCTACCCAAGAACCAAGGTTAGGCTATGGTGGTATACAGAAAGAACAGTGACCCACAAGTTAAGAGGTGAGGGTCTGGTCCCAGCTGTGTGACCTTTATGTAGTCACACAGTCTATCTGGGCCTCAGTTTTTTCTCAGCTGTAAAATGGGGATCATACCACCTGCCCTACCTACCTCATAAGGTTGTTGTGAGGATCAAATGAGATAATGGATGTGAAAACGCTTTGAAAAAAAAAGTATAAAGTGCTATACAAATGTAAGGTTTTATTATTTTTCTATTATACTTCTAATTCTTTATTTCTAAACCAACTCCACTTTGGAAAGGGAAGGTGGCCCTAGCATTCGTGGGGTGTCTGAAGTCTGGGAGTATCACTGGCCCCTCTGGAAGCAAAACCAAAGAAGGAAGAAGTGACCAACTCCCTTAAGTATTTCACAAAACTTACCATTGTCTACCGAGAACCTCCCAGCAGCCATTCCCAGGGTACCCAAGAGAACTCTGTCCTGTATCCCTGGTCAACCCAGTACACCTGAGCTGATTAGAGAAGAAGAAAAGGATACCCCAGCAACACTTGTGCACCCTCTACTCAGGAGTCCTACGGGTTCTTGGAGAAAACTCTGATCTGCATCTCAAGACTGTCATAATGTGGCCAGAAGATCCTACCCACATCCACACCACAGCCCATGGTCCCAGCCCCACAAGCTCACCGTTTGTAGTGTGTGAGGATTTTAGGCTCTGATCGGGCACAGCCGGTGGGGTTGATCATGAGTGGCAGCTCCATCAGGGGGTGGCGCCCATAGCGGAATAAGTAGTTCTGACAGCTCTCTACCCCAGGCAGCTGTGGGCACAAGTAGCACTGCTTTAGCTCCTTTGAGGCAGGGCCAAGACACCCAGTGCCCACTTAGCCCCCAGCTTGGCCCCTGCTTACTGATTCAGCTATGCGAAGCACAGCATGCACCGTCAGCCCAAAGAGTTCTTCGCCTTTCAGATATTCAGGAAAGAGCCTCAGCATGTCGGCCTCTCTTCTCATGGCAGCCACAGGCTCGATGATACGATTCCATACAGCTAGAGGGTGAGACAGGAGCATCCTTCAGAGCAACCTCTGCTTACTGACTTCCTGCCTATAACACCATTCCTGGACTGTTGTTTTTCTATGGTCTTCACCTTCCTGTGGGTCTTCAGGACCCCTTCATGGTCTCTCAGTCCCAGAAGCTACAATTTTTGAAGGGAATCACGGAACTTGTGACACAGAGAGACAAACCCAGGTCCCAGAGACCTAGTAAAGGTCATTTCTTATTGAATGAACATATACATGATTTGGAATTGGGATGACTGGTTGCAGGTTCTAAGTAATGGCTATAGGACTTAAGTCAAATACTTAATTCTACTACTTACCTTACAGGGTTATATGAACACAGTGTATATAAATCACTCAACTGGATCTGTCTCTTACAGTACACATGCTCAGTAAAACATACTTCCTGTCATTCATGTATATATATATGGGGGGGGGGTTAATGAGACAGGGTCTGGAATTCACTATGTAGACCAGGTTGGCCTTGATCTCATAGAGATCTACCTACCTCTGACTCCTGAGTGCTAGAATTAAAGGTGTGTGCCACCACCCTTGGCTTCTGCTGTTTTTTTGTTATGACATAAAAAGAAAGATTTAAGGCCAGGTATGGTAGCACACACCTTTAGCCCCAACACTCAGGAGGCAGAGGCAGAGGCCAGCTTGGTCTACATAGCAAGTTCCAGGCTAGCTGGGACTACAAGGGGACCCTGACTCAAAAAGACAAAAAAAAAAAAAAAAAAAAAAAAAAAAAAAAAAAAAAAAAAAAAAAAAAAAAAAAAAAAAAAAAAAAAAAAAAAAAAAAAAAAAAAAGAGAAAGATTTAAAGGGGCTATGATTACAACTCAATGGTATAATTTCTCTAGCATGTGCTGGGTCCAGTTCCAGCCCCAGTGCCATAAAAATAAAAAACTCTAAAAAGGATTTTACATAGGGGAAAAAAAAAAAATTAAGATTAAGTAGGATGCACCAGACAAGAGGGTCTCAAAACTTTGTCATTTGGTCTTCCAAGGATAGGAAAACAATATAAAACATATGAAACATGGTTTTTTGAGGCAATCTCATGAAGCCCAGGCAGGCTTCCAGGTTATTATGGTGCTGAGGATGACCTTGACTTTTGATCTTCTGACCTCCACCTCTCCCAAGTACTGGGATTAGAGGTGTGAGCCGCCATGCTTGGCTACGAAAAATATTTTCAATCACAGAGGCATTTACAGTGACTAAGAGAGGGTGAACTCCATTCTTTGGGAGTTTTCAAGAGACTGTGCCTATGTGAGATGGGGACAGGTCACTTACCTAAAAGCTGTAGACCTTCCTGACACTGTAAAGTGACCCCTGGGGAGAAACTGGCCCAATTTCATATTCCAGTGCTCACCTTGGGGAGAGGCATCGGTGAAGACCAGGTCTTCTAAACCCTGCTCCATGACTTTGATCACAAACTCTGGCCGCCCATTATTCTCACCAATGGAGCAGCGGTAGCAGCAGCGGCGATTGTTGGTACGAAGGCTCCAGTAGATGCGCGTGGCCTCATAGCCAACAGGATAGAGGGCAGTGGCACTGTGGAAGTCAGCCATCTGGTGTGGGAGCAGTTGTCCGATGGCATGGAACACAAGGCCCCCCACACGGAACATGTGTAGCCGCTCTCCCCGCTGGATGATGCTGGCAATCTGCTTCACCTCATCTCGCTCGATGTAGACTCGCCGGAAGACAGCAAACGAACTGAGCTCCTGCTCACATGGCCCCTTGATCTTATGCACTGGACACAGCATGGTCTTGTCCTTGAAGAACATGCACTTGGTGCGGATGGCACAGGCAAAATGGTAGACATTGGGACAACGCATGCGATTGCAACTGCTGGTGGCACCAGTTCGCTGGCACAGGGAACACTTGGTGAGCAATCCTCGGTGCAGGGCAACCTCTACGTTCATCAGTGCCCCACCCTGAGTCTCATACACCTCCGTGGACCACAGGGCACAGTTGAGGTGCACCCAGAGGTCCAGATCTAGGTTGAGCAGGCGGGCAGGCCCATCAGTGGCACCATCTCCCTCTTCATGACAGAAACAGCATCGCCGCATGTCTCGAGGCACCTTGTTGGGTCGCAAGGCTGTGCCAAGCTGCTCCATAAACTCTGCCACCTCTCGTTCATCCTCTTGTCGCCCACTGCCCTTCTGAATGGTCAACAGTAGCCGTAGCCGCTTCCAGCGTACCCCTTTCCACTTTTTGAGGCGTGGGGGATGGGAGTCCTCACTTTCTTCAGGGGGCCGGGCTCGGGGTTTGGGCCGGGCAGAGTCAGGAGATGAGGTCAATGGCAGAGGTGAAGGGATTGGTGGCTCAGCAGAGGGTTCAGCCTGAAGTTCAACCAGGGGTTCGGCAGGGGGGCTGGCAGGAGAGGGGGCCAAGGGAGATGGAGGTGGGGAGGGTTCCTCAGGAGGTGGGGCGGAGAGCTGCCTCACGTCCAGGTTGGAGACGCTGTAGGTGTAGTTGTGCTGGGTGGATGGCTCTGGGGCAGGACTCTCCTACAGGAAGGCCCTTGGATATTAGTGCTAGTTACTCAGCTAACTAACCCTTCTCCCTCCTCTCACCAAGATTCCACTCCCTCAGAAGCTCTTCTTTGCCCTAGATAGCACCTTCTTCCTAAAACTGAACCATGTCCTCCCTGAGACCTACCTGTTTCAGGAGGCTCAAGATGTCTAGCTGGCTTTTGAGGGTATAGCCAGGCAATACTGCATCAAACTGCTTTAGCCAATCAGGTCCAGTGTCTGTGCCCTTCCCACTCAAACTCTTTTCTTTCCCACCTGCAGAAAGAAAGGCGTTAGTCTTTCACCAGAACTCTTTCCCTCTGATCCCAAGGTACTCTCCTGCCCCACTCACCAGGACCCTCGGTTTCCCCCTTCTTAGGCTCAAGGCCTGTCCGGGCAGGACTGTCTGGGAACAGCACCTCATAGGAGTTGGGGATCTTCATGCTTAGTAACTCAGCCACTGCTACCATCACACCACTCAGGTTCTGCCCAGGCAGATGAAAAGATGGGGAAAACATGTCATCAAGGAAACACTGCCAGGCAAGGGCACGCACCCCAAACCCACTGTGCAAGGGGTAGATCAGTGTTCCTTGTACCATGCCAGCTCCCTTCATACACCCTTTCCCAAACCACTGTACATATAGGAGTTGCACAGAAAGGAAACTGTGCACTCACAAACTGCACATGTTTGCAAAGTAAGAAATCAATGCTGTTTTTAACTGTTTTCCAATTTTGACCACGAAATGTGACTGGAGCACAGTATTGTAGCATCTGTCAACAGACACAGCACTGTCTGTTAGTTGTCTGTCTTTGCCCCTGGATAATGAGTTCCTGGAGGGACCCTACTTCATTTACCCTCATCTCATAGTCCCTAGCCCAGGCTTTCACACACAGCAAGCACTCATGAACAAATTTTTGGACATTTGAATTTTTTAACCAGATACACCCTGGAGACCACCCTGTGACAAAGATCTCTTTGGCCTCGAGGTGACCCTAGGACGCACCTTGGCGGCGGCGGCAGAAACCGTCAGCATGACTGACACCTCACTTCCTTTGTCCTTTCCCCAAGCCGTGGCAGGCAGCTTCCCAGGGACCTCAAGGTCAAGGACCCCATAAGGTTTGGTATCTGGGAAGACTGAATGAGAAAGAACTTGTCTAGATTTAGTTATTTCCCTCCACCACCACCCCAACCCCTGCTTCTGACAACCAGCCATCCTTGGCCTGGCCCATTCCCCCAGAGCAGCACATACCAGGGATGCTGGCACGAGGGATGATGGGGATGACAGGGGAGAGGGCTCGGTTGTCCTGTTCCCACCTGCCAGAGCCCAGCTGAGGGAAGCGGGGGGCTTCCTCCCCCAGAATGCTCTCAGGGGATGAAGCAGGCACAATGCTATCAAGAGAATCACTGTCCTCATCGCTCTCCATCCTACAGGCCAAATGCAAACAGGTGTTGGTACAGACCCATGGATTCCCCTCTCAAGCTAAAGATCAGTATGTGTTACAGCCTTAACCAGTATCTGCCATGGGCTAAAGAAAATGAGGCCACTTACCCCCAACCCTCCCCCATTTCCAGCCCTACTCCTACCTGACATCCTCAGTCTGATTGTGAGGGGGTGTAGGCAGAGCGGCCAACAGGTCTAGACTCTTCACCTCTGAAGCATCTGAGGGGTTGGTAGGGAGAAAAGTCAAGGTAAGTGTTGCCAGAGCAGATGATACTCTGCCGCTAACATTTGGGTCTCAATTAGCATGAGGTCTCAGCTATGATGACTACCCAACTAACAGTGTAGGGTAGATAAGCTATATACATTGAGCTACCTTCTTTATGTACCAGCCATTAGGCTTTAGGTATGCTTCTTTATTTGTGTGTGTGTGTGTATTGCTTGCTAAAGTGCACCCGTGCCATGCAGTGCCCAAGGAGGCCAGAAGAGGGCGTCAAATCCCCTGGAACTGACGTTACTGATGGTTGTTACCTGCCATGTGGTGCTGGGAATTGAACCTGGGTCCTCTTAACCACTGAGCCATCTCTCTAGTCCCCCCACTCTTTTTTTGAGACTGGGTCTTTCTATGTAGCATAGGCTAACTGGGTCTTGCCTTCTCCCAGTTGGCTCAGATTACAGGTATGTGCCACCATACCACTATTTAATCTTTTAACAACTATTAGGTAATATAACAGATTTATAGGGAGAAAATCAAGGCTCACACAAATCAATCAAGTTACTTGGTCTAAATAACACAGCTAAATATACTTGTGCTAGAGTTCAAATGTAAGTCTGACCATGACTCCACACACAAATGCCAGACTTTCTTCTACACAAACTTCACTCAGATTCTCCCTGTTACCAACCTGCCTACTGCCTTTACAACAGACTCAAGCAGCCCATTCTTGTCCCCAACAAATCAATCCTGAAGAAGTCCTTCCCACCAGCTATCTGTTGTATACAAAGGACAGTTCTGATACTGTGTGGCAGGGTACCACAACATGCCTGGATCTCAGCCACCAAATCCACTGGGAAAGCAAAAGCAGCTCTTCACTTACCCCTCAGTGTTCCTTCAGTGTCCCGGGCAGAGGCCGCATCCTTGGGGTGCTCCCCCAGCTCTTCAGAGGGGGTGACGCCATTCACCATCTTCTGCTGCACCGATGGGGGTGGGGTGGGGGGCAGCGACGAGGGTGGTGTCGGCGGGTTACTCAGGTTATTCTGGGGGGGTGGGGTGGGTGTTGTGTGCAAGATGGCATAGGGAGACTGGTATAATCTCCTGGCCCCACACTACAACAGCAATCTCCTCCAGACTTTCATGCCCACCTCCAGCCCCAAGAACCTTATTATTCCCAAAAAGTATTGCCATTGTTCTGACCTTTGTAAGCAGCTGGGAATAGTAGTCAGGGCCGGTGGGCAGGGTCCCACTTCCAAAGGCCCCTCTCAGCTGACTCTGCCCACCGACTGGGCAGCCACTACCAAAGGGAGCAAAGAGGCTAAAATTGGAGGTGATGGTAGGCTCCGTCAGAGGCAGCAGGGACAGTTCCTAGAAGGGCAAAATGACAAAGCTAGTAGCCTGCAGCATTAGCACCTACAACTATACCTCAGAGGTATGTCCCCTATCCTGGGATGGGACTAGAGGACTGACTCCCAGAAGTCACCTGTTTTAGCTGTTTCAGCAAGGCCTCGTTTGCCCTGACCCCGTCTTCCTTCCGAAGCTTCTTTCGGGAGCTCACCAACCTGTCACTGGCTTTCTGTACCCGCTTGGGCTTTGTCGTCAAAGGCTTCCTTACCGCTGCATCCTAAGCCAGATAAACCCTGTTGAAGGCTGCTGCCCTCATCCTCAAAGCCCTGACCTGTTCTGACCCACACTCTACCCCCATCACTACAGACCCCACTCTCCTTCCAAGCTAGACAAGAGTACTCACCTCCCTGTTGCTAGGAGAACCCTGCAGTTTCTGCTCCAGCCCAGCCAACTTGCTGTCAATGTGTCCGTTGATCTCAGCTCGCAGCCCCTCAGACCCCCGCCCAGCACCAAGTTGCACATTCTTTGCTCGTAGAAGCTTCTGCAGGAGCAGATGCCCAGCCTCTGAGCGGGGGCCTGCTAGCAGAAGGTGGTTGCTGGTGCCTGGTGCCCCTACTGGCTCTCCATTGGCCTCCCTCTTCACCACCTGGGAACCCAGGGCACAAGGCTCTTCCCTAGGCTCCTGCTTGATGCCGAGTTGGGGTGGTTCGTGTACCACCTGTCCATTCACCTGCTCCAGATGCCCGGGAACAAGGTTGTTCTGCTCTAGCTTCTGGGCCTCTATGAGGTTATCTGAGGGGTCCCAAGGTCCCAGTCCCTTGCCAAAGAAGTTATCTGCGAGTTGGGCAGCAGCAGGTGAGACTCTGCCAGGAGGCAGCTCCAAGGTTGGTCCTTGGGGCTTTGGAGTCCCTGGATGGGTAGGGGTGAGCTGGGCACTGGGGGAAGGTAATTGTGAAGGTCTCTTTGGCTCTTGGGGACTAGATGGTGGAGGTGTAGGATGGACAGGGCCAAGGGCTGGTCCTGTGGATAAGGCTCCTTGTGGGACAGGGAGCCGGGGTAGGTCCTGAGGTCGAGGCCCTGCCCCTAGCTCCTGGAGGGGGCCTGTCTGGGATCCAGGAAAACCCCCAGGTTGAGGTTGGCAACTCAGGAGGCCCTGAAGGGGAGAGGGCTGGGTCCCCGGCTCCTGGAAGGGTGGGGTCTGGTGTACTCCCCGACTCTGCTGCAGCTGCCGCTGTGTGAGTAATGCCTGCAGCTGCTGCTGCTGCTGAGGACTCAAGTGCCGCAGCTGCGGGTTTTTGGCCAGGACTCCCTGGAGCTGTGCTCGAAGTTGACCCACTGTAGGCATGACTCCAACCCCAGGGAGACCCTGCCCAGACGGGGGGACGGGTCCTGATTTGGGAGGCTGTGGCCCTGTGTTATTTTGCATTGGTCGCTCTAGTCCAAGAGGTTGTTGGGGGCCCAGAAGGTTCTGGGTCATAGGCCCAGGCTGCTCTCCTAAGGAAAGAGAAGGCTGGGACAGCAGGTGGGGCATAGACGGGGCCTCAGAAGAGGATCCACTGCCTAACTGCTGCCCATGGTTTCCTACACCAGCTGTGTGGAGCAAGTTAACCTGCTGCTGCGGTTGTCCTGGGAGTCTCAGAGGTGGCTGCAGAGAGTTGGGTTGAGGCTGAGCCTGGGATTGGATAAGCAGGAGTTGTGAGTCTCCAGAAACAGAGGGTTTTACCTCCCCTGGTTCAACGGCCATTGATTCAGGTGTAGTTCCTACTCCAAGTGGCCCTCCTTGATGTGTCGAGGGCCCCTCAGTGACCTCTGAAGGAAGCGTTGTCTCTACAGTATTTTGTTCCTTGCCTGATAGGAGGAGGGTTGGACCCAGAGCTCCAGGGCTAGAAAAGTGTTGAAGAGGCTTGGCTGGCATGCCAGGCCCAAGTGTCGTCGTCGTCGTCGTCGTCGTCGTCGTCATCTGCTGCTGCTGCTGCTGCTGTTGCTGCTGCTGCGGAGACAGTAAAGTTCGACTCTGGTTCAAGAGGCCTATCTGCTGCTGTTGCTGCTGCTGTTGGAGTTGCTGTTGTTGAAGCTGCTGCTGCTGAAGCTGTTGCTGCTGTAAGGCGCCCAAGGCCTGAGCACTCAATTTGGGCTGTCCACCATGTGCTATCAGTCCTTGCTGAAGATGGGAAAGCCCTGACATGGGTCCCTGCTGTTGTTGCTGCTGTTGTTGCTGCTGCTGCTGGGCAGTGACTAGCCGGTGTCCCATAAGGCTGTGACCCTGCTGTGGTAGCTGAGGGGAACTCAGTACCCTGGACTGAGTCATAAGCACCTGTCTGTGAGGGACCTGAGGACCCAAAGCTCCAGGGTGCTGTTGCTGCAACACTGCCACCTGGGCAGGACCCAGCACACCCTGGGACCCTTGCAGTTGCTGAGGGGACAGCTGTTGGACCAGGAGGCCCTGGTGGTTGCTGGGAGGCAGAAGCCCCTGAGGCTTGGGGCCCAGAGCTTGGTTTGCTTGTACTCCGGGACCTTGCTGCTGTTGCTGCTGGATTGCCACCTGCCCTAAGAGGTGCTGGTGCTGCTGCTGCTGCTGCTGCTGCTGCTGCTGCTGCTGCTGCTGCAGTTTCTGGGCCAGCTGCATGCGCTGCTGTTGCAGCTGTAGCTGCCTTTCCTGTAAAAGTCTTGAGTCAGGTCCAAGGCTTCGGAGAGCAAGATTGCCAGGGAAGAAGCCCCCTGAGGGGCCAGTCAAGGATCCAGTCCCACCAGAATGTTGCTGCTGCTGTTGTTGGGCCAAGGCTGTGTTGAGGAATGGGCCTCCAGGCTGTCCAGGTAGTACCATCCCCCCTGGAGGCAGGCGAAGACCTCCAGCCTGCCCACCCGGAGGTGCCTGTGGTTGTTGTAGCCCATGGCCAGGGAGCAGCTGGCCAGGGAGCTTGGTAAGTACACGAGAACTCTGAGAAGGGCTGAGGGCCAGCACAGTCGAGTGCTGCTGCTGTTGTTGCTGCTGCTGCTGCTGCTGTTGTTGTTGCTGCTGTTTGTTTCGATATTCTGCCATGAGATTTGTATGTTCCTTCTGCTGTTTCCGGACCTAACATGAGAGGGTTGGAGAGGTCAGCCAAGAGCCTGCCCACCCAAGCTATCCCTCAATCCCTGATTTCTGGATGCTAAACTAAAGTTTGCTTCTCTACCTGATCCAGCTGTTTCTGGATCTTGCTTTGCTGTTCTGTAACCAACTTGAGCTTCTCAGCATCAGCTTCTGGAAACTCACGGCCAGCCTTTTTGGCAGTGCGCTGCTTGGCACACAGAGCCTTCCGAGACTTTCGGTGCACACCAATCTGCTCCTCTAGCACCTTCAGCTGCATCTGTAGAAGCTGCTGGGTGTGGAATAGCCACTCTTCATACTGCCGCTGGTCAGCCTCATCTGGAAGAGGAACTTGTATGTTAGGATTTGCAAAATGGTGACCTCCTTCCACAGGCTCCTAAACACTTCTTTGTACCTTCCTCCTTTGCCCCATACTCACTGATCACTCCCTGGGCAAAAGTGGGTGGATTAGGACGAGGCTGGGAAGAGTCACTAGGATTCCGCTCCTGGGGTAAGAAAGATTGCTAAAAGGTCAGTTTCCAGCCAGGCCCTAAGAAAGGTGGTCCAATGGAATAGTACACAAGTTCCTACTTCCACCTTAAGTACTCACCTGGCCACTCCCAGGGGTCACATGGTTCTGTAGATCACTGCCAGACCCTCCAGAGAGCCTCTGAGCTAGCAGCGACACTTGCTGCCTAGAGTCCATCAAAACATAGGTGATTATGTGTCAGTGAGGGCATAAAGAAACAGGACAAGCAGTGAGGAGCGCCAAAAAAGGGGTATGACTGAGAAAGAACAGGGCCAGCCCCACACCAGTCCTGAGTCTTACCTGTTTATACCAGGTGCCACCCCAATGCTGCCCTGAGCCATCACTTTCTTGATGCCTTTCAAAGCTACCATCTTGGCCTTTGCAATAGGATCAATGATATCTTCTGCAGCAAACTTGTCCAGGTCTGAAAAAGGAGGAGCCAAATAAGCTGGGCTTGGGGTCAATGATCCACTGTATGATCGCTATTTCCCCAACACTCTGATCTCCACTAAGACATGTAGAACAAATCCAAGTTCATGAGCTAGGAACAAGGTAGCCTGGTGATGCAGCTCTATTATTCACGTCACACAAGGTTCTGCTTTCCTTTTATTACTATTTGCACAGTTCTTAAGAAAAGGGAGTCTGTGCCGGGCATGGTGGTACACGCCTTTAATCCCAGCACTCGGTAGGCAGAGGCAGGCGGATCTCTGTGAATTCAAGGCCAGCCTGGTCTACATAGTGAGCTCCAGGACAGCTGGGGCTACAGGGAAACCCTGTCTCAAAAAGACCAAACAAACAAAAAAAGCACACTTTCAGCTGGAAAGTATTCTTTAAAGTATTCTAGCTCAAGAACCCAAGAAATGGGCACTACAGCAAAGCCCTAGATGGCAGAGCTGTCTCTAATGCAAAAAAATCATCACCTAATAACCCACTGTCCTGCTGGTCTAGGACACTGGTTAAAAAAGGAGAAAAAAGCTGGGCACTGTGGTACACACTCATCCCAGCACTCAGAGGCAAAACTAGCCTGGGCTACATAGCAAGACTCTGTCTCAAAGACCAAACCAGAATAAACAAGGTATTGTAGCATACTTGTAATCCTAGCACTTGAGAAGTGGAGGCAGGAGGATCCTAAATTTAAGATCATGTTCAGCTACATAAGTGATTTCAAGGCTGGCATGAAACCCTGTGTCATTGTCCACCCTACCCTGTCCTCTCACCACCCCCAAGATAGAAGCAACTACAAACAAAACCAAAAACAACAACAAAAAAAACTCAACTCCACACTTTGTTATAGATCTCTCCTACTCAGAAAGCTTAACCAGCTCCCAACTCTCTGAAGGACTAACTAATTTCATTCTCCTGGAATTCTGAGGTAGTTAAGAGGAGCTCAAATCTAGCTCTGCTAGATGCTATGCAATCTTAGACAAATTACTTAACTTTTTTGCCTCAGTTTCCTCCTCTTTAATCAAAGCCAAGTATAATACCCACTTAATGAATCTGTTAGGACGAAATCAGACAGATGACAAATAGCAAGTACTACTTCACAAAGTGTAATAATGCAATGGGCGTGGTGGCACATGCCTTTAATCCCAGCACCAGAGAGGCAAAGGCAGGCAGATCTCCGTGAGTTACAGGCCAAGCCAGCCTGGTCCACACAATAAGTTCCAGGCCAGCCAATGCTGCATAATGAAACCAATTCTCAAAAATAAAGCTAATTACTCAACCAATCTGAGATGTTCCTAAAAATGGACTCACTTCTTATCTCTCCAAAACTATAAAGTGTCTGCACACCTCTACCACATCATTGTTCGCCATAGGTTTTCCTGCCTCTATAGTGTCTTCATCTTTTCACCTGCCTAGACTGCTGACCATTGTACCTCTTCTCCCCAAGTCCTAAACTTAGCCTTTATCACTGTCATACAGCTTTGCTAATCAGGCTTCATTCATTCACATATATTTGGAATGCCTGTAATAGACCCAAAACTTCTGACTTCCTTCTGAAAAGCTACAGTGTCTACTTACAGTAACATGGTTTAGCCCATCTCCCTTAACTAGGGCTTATCTTAGGTTGCTAGACTTTGCCCATTTGGTGACAACTAGGATCACAGCTAAGTAACTCAACTATGCTAACAGCTAAGGTTACCTGTATCTGGGAAGAAGCTGTTCGCAAGCTGCTGTTGCTGCAGAGCCAGCTGCTGTGGCTTCACGCACATGGATGAAGGCATGGCACTCATGGGCTTCTGTGCTAACACTGGCTGTGAGCTCTGCTGGGGCACCAAGCTTGTCTGCCCCCCTTGCTGCCCACTTAGAATATGCCCCTGGTTGGAGACCATAGCCATAGATGGGGCCAGGCGTTGCTGAAGGGCATGACTTGGTGACTGGGTGGGCATTAATGATTGGCCCAAGCCTGGCTGTCGATTACCTCCGAGACCCAGGGCAAGCTGCTGCTGGGGCCCAGCTAAACTGGGAGAAGAGCCCTCATGTGGCAGTGGCATGGCCTGGGCAGGGCCTGGTGTAGGCAGCAGGGGCTGTTGCTGCTGCTGCTGAGCAGGCTGTAGCTGTGCTGAAAGCTGCTGCTTCTTCTGCAGCTCCTTTTTCTCATGCTCCAACAGGTCCTCGATGAGCAGGGGCAACTCGCTGGCTACTAGTGAGCTGTCCATCTTGTCCAGCTCATCCCCTGGTGGTGCATGTCCACCAGGCAAGGTCAGAGCCCCGCTCTCTAGCTCAAACTTTTCCAGAAGAGAGGAGCCTCCTGGGCCACTTAGTGGGCTGGGGGTCAGCAAGTGAGCTGGGGTCCCTCCTGTAGTCCCAAAGGGGCCCTTCTCAGCTGTGTGCCCACTGCTGGGAAATGGTCCTGTACCTATTCGAGTATCCCGGCTGCCCATCACCGTCTGTCCTGGCTTCAGACCCAAGCTTAGGGCAGTGCCAGGAGGTGCTGACTCTACTTTGGGGGTATTAATGGTGAACTGGCAGGGAGAAGGATGGCGTCCTCCCTCCTCCACCTTGGGCTTCACCTCAGGGAGCACAGATGCAAGGCGAGGCTCAGAGTTATCTGTGGCAGGGGGAGGGCGTTCCTCTGAGCTTAAAGATACTGGCTCCACCCCCCGAAGCAGGGCCTCCCGTTCAGCTTTCTCATTTGCTGACTCCACCAGCCTTAGGTGCTCATTGAAGATGTCCTTCTTGTCCCCAGTGTCTAGCTCAGGGTCAGTATATGCTAGTAAGTCAAATTCATCTCCATTGAGGAGGTCATCCAGGTGGGGATCATTAGTCTCCAGGTTTTCCAGAGTGCCCAGCTCATCATCACCCTTGGCCACATCCACACCCAGACCTAGGTGAGCAAGTTCTTCATCATCCTCTAGGGCCTTGTGGGCATCAAAATCATCATCCAGCTCAGGATCCTCACAAGGTAACTTTCCAGTTTCCAGGGCCAGCGGGGGACGGCCAAGCTCAGTGCTTGAGGGGGGGCGTGAGACCAGTTCCAAGCTAGCTGGTAGGGCAGGACCTTTGGTGTGGGGTGTCTGATGGAGACTGTTGTTCAATTCAGGAGCTGAAGGGGCTGAGGGTTTTTGAGGGGGAAGGTTTGATACCGCCAGGCTCCGAAGCCCTTCAGGAGCCAGTCGATGGGGTTCCTCACTTACAGGGTAAAATCGGGGCCTCTGAGGGGGACCCTGAATGGGAAATGGAGATCCCCCAGGTCCAAGTCCTTTCTGTACATTGTGTCGCAACTCAATGAACTGAGCAGGACCAGCAGGACCAGCAGGACCAGGCACTGGCTCAGCAGGGCCTGGAAGTCGGGTAGGAATTCCTGCCAAGGGGGAACCTAGTGCTTGGCGGCCAAGATCAGGTCCAGGAGTTGATGAAAAACGAGTAGACATAGCAAGTCGCATGGAGGTTGCTGCTGTTGTCTGCTGCTGCTGCCATAACTGCTGCTGCTGCTGCTGCTGCTGCTGCTGCTGCTGCTGCTGCTGCTGCTGCTGCTGCTGCTGCTGTTGTAAAGGCAGGGACCCAGGATAGGGCGTGCGCTGATAGAAGGCCTGGGAGCCTCCTACAAGTTGCCTGGAAAAATATGCAGCAGTGAGGTGTGATCAGCATGGAGAGCTCACACAGCTTAGGGTAGTAAGGAAAGACAAAAAGAAACTGAGGGAAAAGAACGAGGAAGAGTAAGTGTCACCAGAGGATTAGTGAGAGGGGGAAATCAAAGGCAGAATACAGTGATGGTAAAACTTGTCCCATTCTCTCTCTCTCTCTCTCTCTCGCACACACACACACACACACACGCATAGTGACAGGGGGAAATCAAAGGCAGAAGACAGTGATGGTAAAACTTGTCCCACTCTCTCTCTCTCTCTCTCTCGCACACACACACACACACACACGCATAGTGACAGGGGGAAATCAAAGGCAGAAGACAGTGATGGTAAAACTTGTCCCACTCTCTCTCTCTCTCTCTCTCGCACACACACACACACACACACGCATAGTGACAGGGGGAAATCAAAGGCAGAAGACAGTGATGGTAAAACTTGTCCCACTCTCTCTCTCTCTCTCTCTCGCACACACACACACACACACACGCATAGTGACAGGGGGAAATCAAAGGCAGAAGACAGTGATGGTAAAACTTGTCCCACTCTCTCTCTCTCTCTCTCTCGCACACACACACACACACACACGCATAGTGACAGGGGGAAATCAAAGGCAGAAGACAGTGATGGTAAAACTTGTCCCACTCTCTCTCTCTCTCTCTCTCGCACACACACACACACACACACGCATAGTGACAGGGGGAAATCAAAGGCAGAAGACAGTGATGGTAAAACTTGTCCCACTCTCTCTCTCTCTCTCTCTCGCACACACACACACACACACACGCATAGTGACAGGGGGAAATCAAAGGCAGAAGACAGTGATGGTAAAACTTGTCCCACTCTCTCTCTCTCTCTCTCTCGCACACACACACACACACACACGCATAGTGACAGGGGGAAATCAAAGGCAGAAGACAGTGATGGTAAAACTTGTCCCACTCTCTCTCTCTCTCTCTCTCGCACACACACACACACACACACGCATAGTGACAGGGGGAAATCAAAGGCAGAAGACAGTGATGGTAAAACTTGTCCCACTCTCTCTCTCTCTCTCTCTCGCACACACACACACACACACACGCATAGTGACAGGGGGAAATCAAAGGCAGAAGACAGTGATGGTAAAACTTGTCCCACTCTCTCTCTCTCTCTCTCTCGCACACACACACACACACACACGCATAGTGACAGGGGGAAATCAAAGGCAGAAGACAGTGATGGTAAAACTTGTCCCACTCTCTCTCTCTCTCTCTCTCGCACACACACACACACACACACGCATAGTGACAGGGGGAAATCAAAGGCAGAAGACAGTGATGGTAAAACTTGTCCCACTCTCTCTCTCTCTCTCTCTCGCACACACACACACACACACACGCATAGTGACAGGGGGAAATCAAAGGCAGAAGACAGTGATGGTAAAACTTGTCCCACTCTCTCTCTCTCTCTCTCTCGCACACACACACACACACACACGCATAGTGACAGGGGGAAATCAAAGGCAGAAGACAGTGATGGTAAAACTTGTCCCACTCTCTCTCTCTCTCTCTCTCGCACACACACACACACACACACGCATAGTGACAGGGGGAAATCAAAGGCAGAAGACAGTGATGGTAAAACTTGTCCCACTCTCTCTCTCTCTCTCTCTCGCACACACACACACACACACACGCATAGTGACAGGGGGAAATCAAAGGCAGAAGACAGTGATGGTAAAACTTGTCCCACTCTCTCTCTCTCTCTCTCTCGCACACACACACACACACACACGCATAGTGACAGGGGGAAATCAAAGGCAGAATACAGTGATGGTAAAACTTGTCCCACTCTCTCTCTCTCTCTCTCTCGCACACACACACACACACACACGCATAGTGACAGGGGGAAATCAAAGGCAGAATACAGTGATGGTAAAACTTATCCCATTCACACACATGCATGCAAGCACGCAACTTCCTGGAACCTCACCGGCTATTCATGTCCATAGAGGAAGGTGTGGCTGGTGGAAGCGGCCGGGAAAGTCGGTCATCGCTGGAGAAGGCCCCTGGCCCCAGAATTGGACCACCTAGCTTGCTTGAGGATAATCCCACAAGACTGTTCTTATCCTAGACAACAGAAGTAAATGAAGGTAGAGCCACCTTCAGTATGCTGGCCCCACCACCCCTTGCCCATCTACCTACCTGGGTACCAGTGAAAGGGGTCTGGCCTCGATTCAGCTGCTCAAAGGCAGGGTTGCTGGGTTCAGCACTCCAGTTGCCTGGAGGCCCGACTGCACCTGCAGCTGCTGCAGCTGTTTCCTTCTCCTGCCGTAAGGTGTTACGCTGGATCTGCTGCCTAATCAGCAGCTCCCGCAGCCGTTGGCGCTGTGCAGAAAATAGAAAAGCCCGTTCCACTGTAATCACAGGGCTGGCAGAGAGACAGCACAAGTATGGGGAGATCAGTCCCAGCACATCCACCAACCTGCCGCTGCTTCTCCAGCTCTGTCTGGCTAAGGTTTGACATGCCTGGATCCTGGGTACCTGAGAGTTCAGGTGTTGCCAAAGAGCTACTCATGGTAGCCCCTGGATCTTCTCGCTTTTCCACTGGAGAGGTGATACCTGCCCGCTGTGAGGCTCCATGGGACAGGTAGGAGAGGGATCCATCGGGTGTGGGTGGTGGCAGAACTGATGCGGGGCGTAGTGGGGACAGCCCATAGCCCTCCCCTGTAGGCCCACTGCTGGGCCCCAGGGGGCTGCCCGATGGGTGAAAGTTCCCCGTGGCTACGTAGTTTGTGCTTTGAGGCTTGCCCAAGATGGGGCCAGGCCCAAAATGGCTGTTGATCCCATGGGGTGGAGGGAGACCAGGCTGTGGGACAGGGGGCTTTAGGGAAGGCTCTCCTACCCCCTGTGGGAAAGTGAACCGCATGGGAGAGGGGGTGCCTACAAATGCACCTGTCCCTGGGGACCGGGCAAAATTAGGGGTCTGCCCACCTGGGACCTTAGCATGGAGCTCACCTGCTGGCCCAGAGGGCAGGGCTGCTGGGAAGCCCCCAGCTCCCAGCGGAGTGTGGGCTAGAGGCCCAGCCTTAAAGGCAACTTCAGGGGGCTGGGGTCGGGGTGGCTTATGCAATGGGGCAAATGGGTCACGGGACTGAGGACGTGAGGGTGGACGAGAATAAGGGTCAGGGGACTGGAAGCGAGGGGTAACCGGGGACGGGCAGAAAGCCTCAGCAGACAGAGGACGAGGGGTCAACGGGGACTGGGAACTGGACTGAGACTGAGGACTAGCGGGTACTCGAGAGAAAGGGTCAGAGGACAGTGAGCGAGGGGGCAGGGCACAGCAGCTCTCAGGGGGTGGTGGTTGAGGCCGAGGGGTCAATGGGGGTTGGGCATAAGGATCAGGGTAGGAGCCAGGACGAAAGACGTCTGGGTGGCTGGGAGGAGAAGGGGCCAAAGCCTGGGCAGGGGGTGGATCCTGGGCCCGTAGGCCCAGGCCAGGGCTCTGGGGCTCTACCTGAGATGCCCGAGGGGTTAGGGGAGCTTTGAAGACATCAGGTGCCTTTAACTCTAGGCTACCCGGATGGGGGCCTGAGGAGGGTGAGTCAACAAAGCCCAGGTTTGGGGGTCCATATCCAGGAGAGGATGCCCCAAGTTCTTCCTTCTTCACCTCTAGGGCTTTCCGAGACTCCCCAAAAGGTGAGGGTGAGAGCAGAGGCTCGGAAGCCTTGCCTCCTGCTACCCCCGGGCTCTCAGGCACAGCCAGGTTGTCCAGTGAGGGGCATCGGGGTTTGAGGAAGGGGTCAGGCGTGGAGGGCTGGTGTCTGGGGGTACCCGGTGGGGTAGTGTGGAGTTCCCCTGGCTGACCAGTCACAGGACGAGATGTGGTGCCCAGCATTGGGGGCTGGGCAGGGGCCCCAGCTGGGCTTGGGTAAGGAGGGTAGGTGGGTGGTGCCGCAGAGAAGCGGGGCTCCAGGGCATAGGCAGGGGCCAGTCCAAAGGGGTCCTGCGAAGGCACTTGGGCGGGCACCTGGGATGGGAGCTTGAGGAAGAGCTCACCAGGTGAGTCGGGGCCGGGCACTGTGCCCGCTGGCGGCTTCAGGAACCCGTCCGCAGAGGTAGACAAGCCGGCAGGGGTGGTGGGGCTGCCAATGTAAATGGTGGGGGCCGCAGCAGGGGGCGGACTGCCCAGTGCCCCTGGCTGGGGGGGAATGCGGAGATGGAGGGCTGGTCGATCAGTCTTACGGGCTATGTCGCCCACCTTGGCCTGCTTGTTGATCTGGCTCTCAGCCTGCTACAGAAGGAGACCAAGCAGAGCAGTCAGGCTGCTTGCTGTAGGGATGGCCCCTATCTCCCGATTCTAGAAGGGCCACCACTACAGGTCATCAGCAGTACAGCCAGGCCCAGCCCCCACTCACCTTCTGCACCTTGTTGATGCGATGAGCAGCCCGGTTATCTTTGGCCTTTTGCTGAGAGATTCAAAACAACATGAGACCTTGTGCTCAGCCTCAAGCCCAGTCCCCAGCCCTCTTGTCACGTGGCCTACCCAGGAGCCAATCCCCAACACAGCTGTTTTAGGGATAGAAGGAGGTAGGGAAGGAGTGGAAGGAACTGAGGTGAAGCCCTAGATACTTCCCTCAATTTCAGGTCTCAGGCTAGCCCATACTCCTTTGTCTTACCAGGTAGGGGGCTTTGTCAGCGGCTGGAACCTTTCTCCAGAGCTTCATGATTTGTTTGCAACGACTAGACCAGTCTGAAAGGCAGAGGGAATGAAATCAGAAGAGACTTGGCAGGTAACCCCTCCACCTGCCAGGAGGTTTCCCTTGCCCTCACCCAAAGGTACCTGGATAATCTTGCTTGAGATTAGGAAAGTTAATGTTGGCATAGAGCACAGGTGAGATAGTGGAGAGCTGACCCAGTTCTTCATCTTTTTCCCATCGCTGTAGACTCCGCTGGTTATAGGAGAGCCCGTCGCCTTCACCCTCTGTGGTAGGGGTGGTGGGAGTGGAGGGCGTGGTGCCCCCTGAGCCTGTCCAGGGGCTGTCTGGCTCACCGGGTTCTGGGCTAAAGAAGCCCCCGCGCTCCCTGGGGCGCAGGGGCAGAAAGTCACAGAGAGCAGGGATTTCAATACCCAACCCAGACAGACTACCCAGAGTTCTAGGCCACTGCCCTGTCCCATCTGAAGAAAGTCACTGTAAGAGCAAGAGAGCTCTTTAGTCTCTTCAGTGGCCCAGGAATCAAAAGAGCAAGGCAGGGCCCAGGTGGAAAGGACAGCAGGGACTACCCATGGAGGTTAAGCACAGATACCAACCTAGAATCTAGGAAGGGGGACTGGCAGAGGCCCGGGTAGGAGTCCATTGGGCTGCTGGAGGGGAGACTGCCCAAAGGGAGTCCACCTGTAAGAATAGTAAGGTCACACAAAAGGAAGCAACTGGCCTACACAGGGAACAAGCCTAGCTACAGCGGACTCGAAACCGTTCCCACTACTCTATAATCACCTTGGAGAAAGGGTCTCTGCAGTGGTGCACGGCTGCCTTCTAGCCCAGGAGTTCCACAACCCAAATGCTGCTCTCGTTCAGAACCCAGGACATCTTTAAAGAGCTGCTGCAGGTCCTTGGACTCCATCTTGGGCAGTTCTATGGGGGAACGACAAAGCAAACTGCTGAAGAAGACTGGGAGGCTCACGTGACACCACAGATCTACAAATGGTCACGGCAGAGAAGGTACCAGGACTCTCCCAGCAGAGCGGTACATAGATAGGCTTTCTTTTCCCATGGAAGGGCCCTTAGACACACACAAAAAAACCCTTATAAACCTCACCTTCTGTGGGAATCCTGTCTAAGTCAGAGCTAAGCATTCCTTCACCTGGAGTGCCTGGCTTCTCAGGGTCACTGGGTACTGGGGATGACTTTACAACCCCATCCTCAAGTCCTGTAATTTTCAGAAGAAAGCCATCAGTAGAGGCCACTGGAGGTACGGTGGTACCTCACAGGCCAACAGGAACCACAGGAGGTATGGAGCAGTACCCAGCTTCCAAAACGTGGCAGAGCCATTGTTAAAAGGCAAAACCAAGATAGGACCCAACACTTAGTGGCCCTCACCTGGTGTATCAGCCATGCCCTCAGTGCCACGTGACTCTTCATCTGCAACATCTGGACCATCATCTCCTACGAGCAACATTCCCACTCTAATCAGAGATGGCTGACACTTGATGCTCAGAATGGGTCCCTATCCCCATAGGCCAGGTCCCCGGCCCACCCTTAACTTCAAAAGACCAGCCACTTCCCCTTTAGTCATCTTTGCCAACCATGAACAAAAGGTAATATTGGCTCTCATCAGAACAATTTATTTCCATGTAGCTAACCTTTCTGCAAGGTGGGAAGCTCCTTTTTATCTGGACCTCCATCCCCCCGGGCTTTTGGAGTTCCTAGTCCAAAGCTTGGCCGGCCCACTCCAACTGCAAAAAGGGCCTTCCGGCTCAGGTCCAACAGTTCCTTCCCAAAGAAGGCTTCCTATAGGAATCGTCAAAAGAAACCGTTTCTTGATGCCCTTTGGGCACAGATGTTCTCCACCCCTGGAGCTTACGACCTACTTGCAGGTAAGCAGGAAACATGTCCTCTAGCTTGCTCTTTTTGCGTCCTCGTCGCTGTTGCTTCTTCTTCTCATCACCTTCGACAAGGCTCTGTTCCACAGACCCCTCCGCAGGCAGGTCAGGAGGCAGCACTATGGCCAAAAGAGACTCAGGCTCTCTGGGGATACTAAGTATGCTGTGCCCAACTTTCTAGCTACTCCCTTCCCCAACCAGCTAGACCCCCTCACTCCTTGCCCTTATAATGAGTCCTCACTAGCACTGCCCCACGTGTGCCGTGAGCCCCACCGTCCCCCAGGCCCCACTGGTGCCCTCACCCGTCTCACCCTCGTCGGGCTGCCCATCCCCACTCAACACCTCCGCCTGTGCAGCAGGCCCCCTTTTCACACGTGTATGAGACTTTCGCTGTCGCACCATGAAACCACCAATGCCTATAAGAAAGTGGAGCTAAGAATGAGAAGCCACTGGGGACCTGGTGAGCTGCCCCTTACAACCCCTTGTCCCAACCACGGCCTCACCAGGCCGATAGGGTTTGCGCTTGCGTTTTTTGCTTTCTTCCGTCTCTTCTTTGCCAGGCTCCACATCTGGGCTGGCGGGGCCTTCTAGTTTAATTTCGCACTCCATGTGCTCCACACCACCTGCATATGGTGACGGAAGAGGCGGAGATATGAGAGAAATGGGCCCGTTTGTCCTCCTGTCAGAGGGAACCCAGCATCCTGCCACAGTGCTACCTGAACAAGACCAACAGTGCTGGCCCACTAATGGCAATGCAGCCCTACCCAACATCCCAACTGCAATGGGCTGTGCTTCTCCCAGTATCTGTCCTTCTGTGATTCCCCAGTCCAACCTTCACCCTTGAGCAGCTCATCAGTGTCCAGGTCCCCATCCTTCTTGTCATCGGGGCCGAGGGCATCAGAAGGCTCAGAACCCTCCAGGCCTGCCTCGCCTGGGAGGCCTAGCCGTCCTCGACGCTGACGCCGCTTGTGTAGTGGTGACATGGTCAGGTTACGCAGCACTGCCATGCCAGTTTCTGTCAGCCACACACCCTCGAAGCGAAAGTACTGGGGCTCTGAACAACAGGGAAGAACATATGACCCCTGGACAGTGACCTCTGGACAGTGGCCCCAGGGAAACCAGAATTCGCTCAACAAATTTTAACCTAGGCCCCAGATGAGACAAAAGCAGTGACAGATGACAAGTCCTATCTGGGTTCTAAGGGCCGAAGTCACCAAGGGGCACTGGTTGAAGCTCTTCATCAGTGACTGAGGGATTCTGAGCTGAGTCTGCTATTGCAGAAACCTGGAGAGGTCATCAAGAGAATTCTAAAGACAGGAAGGATACTGCTTGTTGCATTTCAGCACACAGTGCCTTCGATAATAAGGATGGTCCCCACATTGAAACAGGGAAGATGACCTCATCCCCTTCACTGAAAAGAAAGAGGTGTGCTCCCTGAATGAAATTCTGGCAGTAAAGAGGTCCCCCTACTGTGTCTGGGAACCTAGACACCTTGGTTCTAGTCATAACTTGGCCACTAACTTAGCAGGTAATTTTGGGTAGGCCATTTAACCTCTGAGTCTTTGTTTTCCCCTTAAAATGAGACAAGGTTGGGAGGTTGGAGCATAGACAGTGTCTATGGTCTTAGCTGACTTTAGTATTCAAAACTTCTGTTGACTTACCTGGCTCTTTCACCTTCATAGGTACCAACTCTGGCGGGGCAACAGGTGCTGTGGGGAGGACAAACCAAACGCAGCTTCGAGTGTGGTCCCAAAGCAAGACACACTTGTGTCCTCTTTGCTTCTTCTAGAACCTGATACTCACCCACAGGCTTTATCACAAAAGGCTGGCAGGAAACACAGTCAAAGCCCTCATCAGCTGCTTGCTCCACATCATCCTCTGTGAAGAGGCTCTCGCAGCCAGCATGCATCCACCTGAGAAAAGGGAAATGGGGATAAGCCACAGGCAATGCCAGCTGACAGCAGAGGGGAAAGGGATGCTCTTACCGTTCACAGTGGCGGCACTGGATTAGCAGGTCTTCCTCCACATAGGGAGCATGACAGATAGGGCAGGTCACCAGACTGGCACAGGGCCCACAGTGTGTGTAACTATTCTGCCATTCACAGTGGAAGCCAGGGGAGGCAGCCCCACACTGCATACAAGACACACACCTGGTAAGGGCAGAAAGACAGACCTTCAGCACCTAGGATCCCAGAGGTACCTCTGCTGAGAACCAACCAAGCAGGTTGGCCCCCTAAACACAGGCTATTATGAACTCAACATTTTATCTACTCAATATCCCAGGCCCACTCACCCTCTCCTGTCAGGTCCCAGGCTCATTGAAAGACCCCAGGTCTCCTTACCACTTGCACTTCCAGCCACCTTTGGGCACGGTGAGCAGTGGGGGGTCCAGGCAGTAGGTATGGTAGCTAATGTCACAGTCATCACAGAGCAGCAGGCGTGAGGGGTCGGAAGCTTGGCCACATACTTCACACACAATACACTCTACACAACGCCAGCCCTTTAGCAGCATCACCTTGGTGATCTAGTACAGAAGACAGGATTCCTCAGGTGGAGGGACAGAGCTTCTATGAGCATAGCTGAAGGCCAAACCTTTGTTTGAGCAGAGAGGCTTATACAGAGTACTCTTTCCCCAAAGAGTACCTCTCAACCAGGGAGCTCTGCCGACCAAGAAGAGCCACTAGCCCTCACTTGCAAGAGTGAACAGACATCTTTCACTAACTAGGCCCCAAAAGTCAATGGCAGAATGAAGTTGCGCTGTCCCCCATTTTTCTTGAACATTTAGGTCCTGTTACTAATACAAATTAATGAATGTTATCAGTAGAATCCAGGGAAGGTAGTCCCATACTGCATACAGGACACACCTAGATTAAGGAATAAATTAATAGTTTTGAAGAACCCCCAGTGAAAAAACAAGAGAAAGAAAAAGGCCAAGAGTGGTGGCACACGCCTTTAAGCCCAGCACTCGGGCAGGAAAGGCAGGAGGATCTCTGTGAGTTCTAGGCCAGTCTAGTCTACATAGCAAGTTCCACAGCAGCTGGGGCTACAGGGAGACTGTGTATCAAAAAAGACCAAAA